AAACAAAGGACGGACAACAAAAAACAAAAAAGGAAACAAAAAGAAATAAAGAAAAAAAGAAAAAACAAAAAAGGAAACAAAAAAGAAAAAAGAAAAAAAGAGAAAAAACAAAAAAGAAACATAAAGAAAAAAGAAAAAAAAGAAAAACAAAAGAACATAAAAGAAAAAAAGAAAAAAGAAAAACAAAAAGGAACATAAAGAAAAAAAGAAGAAAGAAAAGAAAAAGCAAAAAAAATAAAACAAAGAAAAAAAGAAAAAAAAAAAGAAAAAAAAATAAAAGAAAAAAAGAAAAAGAAAAAAAGAAAAAACAAAAAAGGAAAATAAAGAAAAAAAGAAAGAAAAGAAAAAGCAAAAAAGAAAATAAAGAAAAAAAGAAAAAGAAAAGACAAGGAAAAAAAAACAGAAAAGAAAAAAAGAAAAAAAAGAAAAGACAAGAAAAATAACAGAAAAGAAAAAAAGAAAAAAAAGAAAAAACAAAAAAAAACATAAAGGAAAAAAAGAAAAAAAGAAAAAACAAAAAAAAAACATTAAAAGAAAAAAAGAAAAAAAGAAAAAAACAGAAAAAGAAACATAAAGGAAAAAAGAAAAAAAAGAAAAGACAAAAAAAGGAAACAAAAAAGAATAAAGAAAAAAAAGAAAAAAACAAAAAAGAAACATAAAAGAAAAAAAGAAAAAAAGAAAAAGACAAGAAAAGAAACAGAAAAGAAAAAAAGAAAAAAAAGAAAAAAAACAAAAAAAGGAAACAAAAAAGAAATAAAGAAAAAAGAAAAAACAAAAAAAGAAACATAAAAGAAAAAAAGAAAAAAAAAGAAAAAAAAACAAAAAAAAAATAAAGGAAAAAAAAGAAAAAAAGAAAAAACAAAAAAGAAAACAAAAGAAAAAAGAAAAAAAGAAAAAAACAAAAAAAACATACAGGAAAAAAAAGAAAAAAAAAAAAAGACAACGAAAAAAGAAACTAAAAGAAAAAAAAGAAAAAGAAAAAAGCAAAAAAAGGAAACATAAAAGAAAAAAAGAAAAAAAAGAAAAAAACAAAAAAAGAAACAGAAAAGAAAAAAAGAAAAAAAAGAAAAAGACAAGAAAAGAAACATAAAAGAAAGAAAAAAAAAGAATTAAAGAAAAAAAACGAAAAAAAAGAAAAACAAGAAGAAAATAAGAAAAAAAAGAAAAAAACATAAAAAAAGCAAAAAAAAAGAAAACAAGAAAAAAACAAGAAACAAACAAAAAACAAGAAAAAAACAAAAAAGAAAAAAAGAAAAAACAAGAAAAAAACAAAAAAGAAAAAAAGAAAAAAAACAAAAAAGAAAACAGGAAAAAAAACAAAAAAGAAAACAGGAAAAAAGAAAACGAGAAAAAAACAAGAAAAAAATTCAAGAAAGAAAGCAAGACAACAACAAAAAAGAAAACAAGAGCAAACGGCGTTTTAAGCTGTTCAAGATATGTGATAATAATATAATATTTGATTTTTTGTCACATTTACGCTTGTCTTGCATAAAAAACAAGGCGCAGAAGACATTGTCCCAAACTCAGAATAGAGAAATGGTAGTCTCGACAATTCATTACTAAAGGTCGCAAGTAATTAACAGCTCAACTGGAAAAAAGGTTATAACAAGGTCTTTTAAAGTTTTTAGCATATAAAGTTACATAAAACAAATATGTTTTCTAGATATTAATGTTATGGATTTCTTTGTTTCGCAGGCTGGTCATGTACAGTGGCGGATTTAAGGGGGCAACTAGAGACAGCTGCCCCTCTTTCAACGAGTTGAAGCAAGTCTGGCGCCCCTTCTTTGGTAATCGTGCGCCCTTTTTGAAGAATGGAAATCAGGTGAAAAAGTTCTTGATAACGATAGGTTAATTTGCTTCAAGGTTTACCTCAAAGTTATGTTATTTATTCCGAAAATGGATCTGAAATCGTTGTATACAGCGCACTCTCGTCAACAATTTCGAAAATTTTTCAGCGCCGTCACTACGAACTGCCCCTCCTTGAAATTTGCTCTGGATTATGTACTCTATGTAACTCAGCACGTCAAATTAATTTCCGAAACAGAGTTTTACTTTTTTAATTTAGTGCCACCCAATAGACGATTGTGTTTAAGTGCCGCAACTCAATTTCGTAAGTACGTTCAAGTACGCCAGGAAACCAAATTGCAGCTGCATAGCTCGCATAGTTTAAACGTTACAGTGTGATAGCCAGTAGAAGACTGGGTACAAGGAGCCTTATCCACAACTAGCTTTTTGAGGCATTTTCAAAGCTAGATATAGATTTCATTTTATTCAGCACATCGCATTGGCTACGTGTAGCTTGCAACGTGTAACGTGTGATGATTGTCTACGTGTAACGTCAAAGTTTGTAGCTTGCATCATCAAGTGCTGAGCGAAATCACTAAATCGTCAAACTTCAGAGAAGCAGGTTATTGGATAAAAGGAAACGTTCAACAACCACAAGTTTTTGCTTATCACATTGATGTTTGATAATATCTTATTCATGCAGTTCTGTGAAAAAAACTTATCAAAACATTATCAAAACAAGTTATTAGACCATGTCCTTTTAACTAAAAACATAACTCAACGAAGCAACTATATCAAAAGTATAACGATAATGCAGGGTGAACAGGGTGTCAGAAACACCCCGCCCACCTCGGGATTCTTCAAAAATGATGATATTTGAATTCATTTGACGCATACCATTTCAAAATACATTCTATCTTCATTCCAACGATCTCAAGTTTTGGCACTTTCATTAAATCATGTATTACTTAATGGACTTAATGGGTAATTACTTAATGGACTTAATGGAGCTATTCCACGAAAGAGTCTGGATCGAGTCATCTTTTTATACAATGGCTCGATTGAATTGCGTTAAAACAGCATATATCCTTATCCTTTTGTCATCTCATCATGCTGGAAAATTTTCAACTATGGTTTGGCTACATTTTCCTCGGTAGCTCTTGCCCTTTTATTACCCTTTAAGCATGAAAATGATAGTATTCTCCTTAACAATGACTTGGATCATCTTCTCCCCAAAAGAGGCACTGGTCTCCAGGCTTTCCATTGCTAAGTTCTAGTTACGTTGCGCATCTGCGGTGCCGAGATAGCTTTTTGCGAATCAAGGGTTGGTGGCTTTTTCACGTTTCTTTTTGCCAAGGAAGGGATTGTTGGTGTACAAAAATAAATGGACTGGAAGAAGAACTCGTGTTACCAAAGAAGACTGTCTGCCAGCGAGGAACTATGATGAGGAACGGTAACAGCAACAAAAACGGAAAGTCTCTGTATTCACTGCACCGAATCATCCAGATTGTCATCCAGATCATCCACCGTATCTTTCGATGATGTCTTTGATTGATCCAAAATAATTTCGTCCAAAATGTAAGTCTGTTATGTGATTCAACGCTGATGTTGTCAGAGTTGGCCTTATTTCTTGACTTTGTACCGGACATGTTTTGCACATTTCTGAGTCTGATTGGATTTTCGGAATTTTATTTTCTTTGTGGATCTCTGGACTTTTGAACGAATTTTAGTGGATTTTCGCGGATTTTTGGCAGGGTGTACGAGGATTTCTGGAGTGATACACCCCTCGGTTTCAAAAAAGCTATTCAAGCCTGGTTTCCATATAGCCGTAAGGTGCTGTAAAGTTACCGATATTTTCATTCACAGTTTAAAATAATGTAAGTAATGCTTAATTCAATTAATACTTTTTAATTTGTTTTCTAAGGTTGTAATTAATTAGTGATTTCACATTATTTGTTTTGTCAAAATAATTTGATTCTGTCTGTTTTATTTTTCGTAGATTGATTGAATACTCACTAAGAAAGGGTTTTAGAAGGAAACTTAAAATAATTTTAACAAACGAATTACAAAAAGTATAATTTCCCATCCTTTTTTATCAGATTGTGACTATTTTCGATCATCAATCTTGAAATTCATCGTGAAAATGATATTCAATGTTTTGAAATATGTAAAAACACACAGTGGCGGATTTAAGGGGGGGGGGGCAACTAGAGGCAGTTGCCCCTCCCTCACTGAGTTGAACCAGGTCTGGGCCCCTTTACGGAAATTATTATGCACAATAATTGTAAAAATTTCCTTTAGAAGGTGAACAGAGAGCCTTCTGTCAGTAGGCTCTTTATTCACCTTCTGTCGGTCTGAAATTGTTGTATATAACGCACTCTCATCACCAATTTCTGAAAATTTGTCAGCGCCCCCAATACCAACTGCCCCTCCTTCAAATTTGTTCTGGATTCGCCCCTGAAAACACAGGCACACTGACATTTTATATAGAAATGCAAAACAAATGAAACGACTCTTCAAGATATAATAGGGACAGTCGCGTTTCAAAAAATAGCTTTTCTTCACAACGAATTGCTATTTTGTTGTGTCATATCCAAGAGACTTGTTAAAAACCTTCCATTCGCAAATTTGATGACCCTGACAGGCCAAAGTGCTGCTGATCTTTGTGGACAGAGGATTTGGTGAAATAGGATGTCTTGAGCTTTTCCTGTGGTAAATACTATTGTCATTATTGTCATTCTAGACCAATCAAATTATTCTTTCTTGGCGTCGTTTGCAGAGCAAATCTTTGAACTAAATGTTTGTCGTTGGTTGATACCAACATATTTGATAAATCACGGCAAGGCCAATCGATGTTTTTGCTTTAATCTTGAATAACTGATGCTGACGAAAACATTTTTGCGGAAGGAAAAGTCATAGACCCAGACGGAGGCAAATGTAACTATTCAAGCAAGACGGTCTCCAGGGAGAGCAGATTAAGACGCACAAAAGCGGATAGACGATTGCCCAAAAATTCATGCCCTTTTACCAAAATTTAATAAAATGGAAAATAGAAATAATCCGACCGAGGAATCTCGATACAACGTGAGTTTAACGATTTTTTTCATCATAAGTGCAAGGTACCATTTTTGAGCACTAGAATGGTTTCAGAGTTTGAATTTGAGCGCGCCATCTTCAATTCCTTAAATACACGGGGGGAGTAGTTTCCGAGTGTTTTTATATAGCTGGAAAAGCTTTTTGAAAATCCCGCAGAAGCAATTGAAAAAAGAGTATTAAATTTAATTCAAAATTTTTAGGAGACACAGGCTTCGCTGTATTTTTTTGCAAATGCAAATATAATTTAAGAACCTTTGAGAGCATTGTGAATTACTAGCCCCCGGGTCTTAGTTCATTGATGCTCAGTTAGGGTTTGAGACTCAAACAGATGGCCTAAAGAATCCTAAAAGAAAGGATGCGCTGTATTTTTGACTTTACGGCATCGTGATGCAGTTTGGGGAAAAACGGCATGGTTTGACGAAACATGAACTGACTAGTACATGTTGGAGGTAACTGTTTTCCCAAAATAAATCGCGATGGCTGAAATGGAAGAATTCTTTCATGCGAGCTGTTGCGAGGTAATAACCGTTGTGTGTGTCTTGGTACCTGTTTGTCTAAAATGAGTTCAGTTGCTCTTTTATCATACAATAAGATTGAGGTATACCATGGAATTCACGGGTTCACGAAGTTTTAAGTATGTTATACACCAAAGTATTCTTTGAGTAAACGGATTGATAACATTGAGCAATTTAGTCGACGCGGGAAATTCAATTTCACCATCGCACCGTAGGCCTATATCGTCCGTGACCTCGAAGCACTGTGCTCCGTTGAAGAAAGCTCCGTGCAAACAAACATAAGAGTTTAAGCAAAAGTCTGATATCTCAAAGAGTTCATTAAATTTTAAACCTACTTGTATTGTAGATTGTGAACTTTTCTTGAACACACTCGATTTCTGATTCAAAACGACTTAATTTATGATGTCTTCCCTAATTTCGAGCCACTTGATTAGAGTAATAAGGTTTCGAGCTACTTGATATCTCAATTATTCATACAATTAGAAGTGAAGTCGAGCATTATGTCAGCAATATAACTGTAGATTTAAACAACTCTATTGTAATCAGTACAGATAAGAATCTTCTTCCCTGTGAAAATCCCCTTTTGGCCTTCTGAAAAATGTTTTTAACGAAACTAAAGCTTGTTCTAGGTTAAACTATGAGGTCAAAAGATACAGATATCGGGTGCTATAAATTCTATTCGGGATGATTTGGTAGTGTTGGACATAACAAGAAGGGATTATCTGAAATTTATCATACAGATTGCACACATTTAAAGCTTTTTCATTTTTCAATTTCTCTTTATAAAACAAAGAGCTCTGCAAATTGTTTTAATAATGCCAACAATTTTTCACTTGTCATTTGGTTTCTATTTCATATGATATTTATCATGGCTAAAGCATATTAGGGTAGAGGCCTATTAGAATTTTACTTAAAGGATGGAAGCTTAATTCAAGGGGGGGGGGGGGGGGGGGGATAATTCTAGGTTGATGCTGATTAATGCTGGTTTAAATGCTGTCATAGATAATCTTCCATGACTTTATGTAGCTAGATTTATCAAATCTGAATAATGTGCTTCACAGAACAGATATCAGCTGCTTTTTGAATTGATCCTAATCTGAAAAAGCAAGAAACATAAAACAATCTGAAAGGTCATATAGTAGAAATTTGCTGTCTAGAAAACATGCGACATCTTGTTTTCAAAAAAAGGGAAATTAATTATGATATGTTTTTCAGCATCAATTGCAGTCTCTACAGAATTATGTAAATGAGCTGAGTGATCAGAATGATATATTGGTCCAGACTGTGGAAGAGCTTGAAAAGGAAGCAAATGAAAGAGTTGCTTTGCTGGAGTCAAGGTTACAGAAGACAAATACTTCACTGAGGGTAGGCTTAAAATACACATCCCAGTTTTTGTACTGGTCCATTGCTTAGTTTAATGCAATTGTGTCTAACCTATGTAGGGATTTTAAAAATATGAAAATAAAACCTTTGGCTGAAGGATAACTTCAAATTGCCGAGTGGAGCTTTAAGGCGATTACATTTTCCTTGTGCCCATTGCAAGGCATAATTTTTTGGAATCCAAAGTTGGTTTGCGGAAACTAAATTTTGGGATGGTAGTTTTTCCTAAAAGCTTGGAAATTCCTGGTTCAAGTATCTTTCATAAAGGTATGAACAAAAGACAAACAATTATGTTTGAACAAAAAGTTCTACTCATAACTGATATTGCTGACATATAACCCTTTTGTAATTTTTTAAGTCTTATATGAATTCTAAAATTTGGCTCAATTAACTATTTCTTTTTTACTTTAACAATGCTGATCAAACTTTCTTAGGAAACAGCTACATGAACAACAGTTGGCAAATCATTTGCTTGATATTGTGTTGGTTTTAACCCTGCAAAATACTGCTGTAAATCTCTATGTTTGTATGTTTTTATCAGCATCACAATCAGACAAGGAAAGCAAATGCCATTCAAGTGATGTGAAACATAGAAAGTTTTTTCTACATTGAGCCCTAAAATGAATAATTTATTGGCTACACTTTTGGTGTATAGAACAGGAGGCTTTTATGTTGCTATTCTGAATTTCACACTTAATGCGATCATCAGGCAACTGCATAGACTGGTAAAACTGTAATTCTCATTGATCAATTGGCATTATCCTTGGTGTTATGTTTGGAAAAATGGGAATCAGTTTTAGTGTCTTTATGTTTGTTGCATGTGCAGATGATATATAGCATATTTTTGTCTGAAGGACCAAACCAAAAGGTGCAGGGATTATGAGCAAGAGCTTCAAAGAGTCAAGAATGAACACGAGGCATCATTGCAATCAATTGAGGTAAGCAAATTCTTGTCCAGATTGCTAAAACTGTGTTTTGTTTAATCTGCCTGTCTGTCATTACCCATGGATGTCCGATATTACCCACAGGGAGTGATGAGCGCAGATTTTAGAAAAGTATCAAACCATGAAAATCTAATATAAGAATAAATTCATCATAAAATTTTCACTTATAGATATGGTTTCCTAAGAACAAAAAAATGCTGTCTAAAAGAAATTTTAAATAGTGGCAATTTTAAATTGGCAAAACAATTAAAGGTGTCGCAATTACCCACAACTACCCTAATGCTTCTTAGAACATTTTTTCTTGCAACTACTGTTTCTGATGTTTAATGCATATATACAATACATTCTTAAATATTTTTATTCTTAGGACTTCAAAAATGAAGCTGCATCATTATCCGAAGAAAACATTCAGCTTCAGAATCACATTGGCAACCTTGAATACGACTCTGACTTGTTAATTGAACTCATAAACAAAGCAAAAACAACTGGCAAATGGGAGGTAAGTTGCAATGTCTAAAAACTTAACTTGTTCCTAAATCTTTTTCACATTGTCCTACAATGCCAACATATTTAGCATCTAGCTGCCAAAGTAAACTCTTGATTATACTTCTACCTGCAGGACATGGAAGCTTTGCCAAGTTATTAAAAGGGGAAATGATGGTAATGTGTATTATTTAAGGATAGGCTACTGGAAAGATATCTTTAGTCTTATTATATTATGTATTTGCTTAGTTTGAAAATTTCAAAATCATTTAGGAACTTTTAGTTTTGTTGTTGTATATAATTCAAGAAATAACAGGGGTTAAAAAAACTGATCAATACTATCTTTCATATTTTCGGGACACATAACAAATGCATTGCTGTACTAGCAGATGAATTTATAGAATTCAATTGGGAGTAACCTGACATTCTTTGCCAACATTCTGCTATATATTGATAATTCTGCTGTTTGTTTTAGCTCACACAACTCGATTTCCGAGCCATTCCATACGAGTCACTTGTCACAATTCACAGCCCTGGGACCCAGCCACAACAAATGTAAGTGTGTGAACCACTGAAAAGCAGCTGCTTTAGAATTTTGAAGAAAAATTTTTAATAAGTACAGCTTCAAGATTCGGACTCACAAATGAACGATTCTTGACTCAAATTCTGTCGTTTGCAGCAGCAGGAAGCGAATATAGCGTGACTTCATGCTGATACAAGCTTTGTGAATGTCGTAAATTTTCTCAACGTTAAACAAATATGCAACCAAAATCAGGTTTTTTTCTCTGAATATGTTAATAATTCTAGGTAAAATGTGCAGAGAACTGCGAGGATCCGTAGAAAACGATCCCCTCTATTTATGGTATACGCCTTGGCCTACGTGTAATGAAAGACTGACCTTCTTTCTTTTGATGTCGATATGCGTTGTTTTAGAGCAAACAGTGAACGAAGACTTAGAGAACATATTTCAGAATTGAATCGGCAAGTTAAAGGTCGAGATGACATCATACAGAGGCTGGAAAGGGATTTGAAGGCCAAGGAAGAACTATATAATGAGGTGCAAAACAAACTCGGAATCAAGGATCAAGCTTATTATTCTGTTGAAGGTACCATTATGTAACTTTGTTCTGTTTTCTCAAATCCCTCTATTTTAGCAAATAAAAGTTCTGTTTATTTAAGCAACGATATTTTAGTTTGCAGTCTTTTCATCCTTATTTTTGTGACCCACGCCTGAAATGTTATGTTTTTTCTTTTTCAACGGAATGTAGTCGTACGTAGAATTCGTATTTTTTGCCGCAGTACATGGTTTATCTGGCAGCAAATAGTTATACGAATCCCACACTAAACTTTCACTGATTTCAGTCTAAAAAGAAAGATCCATGATTGATAAGTCTGCGCAACCATGTAAACAAGAAGGCCCCGTTATATTCAGTCCGTTAAATGAATATTTATATTTGTTATAGTCTGTACATCTATTTCTTTAAAAAAGGCATTTTGCAATTTTGTTTCGCGGGTACATTCATTCCGAGTCAAATTTCTTTATATTCGTGATATGATTTCTTGGTAGCCATCAGGCTTCGCATTAATTCTAAAAGGCGACTTTGAAATAACTTCAAACATATGTATATTATAAAATGATCTAATCGTGAAGATGTACTACTAAAACAAAGGAGGGTTTTCTCATTTTGTAAAGATCTCGTAATTCCTCGGTGAAATTTTTTTTGCTTTCAAGAATGATATAAAACTCAGCTCTTTCTAGGTGATATAAAAATCTCAAATAAACCATTACCATTTTGCTCCGAATGCACAGTGAAAAATAATCTTTAACGGTTTTCAAGTTTTATTTCTATGTTTAGTTAATTTATTATACATTACTACCCTTCAGATTAGTACAACTGGTGAGTAGACGCACAATATCTTACGCAAAAAAAGTAGCATGCTGTTTAACGAGCCCCCAGAACGCCATTCGTTAAATAAACACGTGCCGTAGTATTCTTTTTGGGTGAGTAACAATCAGGGTTGGGCATATTTTTCTAAACCTCTTTGCTCTTGCTAAGGTGACGTGAAGTCGATGGAAAGCCAGCAGCAGGCTGCAACGTCTGCCATCACCAACAAAGACGTTCTCATCATGAAGCTTAAAAGCGACCTGCAGCTATCACGTGAGCACCAAAGGGATGTTGCGAAGCAGCTTCAGGACTGCGAAAGCACGATCGGGGAACTGCAAGTGGAGATATCTGATTTTCAAGATATTGTGTCAATAAGAGTGGCGGAGACAAAGACCAAGGAACAAAGCATTCAGATACTCCAACAGCTGTACAAGTCAAGTCAAGAGAAGGTATGTGCTTAAAGATCTTCATTGAATCAGTATCATGCACCTCTATTATGATGTTAGAAATTACTCAGATATTTAGAGGTTTTAAGCCAACATGACAGGGAGGGTTTCAAGGAAAAGATAAGAATTCTAAAAAAAAATTAAAAAGCTAGGGCACACGTTTAGAATTTCAGCGATACACTCAGGAGGCATGGAAATAATTCAAAACTGATCTAAGATCGTCAGTGTTGCAAAGATGAATGTAGAAATGTAGCCTTTTTCTGGCCATTGGTTCTGTTTGTAGGCAGATAGAGAGCAATAGAAATCATTTAGAATTGTTGGGACCGCTGATCACCATGTTGCTGCAGAGACATTTAAGGAAACGTTGCCTTGCTCAATTCATCTTGAAACGTTTGCCGAGCATTAATACTGCAGAACTGCTAGGATTACCATATTAGTGTCATAACATTTGATTTGTCTTTTATATTGCCGGCTTAGTTAAAGCATTTTCTAAAGTAAAATTATTTGAACATGTATTTGATGCAGCTAGAAGTTACTGTCTACTCCTTACAGACAATGATGTTTTGGATTTTCTCTACCAAACCAGTAGAATAAAAACATTGAAATGTTCTCGAGCTCTTCACCAGCCTACCAAGCCCCCTTTCACATTATCTTTGCCACCTTTGGTTTTTTCCTTCCTCAAACCTCTTTGTTTTCTTCTTTGTTCCCTTCATAATAATTTCTTTCAACGTAAATGAACAACACATACAAGATATCCGTTTCATACGAAATCCGACAACAGCACTTAGTGTGTTGAAGAGCTTCCCCTGTATAAACATAATTCTATTGTTGCTGCTACCATGCCACCTCGCTTGTTTCAAAAGCTCTTGTTTCTGCTTATTAAGGTGTATATTGACCATATCATGTTGTTGTAGCTAAGCCAAAGCGATCGGATTATCGAGCAGCTTAAAAGAGAAGTACAACAGGCTGTGAAACAATCTCAAGACGTCACAGCTTATGAGGATATGATACGCAGGCTTGAAACTGAGCTTATAGCTGCGGAGGAGCAAAGAAAGCAAACAGTTAGCGATTTTCATAATCTGAAGGCGTCTTTAAGCAGCTCTGACTCGGCTGCGAAGGAACATGTTGCATTTCTGAGTTCAAAGGTAACATACATTGAGCAGTAACCCCCATTTGTTGAAATCCCTTACCAACCAGATTATAACGTTATTTTCAAATTTTCGCCTTTGGAAGATAGATAGACCTTTGTTAAATGCTAATAAAGCTAGGTAAACTCATTTAAAGACTGTCGGTTTGCTGCTTGCTATACCTGCAAATGTTAATCCTTTTTGTTAAGAGGAAGAATCATCATTTAGTGGTTTCAATTGAGATGCAGGCTTTTCTTTTTAAGTTGCTTTTGTAGTTAAATAAATTGACGATTAACGTATAAGGCTCTCTTTACCATTTACAGGTTGAAGAAAAGGAAAGAGAGGTTAGCGATCTCACGAACGAGGTTCGATTATACAAGAGGAAAAATGAGGTCCATACATCAGAGGTAAGTATTCATCGAATTGTGGTTTTCAAGTCCCTCAGTGAGTTGGCTCCGCAATACCTTTGTCGCTTATTTACAAAAATTTCTCATTGCTCATTTCATAACCTTTGCAACGCTGACGAAAAGCGTCTTAAAAAAGGGAACAGTAAATGACAAAATCATTCCTTTATAAGCGCAAAGTTGTAGAATCGCTTTTCTATTTGGTTGAAGCAGAATATCTCTCAGAAAATATCCACAAAGTTGAATTTTTTTAGGTTTATAGTTAACTTTATAAGACAAATTGCATTGCAATGAAGTTTGTTGCCCTCGATGCTCCCCTTTTTGATATTTTAGTTTCAAGAGCAGATCGCTCCTGTACAAATTTGACCTACGCTTCTCATATTAACAAAATTTCAATTGCAGATTGAGAAAAGCCGAATGCGGATTGTCGAATTGGAGAGTGTGTCATCTGCGAGGGAGCAACAGCTTATGGACTCCAACGAGGAGGTAACACCTAACGTGTTGAAGATTTTTAGCCTATTTGAATCTTTGTACAGTTTAATTCACATAATTTGAGCGCCTTGTATTTTTAATGATCGCCATTTTAAATTAAATTTGTTCCCTTCATAATTATTCCATTTTCTTGTAACTTTCATAATCCAGAATTTTGCCTCTCCTCGAAATTTTAGATAAATGGGCGTTGACCGTATTCTTTGATATACTGAATTTTCTCCATTGAAGTATTCCTATTAGGCTGTAATTAATATAATAATATTTGAAAACAGCGCGGAAAAGCGGAAACATGTCAAAATAATATTTGGAACTTTTTAAACAGCAAAACCTAGAAAGAAGCTATATGCTTGTTTAAAGCGTTTTAAGCCAGAAGTTTGTTAGCAAAACGTCTGAAGCATTGTAAGGCAACTGTCCCTATATAAAGATTCCCAACAAATTACACGATTTGATATCCTTGTATGTAGTTTATCACATTTTTAAAAAATGTTTATAAAAATTTAAGAAAAATAATAGTGACAAATGAAATTTGAATCATCTTCACTATATTTGAAGTCCTTAAGCGTGTTCAGTTTGTCAGCTTCTTTTTTGGACCGATTTTCTACAAGTTCTCCTTTAAGATACCTGTAACCGTTTCTTTTTTATCTTTTCAAGAAGGAAAGTTCTTGTCTAAAGTTATTTCCTTGTTTTTTTATTTCACAAACTGCCTTTCTTTGTAGATAACAAGATTGCAGTTTGACTTAAAACGACTTAAGTCAAATTCTGATGATGAAAGGAAGGCCCTTGCACACGAAGTAAATACCCTCTTTACAATCAGGCTTGGTGGCAACATCTATCTTTTGTTGTCTTGTCTGAATTCTGTGCTCAATGTATTATATTATATTCGTTTTCGTTTTAGTTCATTTAATTTCTAACTTAAAATAGAGTGTTTGTATTGACGGGCGAAATCATTAGTAAGTGCATCTAGTTGAAAGGAGAAATTTTATCCGTTTATTGTTTATTTAATTTCCAACGTAGGAAAAAGGACTGAATTGTGAAGTTAGTTATTGATGATTTCGGAGAACAGTGAGAAGAATTGTTCTTTTGAAGCCTTTCAGACTTATTAAATGCTACATTGTTCCGTCCGCATGATACATTTTCCAAATAAGAATCCGAGACATTTTTAAATAGATCCGCACAGGTTGCTCTCCTTAGAGGAACGTCTTTGTAATAGCCATCAAGGTGATCTGATTTATCCAGCAGGACCTGCTTATGGGAGGCTCTAACGTCGGCTAAAGAGCTGTATTTGTATGAAAGATCTTATACTAATTTGATTCGATGGTCATGTTGTTTCATTAGCTTTTTAGAGAGCCAATGAAAGACGAATCCACCTAGTCCTTATTGTACATCTAAACTGACATTAATATCTAACTCGACTTTCTATTTTTTTCCCTTTGTGAAATGAATTTTCACGTGTAAAACAAGTCATTAATTTTTTATCAAAAGGTTGCTCAAAGAGAGGACGCAATTAGAAAATTAAAATCGGAATTACACGCCTTAGAAGAAAACGAAAATGACGCCATGTCAAAAGTAAGTAAATGTTGTGTGAACCAGACGTTAACATAAGTGAACCAGAAATGCCAACTCACTTATTCCAGAAATGCCAGAAATGTGAACTCAAATTTTGCTTATGCTTGTGCTAATCTTCCCCACATTTCTTCAATTGCCAATTTTTTACAAACATTGGGAAAGCTATCTGTATTTTTAATGCTTCTATGTTGCACACGAAAACTACAATTTCTAGTTTAATATGGTCGCTGTTATGATTTTCGTTTTGATATTAAATGTGTCGTTAGATTTACCAAATAGAATCGTTAGATTTACGAAATATTTGCACATTTTTTACAGCTTGCATACCAAGGTGAATTGATAAGAAAACTGAGGGATGACACAAAGACTGCATCACAAGAAGTGAGTCGATCACAAGATTTTCTTATTGCTGTTTTCGATTTTTTCCTATAAGCTTCAATCCCTTTCAAAGTTTCCAATAGATCTCTCAGCATTTCAACCCCTTTCCTAAAAAAGTTGGTTGTAGAACCTATTATCACGAATCCCCTGGAATCAATTGGACGACACTAAAGCTCTGAACGTGATATAAAACACAATTATTTCGAAAGACAAAAGGCGATGCTATTGAGTATTTGCAAAAAGCTTCTGCTTTGTGCAAAGATCGTTTTGTGGCATCTAAAGTGATGACTCGAAGAAAAAAGCAGTCCCAAATTGTTTTTCTTCTTAAATATTCTATTTATTTGCAAATCAAATGGCAGTTGAGAAAATTCTCAAGTAGGTATTGTGAAGTCAATTGGAATTTAGGACGTTGTTACCATTTTGTTTACTCTCAAATTTTTGATTTCCAATTTTTCTAAACAAAAATATACAACAAATTTTTTATTGCTTGGCCGGTTCAAAACAATGTTCATTTTTGCTTGAGGTAAATGCAGTTCTTTTCTACATGAAGTCTCCAGACGTTTCTAAATGCAGTTAAGAAACTGTGTTATTGCTAAAGGTTTAGAATAGAATTGTTAAACAATCTTATTATTATTTAACCGCAGGGCTCTTCCTACCGTTTGCTGACTGCTGATCTAGAACATCAAGTCAATTCTACAAACAATGCAGTAAGTATTGTAATGGTCAACATATATTAATTGCTTTTCTCACATTTTGAACTGCCTCTTGAAGACAAAGCTGTAATTTATGCACAAATTTACCAAGTTTTGATTTTACTTCCGCATCTACAGACCTGTTTTTCATTGCTTGTTTACATGCAGCTTCCCAATAGGGAAAAATCGAACACCCTCCCTTGACAGTTTTGTCCTTTGAAAAAGGAGACGGGTACCATACTGAACTCGACGTACCAAATAACTTTTGAGATTATTGCTAAAATTCTAAGGACCTTCCTTTCCAGAAATTTTGTACATATGCAGTACTTAAGTAAGCCAACGTATTTTCCCAACAGCTGAAAGATGTTCAGTCGAAATTGGCAGAACAAGCGGCGAAATACGAGGAGGCACAAAAGAAAAGTGACCAAGAGGTATGAAAAATTGCGTTTAAAAAATTGCTCGGCACTTTGAGCTGCATGGTTTTATTTGGATTGAACCAAACGTCAGAAATACGTCTCCACGGCAACTTTCCTAAAAATTTCATATGATATAGCACAGTGATAAATTACAGGTTGAGAGACATCAATTTATCATATTGTGACCATCAGACTCGTGGATCAGCCTTTAAGCAAATTTCATTTTGTTATTTTTCTCAGATTGTTCATTGATTAATTCACAAGCTATTTTTCCTTTATATAAATTGTTGTTTATTCTCGGCGTATTGCGGTGTTTCATATTTGCTATATTTTTCCTTTCTACTTTGAAAGAAAAAAGTCCCCCCCCCCTTTCTCCTCCTAACACATATTAAGGCGACTTACGCAAGATATAACTTGTAAGTTTTGTAACCAAAATGAAAGCATCTCTCAGTTGAAGACAGAAATAAGAAGACTCGAAGATGACTTAAAGCAAGCTGACAGCAAGGTAAATGCATTCGTCCCATTTAACTTCTCAATTTTACCAGATTGTAACTAATGATAAATCTGCATCATATTCGATGTTGTGAAAGATTTTCTGATCTTTGTTTTGAAGTGTGTGCGTATCTAACTCTTTTCTTGTTGTAAAAATGTTTACATTTCTTTCAATATTTATATTTTGCACGATTTCTAATCTTGATAAATACCTTGGAGGTATGACCTAATCGATGTACCTCCCATCAGTCAAGCAGACACTAAGTGTTAAACATAGTATATTCTTCTTAAAGTTTTACATATTAAAGTAGGTACTGCTTCTATCCTGTCCATTTATTTTGTATTAATGTTTATTTATTTGAATCGGAATGCTTCGACCAAACCTGAAAATTAGATCACATCTACGAATGACCTTCATTCGATGCTTAAGACAAAAAATGATCAGCATTTCTCAATCTGTACTTGCATTTTTCAATTCAACGTAGGTCACATATCGCAACGACGCTTTACAACGGTTGCAAAGTCAACAAAAAGACTACATAGAACAGGTGAGCTCATCCCTGCAACTCACGTGATACACCTTCAGCTTATTGTCATTTTGTTGTACAGAATTGCTTTTCATATAGACAATTTTCTACAACTATTAGCTGGATATTACGCATTGGTTGAATGTTTATGATTTATTTTTCTATAAAGCTCTGTCCTGAAACAAAGATTAGAAACTTCTGTTCCATTTCCCTTCTTCAGCATCTTCATTAACTCACAATTCTCTTTAAACTCAAAATCTGAATCATTCTCAAAAGGAAACAGCATTGGCAACAAAGTGGATTACATCTAATGGTTCTTCTATATTCCTTCAAGGTTGCAAACAGAGAGAAATCAATTCAAGATTTGGAGCTGCAGCTGCTAAAGGCCCAAGAAGAACAGCGAAGGATGAGTGAGGAGGTACACGAATCTGATTTCAAATTGCTCAGTATATCACCCAGAAAAGAACGTAATTCTTTCAACTAAAGAACCTACTTATATTAAAGGTACATATAAGAGTTGCAAAGTCAGAGGATCTCAATTTTGGTTGTCATCAGGAATTTGTGTTTTTTGATGAACTAGGTCCGTTTGGCAAACGTGTCTCATAACAGCCGATGGCTCAAGGGACAATGCCCTTTGAGTTATAAACGTTATAAATATATTTTGAAAACAAGCTGCTTTAAAGAAAATGGTCCTTTTTGCGGGACTTCACTTTAGGATAAGATTGCTTTTCACCACCTTGGAGGCATGTAGAAATTAGAGTTTGCCGTTCTGTATTATTTGCATCAAAGATATATGCGCATCACCGGTCTTATGGATGTTTTATAGACATCTGTAGATCCTTTATCTGGGGCTCAATGGGACTGCACAGTTTTCTTCTCTAAAATGATTCACAGGGAGAAAGATTATGGAGTTTTTAAGAGTAAAATTTGAGGGAGTAGAGTGAGAGACCCGGAGCAGATTGCCGCCATGTTGTTATGTTTCGGAGAGATTTTGCCTAGTGGTCATTGTTTGAAAAATGGATTGATAATGGACTTCTGCATTTGGTCCTCCATCGTTCTATAAATCATTGCTGGTATCTGCACTGATTCCAGTATCTTGCTTTATTTGTATAATACATATGTGTAAATTAGGATTTCATAATTTGAAAACAAGGCGTTTTCCATCACAGCATTTTATTGAACCTTAAAACAAAACCTTTTTTCATGGTGTGTGTCAGAAGTGACGTCCACTTGTACATGTTTTACAAGCACCTTTATTGTAATATTAAATTTTTACTTTTCCGTTTGGATAGGTAGCAAAACGTGAAAAAGCAAACGACGAATTGACTAAAGATCTCAAGGTTGCGAAGTCAAAATATAGCGATGCAATCGAAGAGGTAAACCAACAGCCCCTTTTTATTTTTATGTCATTTTGTGAGGGCAAAGCTCAAATTTCGGCATTCTTTTGATACAATTATTATATACCCTAGTTTATATTTCATACCTAAAAATATTTCTATAAAAATAACTCGTGAGTCAGTTTTAGTTGTTTGTGCAGTATATTTTTAACATGTAGTAACCGAAAATGTCCTGTTGGTTTTCTAAGAAATAAAAGCATTCTCAAAATAATATTTCCTTTTGAAGTAAAGATTTGTTCGTTGGGCGAGAGTTTTTAGTGCAGGTTGAAATTCCAGGAAAAATATCTGCATTAATTAGCATTTATTATCCCGATGAATTCTGTATCCTCGTAATCTTATCGGTATAATGTTGTCTTTTCGGCAGAATGGTCGGCTGGAAGCAAGAGTTAAGGCTTACCAAATTTCATCTCAAAGTGAAAACGATGTTTTAGCTGAAGAGGTTGGCAGCTTAAATGTTATAAATTTTGTTATTTATTGTAACCATGTGAATTTAATGTTTCCACGAAAAAAATTTTTATTTTGATATTTTGTGGCGGACAAGTGTGAAGAAAAGACAGCAAGCAGCAAAACGAGGAAAGAAGCCACTTCAGTACTTCTGCTAGTTGATTCAATTATTCGGCGTATTACACGCATTCCCTGTGGGTTACAAGCCTTTGTACTTCGTAGTGTTTCTTTGTTCTCCTGCTGCCCTTTGGGAAATTTGGGTGCACAATCCTCGCCGCTATTGCATCATCTTTTAGTACACAATGTTATTGCTGTTCTCAGAAAGCAGATTTTATGATGCTGTTTGTGTTTATGTGTGAAGGGGCTTGTTAGATCAATTTGTGAACGCTTTATTTATTGATAAGAGGACAGGGTTAATAGGTTTCCTTCATTTTTTTTTTCAGGTTGCTAAAAGAGAAGATGCTATTCACAAGTTGAAAGTAGAAAAACTCGAGTTGGAAGAGGATAGAAATAAATACATGGAGAGGGTAGGTTTATTCAGCAAGGTATTAACCGGATTCGATGTTTGCAATCAAAAACTTTGTTGGTTTCTTATTTTCTCACATTTATTTATTCAACTTTACGGACGGAAGAGCAATTTCCTTGTCAGTTTTAAGCATTTCATCCTTTATTCAAACCACCCATACTAAAGCTAGTGTGGAGATGCGCCTTAAGGAATTTTTCTCTCGTTCTTCAGGCAAACGAATTCGCTGAAAGCATTGCAAAGCTAGAGGAACAGAACAAAAACAATGTGCGAGAGGTACGAATAATTCTTCTTAATTTTATGACGATTTATTTTAAAGCATTGCCATTTTTATAACATCTTTCACCAAAAAGTCAAATGTGATGTTATTGTAAAAGCTTTTGTTAGAGAATTATTAAACTTGGTTTCAAAAAGATCGTTACAATACAAGATATGAAAAATAGCTGGCATATGAAAAAGCAGTCAAATTTGTGCAAAATAGCTGACCTATAGCCAAATAAACGCATTCATTTTCCCAGTCAAACAGTCATATTTTGTCTAGCTTTGAGCAGAATTAGCTGAATTTGTACATTAAGTAGTATTCTATGGTGTTTTTTCAAGTGATATGGTTAAAATAAAAAACATATTGCAAAAATTAAAATATATTTTCTGGTGAAGTTATAATATCAAACTCTACTGATATCATTTAATATCCACCACTTGTTGCTATAAGATTTTCAACAAAAGACATTCCAATGTGTAGAGTAAAATTGCCTTGCTTTAAATTTTGAGGCAATCACTTTAGTTGTTTTTATCAAGTGCATCTTTTTAATGCAGTTGATTGAGAGGGATGCCGTTGTAAATGAACTGGAGACCAAGGTTAATGACTTAAAGTTGAAACAAGAAGAATACACGGATAAGGTTGGTCCTCTTTGGCGTTTTTAAATCACTCAAGACAATCCCTTATCATACCATTTTAAATGTTTCCTTTAAGGCTTATTTCTTAGTCTAAACGTTTTTTTAGATTACTTGTCCGAACTATAAATTTATGAATTTTACTATATATGATGAAATTTCACACAATGAATATAATTCAGCATGTAATTACATGTAAAATAAGAATATTAACAGTTTGCCTAACTTTTTATTAAAAACAAACGTGATTATACTAAAGAGTTTGGTTCAATTCGTTATGCTAGGTTTCATTCCTTCTAGAACTCTAAAAGTTTTTCCCCATTTTGGTTATCTTTTTCGCTGAGAATCCCTTATTTGAAGTTGTTACTTTGATTGTTCTTTGCCAAGCTGGCTCTTTTATGATGTTTGTTTTTTCTTTAATTAAAGATTGAGCATTTTGAAGATGAAATAAGAGATCTCGTTATCAAATTAAATATGGCTGAACGCGATGAACAAGCTCGTACTCACGAGGTATGTATTTAGTCTGTTTGAAAAAATTTCAATATATGCATTGCAGCTTCAGAAAGGTTAAGAACGTTTTTGTTGTTTTGACTTTCTCCAGTTTATGTTATTTTGCTATCGGTATGGACAAGCTAGCTAGCGGTGTATATTTATTTCATAAATGTTGCTAGATTATTTTGAGCAGCCATAAAAAGCATGAGAAGGATATCTAAAAAAAGCAATTCTGTTTGAATCTTTGTACGAATAAGCTTAACAACAATACAACAGCTCGAATATTTTGAATGAAAAGCAATGCAGATATTGGGGGTGAAGCTGTGAACGGAGTGATCGGGACGGATCTTCTCTAGCAATATCGGTTTAGTTAGACCCTGACCATTTTTTCTTATTCTAGATTAATATGAAGCAGGAGGTCGTTGATCAATTGCAGATTGAGCTGGAGAATTTGAAGAAACAGCATCGAGATATTATAGATAAGGTACTTTTGATCTAGTTTTTCTGTTTTTTAAAGATTCCGAAAATCATTAAATTCTACTGTTGGGTTTCTGCATGTGCTCTTTTTGTAAATTAGTCTGAAAATGATTTTGATTGTCCAGTTGTACTTGTGTGCAACGAGGCAAAGTTACTCTACATTTTATCTCTTAAAGTTTAATTTAATTTTTAAGTAGCTTGCTGCCAGCGTGAAATAACTACAATCCAAATCCTTTCTAAAGATTTACCTCAGTGGTGTTCTTAAATTATAATTTCACAAAAATCTGTATTTAGAAATTTTGCATTTGGATCTCTTTACCTGAAAGAGCATCATGAAATACCTCTAAGTGTACAAAATAAGTTAAATGTGTAAAAATGTGGCCGCAATATGACCACTGTAATCTGGTCTCTTTCCATAACTTATTGATTAGAGCTAAAATAACAGTACTCCATTAGCAAAGTTCAAATCTTCCATTGCCCGTATCAATCTCAATTTTTGACATATTTTACTGATTTTGCTTATTTAGGCCCTGTTCACCCTGTAAATTCCTTTCGTATCGGATTCACTCAGCTTTTAAACAATCTAATTTTCCTTTGCATTAATCGTGTGAAGCTCATCATCATCGCAAGGAGCATATTTATTGTTTTACTACGATCCACTGTCATTTTGTGTCTTGAAAAGAGTGCCAAACTGTTTTCAAAAACCCGAAAACGAAGCTGCCTTTTCGAAACAGAGGTTCCGGAGCAAAACCGTATCGGATTCATGCATTCACACGAGCTCAAAAGTGATCCGATATGATTCCATTCCACATTCACAGCGGAGTGGTTTGACTCCGCAAAAACGATATGGAACGTATAGGATCCAAGCGTCATTGTGTGAACAGAAGGCCTATCCGATATGAAAAGTGATCCGATACAAAATGAATCCGGTATCGTGTGAACAGGGCCTTAGATTCGTGGTGCCCCTTTACGTTATGTGGTGAAAATTAGAAAAATTAGAAAAATTGATTACTTATGACGTCACACATAGAATTCTATTATCCAAGCATAGAATGACCTAAAAGTATTGTACCACAAATTGATGCGATCATGTTTATTGAGTTATGCAACATTCACAATGGCAAATGAATATTTTGTGTTTTTATTTGTATGCATTAAACTTTAAACCGAGTGTAGGGTTGCATCAAAATTGACCTGATTATATGTCAATTTATATATTTTTATATATTTATTCATATATCAATATTGCTGTCAATTTCAGCTGTCGAAACGAGAAGAACAGATCAGCCAGCTAAGCAAGGATGCTTCGTCTCTCAAGGAGAAAGAGAAGGATAAACAAAAGGAGGTAGAATAGCTTATATTTTCATCATGGAAATTTGATAAATTAAGTAGGGAGGGGCTCGTAAATGTTTTCCCAAATAGCCACATCTTTTTCTCTGTGGTTTTGAAAACAATGAAAGCCTATCTTTTGACATTTTTATAGGAGAGCTGGACCAAAGCTACCCTTATTGCCTGAAGTTCTCTCCATCTCAAGTATCTGTGCTCTCTCTAGCGGTAGAGGACACCAGATCTTCTAAAGATTAAAACTCGATAAAATATAGAATATAGATATGTTTATATTTATGTTTATATTTGAGAAGAATGTAGAGGTATTTATTTTCGTTTGTTCATGTTTCAAGTCTAGGTGTATTTCATGCCATTTTCAGCAAGGCATTGACTTAAACAGTTTCTTGAAGGTAATTTATTCCTTTCGTAATAACCCTTCACTTTTTTACAGATCTCTAAACACATAGAGAGCATCAAGAAACTCGAGAAGGACCTGAGCAAGTCAAGTAAAGACATTGAGACAATTCGTAGAAAATCAGCTGATGATGTAAGTCACTTAGATAAGCAAAAACCGCCGAGTAGTTGAAAATAATCCAAAACGTCTTGCTGACATGATATATTCTTGATTCTAAACGATATAAATAAGAGCCAAATGAAGATTTTAGCATGTCTAGAGGCAGTGAATAGCAAATAGTACCGACCTGCTGTAATAAAGGATTTACGTTGTACGATGTTAGATCCTACCCAAAAAACTTTAGAGTCATCTGTATTCTTCATTAAGAGGGAGGTAGGAGGCTTTCTACACAGGGTGATCCAAATAATCAAACAATGCCCTTTTTCATAAATCTGTTTTTTGGAATAATGTAACAAACCAATTTGTAACTACCAAGAATTGACAGGTTCAGGATTTTCAAGTGCTGTTGAAGCTTGATTTCATTTTCTTCAATATGATTGCGAATGTATATATTTAGTGCTATTTAATTTGGAAAGTTGCATTCATGACAAACATGTAATCACTAGGCGAATAAGTTTTTCATAGTTTTTTGAGGTGTTTTCCTTGCCAAAGGATTTTATTTTATGTGTTAGCACAAAATATATCGAATAAAGTTTATTTTGATTGATTTATAGTTATGAATTGTACCAATTAGAGGGAAATTTTTTAACAGATCATTGTTGATTTCGAAATGAGATGTTAAATGGGAAATATGTTTGTCTTGAATGCTTCTCTTCCTTTTGCACCCAACTTCAGGTATTTTTACCTGTATTATAAGAAAAATTGTAGATTTTAATTTGAAAGGCGTTGTTCCATTCATTTGGACAATCTAAATTGGGTATTATGAGAATTTTAGAAACCGTTTAAACATTGAGAAAGAAATGATTAAAAAATGGAAATTTTCAAGATAAAGCCCCCTGTAAAACTAAGAACCCAAAAGTATTTGATAAAGTGAAAAGTCAGTCGCCTTCAAACGTCATTCATTTGAGCGAAATAGGGCCTAAATCTATATTTGAATCAATTTTGTTGAGTATTTACCAGAGCTGTTCACCCTTTGGCACGAATTTCATAAAAGTTTGTTTCAACCTTTGTGTGTGTTTTTTTCTTTCGAAAAGGTCTAGCAATTCTTTAAGCGAACTTAATTGTAAATGTTACAGATTGCCGTCAAAGAGCAACGCATCAGACAACTGGAAGAAGAACTTGCCTCTGCGCAGCAAAGATACGCGGATGTTTATGAAGAAGTATTATTCTGTTTTTTTATCTATTGAAAATTGCCGTATAAAGGAGGTTTGAGCCACTGAGATATTCGATTCGATTCGCGCAAAAAATGAAATTTCAAAGCCGTCTAAATGATATCTTTCCCTTCGGCCTTTTGATGACACTCTAGGTTTTAGGTTTAAGGGTTTCTTGAAAGGGTTTGTTCAAAGATAAAAGCGTGCATTTTTATGTAAAGATCAAGCGTAGACTAGGTATAGATCAAGCCTATTATCCAATCAATGACAGCGGCGTGACGCTCAAAAAACAATCTATCCAGCGAAGTAAGTACTGTGAAACCTCCATACAGCGCAAAGATACAGGATCAGAATTGCTGTCTTACTGAACTACTGCTGGGAGATAATGGATAGGCTTCTACAAGGCTATTGCCACGAAAAAAGAAATTTTTTTAAAAATGTTCTCTGTTGTTTTGAAAGTATTTCTTTTTTAGAGACGTGCCTCGATACAGATTGTTTCCTTTTGTCGGAGGCATCATACTGCCATTTTAAGTTTTGATGCCTCTGGCTTTCTTACTTATCTATCTAAACAGTATGCCTCTTTAAAATTTTTGGTGCAGATACGGTTTGCCTGGTGCAGCCTAGCCTGAAAAGGTATATCTATAAATATGTTTCTGTGAATAGCTTGTTTTACCGTTTTAGTTGTCCAAAGCCGAGGAAGACCTAGGAAGAGTGAAAAACGAGCAATCGGATCTTCATGACAAATACCAGTCAGCACAGTCGCAGGTAATTGTAATTAAATAAGTCATAGAAAATATACTTTTGCAATGAAATTTTACTTACAACAGTATGAATTCAACTGGTTTGTTATATCGCGGATGCCGAAATTCTACCTTTTAAGTGGACATTATATTGAAAATAAGGGACGAAATCGAGACTTGGCACGAATGGCAAGGGACTGGCACGAGTTAAAAGTAAAGATCTCAAAGGGTTTCCTGTTCTGTCGAAAGCCATGTTTGGTTTTTCAGCAAGCCGCCCATTGATCAGTTATCAACTTATCGTTTGAGCGCATGCACCATCGGCAATTCTCAGGCTATTCTATATTCACACGTCAACCTAACAAAGCTATTTGTATCTTCATACCTTTCGCAATACAGTCCCTCACCAAAATGATATGGGGATGTATTGATTTGATATTCTTTAAAGATTGCTTGCATTGACATGCCTCATCACAAACGAAGGGATTTATTTTTCTTACAATTATCATCAGACACATTCAACTGCTAAACTGACTAATACTACTGTTATGAAAGTGTTCCATTTTCGGTTGAATGAAGTGATGAATGAATGAACAGTTATTTAAGCATTCTAGTCTGCATTCTACTGTGTTGGTAAAGTGCTTTTATGGTATGGCTTTAGTTAATGCATTTTTTAAAGTTAGACCTTCTAGTATCCATTATTTACTTTTGAATTTGCAGTTTTTTTGCTTGTTGAAATTTCCCGAACTTTGAGGAACATATCGTAAATATTTCATTTTCCCGAAGCTATTGCAGTCCGAAGAAGCAATCCAGCATCTTGAAATGGAGCTAAGTCTCACTCAAGAAAAGCATAAAACATGTATTCAAGAAGTAAGCAATTTTTCAATTTTTCGCATTGAAATGTTAGTAGGTTATTAGTTATTTGAATTTTTTTATGATTAAAGGAACAACAAGAAGTCAGTTGAGTGAGCTGAAACCTATATTCAAATTATCATGTGATTATTTAATTATTGCAGTTATTACTCAAAGACAATCGATAGATACTGAAATGGCATAGGCCATCTGTCAGTCAACTATTAGCCAATCAACAAACGTGTGGGTAGTATTGACGTGTGGTTGATGACAGATGGCCCAACCCACTCAAATACCTGTCGATTGGCTTTAAATTCTCTTAAAAATCTCCTGTGTTCATAATAAGCGGTATCTTTGTGCGAATATTTCAGATTTCAGTTTTTTAAGATATGTCTTCACTGATAACGATTTCAATACGCCTGAAAATTGTTGCTTTCGAAACGCCTAACGTCAAGATACATAATTTTTCAATATTTTTTTATATACTCCAGATTCATAACGGTTAAGTTCCTTGTCTTTTTTTACAGACAGCCTGGTATCACATTTGTTGATGTAATTTTGGTCATAAGTTTCATGTTTTGCCAAATATTTCTTTCCTTTCAGGTGGCCCATAAAGATGGTGTTATTCTAAATCTTCAATCAGAACTAGACGCTACGCAGCAGGAATTCGAAAATACTGTGGAGGAGCTAGGGCAAAAGGATGAAGAGCTTGCCAAACTTAAAGCCCAAATCAAGGAACTGAAGGCAGAGCTCAAAGAGCTTCGGTCAGATCGGGAAGAAAATATAGCTAAGGTTCTGATTTTCGGTTGTGTATATTGACTGTTGCTTTATGTTGTGTTTATTTTTGTCCTCTGAATTTAGGCCCATCAATACTAATGTGTTTCGAGAGTCTTCATGCTCAATCAAAAACCATTCCCACCATCAGATTTATTCGTGTCCACATTGAAACTGCATTGAAAAACAATAACTCATGAAGTTTTGCTTTAAAAATTCTCCGTTTTTGCTGCCCAAACTGACAAAGTAATGGATGTGTTTCAGCGTGTCTCTGCTTTGAAACCCGTTTCCCCTGTTTCTGTAAAGATGCAAAACAAGAACTGATAAAGAGTGCTGTTCTATGTTATTTTAATATGCTATTTTTTGCGTTATAAGGGGCATTATTAGGGCCAGGGTTGTGTTCATACCTGCAAGGAAATGAATAAATTCCTAAAGATCTTAGGCGTGTTCATGCCTGCAATTGCTTATTGTTAGACGTTTTTCTATTTGGGTTTTTAATTTGGACTCACTGTCAAAAAACTCCTTTCATGCTGTGTAGATCGAAGACCAGGAAGACCAAATTAGAAGACTGCAGAGTGAACTCGCTCGGCTTTCTGAAGAGGTCAGGAACCTTATACTGTCTTTGCGTCTTCTTTTTAAAGATTTTCTTATTAAAATTAGGAACTACTTATCGTTGCTTTTTTTTAAAGATTTGTCATAAACAACTTGAATTTTTGTATTGATATTGAAGAGGACGGCTTATTCTTGGATCAAAATTAAACTGATATCTTTTAGCATTAATAATTGACTCTGATGTTTGGAAATAGAAGACTATAGGAGTGTCAGTTTGGCTTCGCAATGCCACCATCATTAACTTACAAAATATTGTTTTTGTTAAGTCTTTTCAAAGCTAGTCAATAATGTCATACCATGAACAGAGAACTCCTGTTCATGCTAACAGAATAACTCCAATTCAGATGCGCAAAGTTAATATTTCTTCATTTTCAAAGACTCAAAGCAAGGTTTCGAAGATCAAGCAAATGGAGCATACTTACACAATCGAGGCGAAAAATTACGAAAGCGAGGTTTGTTAAAGCAGCGAGTCTTTGTAATTTTCCCTGATGATGCAAGCTGTGGTCAATCTAAATTTTTAAATTAATAGACAGCAAGCATTCGTCGGCATCTTTAAAATTATTCCAGGCCTTTTATCTGTCTACTTGGACTGAAAGGGACAAGGTGGATTTAAAACCAAGGGTAAAACGTTCTTGGACAACTGCTTACATAAAATCATAATGCGCCCATCAGTGATACTCTTCTCGTTGTTTGGTGCTTTTTGCCATGTTTGGACAAAAACATTCTCACATCCACTAGTTATCTATTGCTGATGAAAATTCAAAGCCAGTAATTCTTTTTATGTTTTAGTCCCTTACCTAAAAGCAATTTTTCCTTACTTGGTATACATGATAATCTGACACCCGTTTATCATTCAGTTTTTTTTATTATTTTTATAAGCTTTTTTGTTTGCGTTTAATTTATTTTTGCATGCTTTTCCGGTTCAAGATTGAAGCATTGCAATGCGAAAAGAGTGAAGTGAAGAGTGACTTGGATGAACTCAACGAACGGCATGATGAGCTGCAAAGACAGGTTTGAAAATATGTCCTTTTGAATAGAGATAACAGACTTGTACGCTCCTTTTGAGCGCGAAGAGCATCATAACCCTAAACCCATAGCTTCACAATGTGTGCTTGGCATCTCTGTCCGAGTGTTTAGCTCTGTTGCACTAGCATTAAGGCACGATTTGGCATTTCCATTCCTAGTCTCATTTCCATCCCTAGTCTCATTTCCATCCCTAGTCTCTATTCATACCAATATACACTATATTCTTTCATCTTGTTTAGCTTCGGGAATCAGAAGAGAAAGTTAAAAATCTATCAAGCAATGTACAAACTTCAGAGAAGCAAAGGAAAGAGATCACACAAGAGGTGAGTTTTTTACAGGACTGGATTGTTTGATTTAAAATATACTGTTCGAAGAAAAGGGTTGAAACTCGAGATTGCTGTCAATTAAATCCTCTCTTCATGATCACACTCTCTGACTGTAACTGATATGATATGATGTTCTCTAAATGAAAGCTTGTTTTGTATTTTCCTAATTATAGCAACTATGCAAATGAGCATTCATATTAACTTTACTCACAATATCGAATTATTCTGGCTATATGATCAGCTTTTTGTAACTACTTTGAAATTTTTCTGCACTAGAGGTTTGTTTGATTTTTATACGAGATGATCTTTTTTTAGTTTCCAACTGTTTAGCAAACATTTCATAGAATATTCCATTTGTGGCATGACCAGGTTTGAGGCTTTTGCCAATAATTTGCTGTGGGGCTTTGTTTGTAGTAGCATACTGTATTTCGAGGGCCATGGAAATCGCCCTGATATCCCTGCCATTATTGGAAATTGAGTTAAATGAAAATTTGCCACTCAACAATTTGTATAACATAACAATGTAAATCTTGTTTTCAAGAACGAACAAAATGTCGAATGTTTACGAAGAAGAGATAGAGAAATCGAAGATCTGACTCGAAAGGTAACTTAGCTATTTTCAATTTCATTCCTGCTACATGCAGAAGGATGGTTGGATTTTTCCTTCTTTTTAGAACATTGCCGGTGTCTTACTTAGGTCGAATAACTTTATTTTTGGTAATTTGCTGTGATTTTTGTAACTCCATTAGAACTTTGTCGTTTCGAAAAGATTTAAGATTTTAGAAATATGTAAATGGAAGTAGTATATTTGTAAAGACGAAACGAGCAGGGTAGATGCAGATTGTGAATAAGAATGATTCCAAATGCTAGACAGTTTTTGAGTCACATCAAGATGAACCTTGAGATTTGAAAAGGAAGAGCTTTCATTACAAGCTTTGGAAATAAAATCAGTTCATTTCTATTATTTGTTTGTCAGCAGGGTCGATTGCTTCAAACGAATGTTTTCTTTATCGTTTATATTGATCTTTCAAGCCAGATTAAGTTCATTCTGAAACACAATTTTTAGTTAAAAGGTAGATTTCTGAAACAGGTAAGAATTTACATGAACTGGCAGTTACTTAAAGGTAAATTATTGTGGGTTCTATTTGTTTCTGTAAAGGTGAACAGTGCTGAAAATGAGCTTCAAAACTCACAAATAAATTGCCAGCAACTTGAAAGCAAACTGAACTATGCTGAAGAACAGTTAAGAGAAACGAAAAATAAAGTAGATCATTGCCAGGGTGCCATGAAGGCTTTAGACGACAGTTTGACGGAGGCCAAGGAAAAGGTTTGTGTCATCCACAGCGTTTTAACGAATATGTCACTAATTCAAAGCTTTAGATCATAGAAATAAATGAACCACTTTGCGCAAAACCAACTTCATGTCACCTTACAAGAGTGATGTAATTTATTCCAATTTGTGGAATTTTTTTTATTGTCAGCTGTCAAAGCTACAACCCTTAGCAAAATAATTTATTCGTTTATTCAATGAACACATTTTTCTTCATGCAAATGTTTTATTCTTAGGTTCCGTAAACAGATTGCAAAGTTTTTCGCAAATTTTTTTAATGCAAATTTATCAACTTTACGCTGTTAAAAGGTTTCAATCGTTTATTCAGTTCGTATCACACCTTGTACCCAATTTATTGTATTTTCTACTGCAGATAATGACTCGTGATGCAGAAATTGTTCGAAATCAGATTGAATTTGATAATTTGAGGAATCAACTGGATGAAAAGTCAAAACAAGTAAGATGATTCTGAAATTCAGAAAAACCTTTCGGCAGCTTTTTGCCTTTTATAATTTCAGAAATTGATCTTATTTCGATTTTGGATTTCTGGTAGATTATTCTATGAGCACCTATATCCTAATTGTTTTTTATTCAAATTTTATCAATAATTCATTTCTTTGTTTCTAGTCCGAAAGCCAATTTCAGAGGATTAAGGAAATGGAAGAAGAAATCGTGAAAGTGCAGTCGAAAAATCAAGAATGTGAAAAGCAGCTGGATCGGTGCGAAGAAGTTTTGAAAGATCTAACTGACAAACTTGCAGAAAAACAAAAAGAGGTTGGATTAAAATCCGAGATTTAGACCCCGTTTACACTGTGCGGGATAAATTTTATCCGCATCAAAATTAATTCAGATAGGCGTCGCGTTTACACTAGACCCACGCTATCTATACGAATTTGAGAGCGACTATCCGAACAAAATTAGTTCATCTAGGAAAATGGATTAAACTGGTTCGGATAGCTATGCGGTACAGTGTAAACGCTTTTATCCGGATAAATTTTATCCACATGGTATCTTGCTCGAAAGCGATTGGCTATTTCATCCAATTTAGTTTGCACTGTCTCCCAATCAAGACCATTCGCCATATTGGCTGCCTTGTTGTCGATAAATACTCGTGTTAAAAGTGCAGTATCTTGCCAGTCCACGTAAAATTGGCATACTTGTCAGCTTTCCCTACTTTCGTTGCTAGTTCAGTGTCATTTTGTTTCAAGAACAAGCTATCAAAACAAACTAGGGCTAATTTGTATTGACAATATCTTTGGATTTGGTCTAAATGAGAAGCAGATGATTCCGAAGAGAGAATGAAGTCTTTTAAGTTGGCGTGAATTTTGTTATTATTTTGTTGCCCAGAGAAGACTTCATTTTGAGCGTTCTGTGCATGATTTGGGTCATGTGACTGCAGTTATCCGGCACAGTGTAAACGAGAGGGCAAAGTGGACAAAATTTGTGCGGCACAGTGTAAACGCAAATCAATCCGAACAAGTTTTATGCGGATAAATTTTATCCGGCACAGTGTAAACGGGGTCTTAAAAAATTTCATGACTTCTACCCCCATAATGGCAGCTTAAATCGTCGTCTCAGGAGAATAAAACTATTCGAAAACGAACTTTTTCTTGGCTTCTTTTGTTCTATATTCGAATAACTCCATTGTTCTTTTGTTGAAAGTCTTTTTTACAAAGAATTCGATAAACAATTGTAATACGAGTATGCCAAAAAGTTGTAGCGAAATTTCTTTGATTTATTTCAAAACGAAGCACGGGAAATACAAAGCTCATCTTGTAAGTTGAATAAAGTTAGATCTCCTACTTACCATTTAATTTAACTCAAGAGAAATGCAGTGGCTTTTCCGCCCTGGATAATTTGTGATTTGATTGGTTAGATATAGGGTTGTTAATTTGTTGTTGTTGAAGAGTGTATAGTTCCAGTCAATAACCTGTCCCTTTTGAGGAAATCTCAAACCATAAAAATCAGCAATAGGGAGGACCAACGCAAGCGATAAGGAGCGATCCAAAACAAATAAATCCGATTTGAAAGAGCTTTATTTAAAAATAAAGTAACGTCAACCAATATTTTGGGAAGGCATACGGGGCTTCATCACAAGATATATCAGAGCTTTGCTTTGTTCCTCTCTAATGTTTATTATCAAATTTTCATCGCAAGATTCATATAATCCAGCGGACGACATTTTTCAGAATCTCTTCTTTGTAGCTTAAAAAAGACATTGTAAAAATTAATTTTTTGTTTTAGACTTTGTCTCAAAATGCGAAAATAATAAAACTGGAAAATAGCAATAAGGAATTAAAAGATTTGCACAGAAAAGGCCAGGAAGAGGTAAGCTGTACAGGCTTTAAGATTTGAAATGTTTTTGATTATTTTTGGCTCTTTTTCAGATTTAATCCTTTGAGTCTTCAATATCTTTTGAGTCTTACAAAGTTGTTTTAATCGTTGGCTTATAGTAAATTGAAGAAATGGATGTAAATTTTCGTTGAGCGCGGGTGTATTATTTTATCATAATTTTAGCAGATATGAAGGCAAACAACATTTTCTTATACGAGGTAGACCTCTTGGAGAAAAGCAACTGCTGGCTTTATGCGGTCATATGAACTCGAATACTGGTAACAAATTTAATATTCTAATGTCAGATTTTTCCTCAACTTTGCAGCTGAAGTCCTCCCAAAACTCAAACCGCCAGTTAGAAAGTGAACTAACAAATGTGAAGGATGTATGTTCAAGGCAAAAAGATCAGGTGTGTTGCAGTTAATTCGTTTTGAACAACTAAAGCAAAAAGGATGAATTATAACAAGGAATGTTGTTTGCACTTAAACACTTATTATTCCCAAAATTTGTTTATCATGCGCAAAATAGTACAAATTACTCTTTATATTGTGAAATGCATTTTAGCATATCTTTGCATACTTTGAAGTACATTGTTGGTCAACTCTATACAACGTACGTCAGCTTTGATGATCTTCTAATTCCTGTCAATAACAGAATTTCAGGGTTACCGATTCAATTTTAAAGCACAACACAAAAATTATATCGTTCAAAAACTTCAGGAAAAGAGAATTTGAGTAACGAAATAGTTAATAATGAAAATGTTACCTGTGTTCCTTAACTCTCATAGTAGACTTTGATCTTAAGGTTGAATTTTTTAACTCAGTATTCATAACAGTTGATTCCTGCTGTTGTCAGAAGATTGAACATTTTGGTTATAATCATAAGCAAAACACAATTATATGTGGCTAGATTATCCTCGGATAACTTCAGCTGAAACAGCATTTTCAAGGGACCCAATATTGGCTCGCAATCGCTTTACTTTGCTGAGTTGATCTGCAATGAAGTTCAATTCGTGACTGCGTCAGTGCCGTGTATAAGATAAGAAAGTTGTTGCATGGAAATAGCGATTGGTTATTCCATAGAAATTATCTATTCAACGCGTGTTTGCGCGAATGTTGCTGACATATATTTTGTCTTTAATGTAGATACAAGAGCTTGAAAGTCATTTCCGAAGTTCACAAAACATGGTGAGATCGCTGGAGGATGAAAGAATACGTTTGCATGAAAAGGTTGGATTGATTGTTTTGCTGTAAATAGTTTTGTATTATAAAGTAGTCCCTATAAAATAAGAAGTCATATGTACAATTGTGTACAGGAAAAGTTTATGATTTTTTTGCATCACTCTCCAAGCCCAATTTTGTTATATCTGCCATTAAGATACGTTTTCTCCAGAAGTGTGGAGGGGGGTCCCTTTCTGGACCGTTGTGGCCAGGATTGTTGTTACGGAATGATGAAGGCTAGACTGTTAAGAAGTGGTTTAGTATCTTGAATGTGTTAACTGTTGTCTTTGCGTGAGAAAAGATGGAATGTAAGAGGCGTGCTGAACTCAAATAGATATATTTATAACCATGTCAAGCACAGCTATAGAAGCGGAGCGACAATATCGAACGAAAAAATACAATAAACTATGATATTTTGATCCAATATTTGTATGCTGTCTAAAAAGAGAACTTTCTTATCCTAGCTTACCAATGTGAGTGATAGTATGAAAGTGCTGAGGAAGAATTTTGAAGAGGAGAAGGAGCACAGGAAGTCAGAGGTATTTCAAGGGTTGTGATGTGTCCCTATTCATCGATGATAATTCACATGTATATAGTCATATCTTGTTATATGGTTTGTTATTTATTATGTAAGGTCATTTTTTGCCTGATATAAATGCGCTTGGATACGAGGCAACCCTCGGTCAGGCCAACCTTTATAGAATTACTTAGCTTTGGTAGCCTGTTGGACATTTGTTAATTAGAATCAAAAGTTTTTTAAGAAATAGGTTAGTAAAAATGTTTGATTGATTCATAAAAATTTTAGGCTGGTTCAAATCTTTTGGGTACTAGAGAATTGCTGCATTGACTTTTTGAATTGCGAGTCTCGCTCCCGCATTTTTTTCCATTCAGCTCTTGGTTTGTGACGGGGAAATGGGGGTGTGGCAAAGGGGAAATTTCTGGTTGACCCACAGGCCATATTCTACCTAGAAACGATTGTCTATTTATGTTTTTAATTTCCACTTTTAGGCTTTTGTTTATTTGCTAAATGCAATCGTCAGGCAATCCATTTTGAGTAATTTCATCAGAGTTGTGACAGTAGCTTAATTCTATGAGCTAATTTAATCCGTTTCTTTGTTTGAATTTTTCATAGGGCGAAATTAATACAGATAAAATCAAAAGTCTGCAGCGAGAGCTGAAGATATCACAGGAATCTAACAAAGAGCTGATTCAACAGGTATGCTTATTAACGATCGCAACAGCTACAACAACAACCACGAAAACAGCAGCAAAAACATCAATAATAACAAAAAACATTTGCACCAGTTTGTTAGTAGCAACTACCACAAACAGCATTAGCAAGACTTAATTAAATCATTTAATATCTATGTGTCCGGATTTACTTTGTATACGTATTTGATTCTGCGTCTGCAAAACTGCTGGCATGTTTTCTCTTAACAAATTGAACTGTCCTTGTTGTACGGTTGAAGGAGTTCCTTGGTACCACCATGTTTTCATGGCACAGGAAAACTCAATTTATACAAATATACTTTTTAAGCCGAATCTTTAAAGAGCTGTTCTTAAATTGCAGGTGAACCAATTAGACAAAGATGCAAATCAGCTCAGAAGATTGCTGTCAGACAAAGAGGTAGAAGGCAATTTGAAAAACGACGAGGTGATTATATTGCAGTTTCAAATTAACTTCTCTGTAATGGTATAAAGGCTGCTAAATTGTAATCTTTCATTGTAATCTTTAATGGAAAATAAAGGGCATGATATGTCAGAGTAGATATGATAGCAGTACAATAAAGCCACATAGTATTTTGGGGGTGGGGGGTGGAGAAGGAGGGAGGGAGGGAGGGAGAGGCTGCTGACAGATAACAAATAAGGGACAATATAGAAATTAACATACATATAAACCTCTTGCATTAATTTTTATTTTGGGAAAAAATTGAATATATGAGCATTTTGAATGTTTTATTTTTTACTAAAGAGGCTAGTTTTGATTTAGTTCTTTGAGCTGAAAACTTTTCTAACATTTGCAAGTTTCTAAATTCGTTTATTTTTTTTATTGATTGTAGCATGTGCTGTTAATTTCTTTCCTTTGTATTGCAGCTTTACAATTGTGAACAGACAATTAATGAGCTGCATTCGCAGTTGCAGAATTTACTTGAAGACAAGAAGACTTTAATGAGGGAGGTTGGCAACGAATTAAAATATAGTTGCAACGATTTAATCCCACTACGACTAATTAGCAATGCCTTAGTCTGGTAATATTCATATGTAATGTTCGTTTATTACAGGTCCACTTTTTAGTTCTGATCCATGTGGTTTTCTCATCCTTTTCAAAGTAAAGCATATGACATTATGTTAAATTTTTTTTACAATATCCTATCGCAATATTTTGCTCATACTTTCTGTTGGAAGTTGCTGCACTAATTGTAGTTAAATTTTTAGGCGATAAGAATTATTTGTAACAGCTATCCTTTAATTGCTAATTTTTTTCCAATCAAGAATGCTTCTATATCGACTGAGCTTGGCCAATTGCGTACAGAACTTAGTGATTGCAAGCAGCGATACAAAGACACTGCCCAACAAGTAAGTCTTCAAGTTATATGAATGACACTGAGTGACATCCCATTGACAGCATTAGTGAGTTTAATATGATTGCGCTTGAAATATCTACTGAATCGCATTTCGTAAATATTCCGATTTTTAGATGAGTCATTTGGAGTGTATGTAATTGGTACTATCAAAGTGCAAAAGGGGTCAGGGTAGAATGCATTGCAACCGAGCGCTACAAGCCTTTTTACATATTCTCTTAAATTGTTGTTTTTCCTTAACCAGCCCTATTCTACTTAAGTCCCATTTAAATGATCCAACATTTTACTCAATCTGAATTTGTGCGCCTAACATTTGAAAAATATCGTTGGCTAGTGTTGGGTGAAATATTGGATCATTTGAACGGGACTTAATACATAGTAGGTAACATCTACATGGGAGTCTCTAAATATATACAGAAGATAAGAGACTCATCAATTTTCATCATTATGTCGACGAAGGGTTAAGCAGCATCTCTAAAAGGCAATTCCCCCGGCAGAAGGGTCCTGTAAAGGATCACAAATAAACAGTTGGAACCATTTGTTCGTTGCTTAAATTGGCAATCTTTTGGGGGATTTACAGCTTATTTTTGTTCTTGTAAATATTTCATCTGTTGTTGTCGATTCTGTTGTAGCTTGCACATCATGAAGAAAAAGGAAATTTGTTAGAAAGAAACCTCGCCGCGACACAGGAGCAACTGAGCTCAAGGGTTGCTGAGGTAAGTTGCCGAGGTAGAATAAGAAACGAAAGCATACAGTAGCTCTTGCTTCATTTCCAAATGAATTTAAGCTAACGTATGCAAACATAGACAGCGCAGTCAACGACATAATTGAAAGAGAAAGTAATGTATCTATATTAAAACATGAGCAACATGCAGATGAGGTCAGTTTTCATGTTCCAGCACTTTCACGTGTGCGTTTTTCATGTTCACGTGAATCATCAGGCGCATAGAATCAAAAACAAGATAGCTTCATGGAAGAATGAGAAGTAAAATATTGTATGGTTTCTTTTCCTCTTAGTGAATTTACATCGCATTTATCTTTTTCATACTCATAAAAACTTTTCATATCTTTTTCATAAAATTTTTTAATTTTTTTTTACAAGGCTGTCAAACTGGAAAAGTCCATCAAGAAATCGCAAGCCGACCTTGTGTCTGCGAATGACGAGTTGTACATCAAAGCTCAGGAGGTGTGGAAAACTATTTTGCAACAATCATCAGATTAGTATTACCAACAAATCCCTTTTATGAAACTATAAACACTTCATCTTCATCTTTTGTAACGAGTATAACGTAACAAATATAACGAGCTGTTTTCTTTTAGATCGGTGGTTACGAAAAACAAATTGAACAGCTAAAGACTGACTGTGCTGCTGCGCAGAAGCGATATAAAGATGCTGCTGATGAGGTGCGCATGTGTGATTCATGTATCTTCATACTTCCGTTGGTTTCAGTTCTTTGAAAGTTACTTTAAAATGACGCGTTCCTTTGAGTTGATATTTTTTTTGATGGGTCCCTCATTCTTTTGGTATCGGAATTTCTGCTGTTTTTTTTATAAAGGCTTCCCAGATTGCGTTAATTCTGGTGCCATTCGATAAAGACATTATGCCTAGAAGCCGTTTTCAGTGGAATTTACTGAATTCACAAAGCTCTCTGGTAGAGCTGTTTAAGCTTCTAAGCTGCTATCGTGTGCTACGGCCGATGCATCTACCATAGTTCCCCTATTACAATTTTACTCGCCCATTGACAACCATCTACTGCATCTAATACTCTGAGGTGTCAATTTTGAGTTCTGCTTTTCAGAATTCCCAGTCGCAAATGACAATACAGCATTATGAAATGGAACTGAACGATTCTCATCATCAAATAGACGCACTTCAAACCCAGGTATCATTTTCCATTAAAAATATCCATCAAATAAACAGTATATGTTCTTAAAATCAAAATCTGCCCAGCAATAACTATACCAGCATAAATTGCAAACTTTTGTAAAGTTTTCTTGAGTCATTTGATAAAGATTTAAAATCTTCCCCCATGAAACAGCCAAGATAAAGGATTTTCTGGGTGTGATGGTTAAAGGTCTTTGATTTTCATTCCTCCTTATAGCTCTCTTTCGCAGTTTTGCCATTTTTCTAGACCCTGGCTTTTGAAACTTTAAGCCAAAAATAACAGTTTTATACAAATTCAAAATAAACAGCTTAAATTTACCCGCTTTTCTATGCTGTTTTTCAATTTTTGTTTTACCAAAGGCTTAATCGGCTCATTTGATTTAATCAAAATGATAGCTAATAGTTTTTAAGAAAAAGCAGGAATGTAACTAATTTGCAAACCAATCTAACAAGAGTAACTGTGAATATTAAAATGCGAAAAGAGGCTCCTACTGTCTAGATGATGCTTTTGTTCAATATTTAATTATCACAATGTCTATTAAGATTTTTGCGATTCGCTGCTTCACTTCTCTCTCGTAATCTAACATGCGTATTGCAATTATTCCTTTACAGCTTGGTGACCAAACCAAAATATTAGAAGATCTGAAAAAGGGCTTTGGTAACACACAAGCCCAATTAAAGGACTCGCAAAAACAGGTTAATTAGAAGTACAAATTTGCTTTTGCTCGTATTTTCAATATTTGTCAACACCATGTTGAAATTCTTCTTGGACTACATATTTGCCATGGAGATTCAAACAGTTTTGTTCTGCAAAAGAGTAGAATGAATTTCAGGGCAGTTATCTTGTTTGCATGTTGGAAACTTATTGGGGCAGATACCGTTAAAATTTGCCGCATTATTTGGACGTTTTGCAAATATTATTCTTTAGTGAGCCTCTGGTCTGCCATCAATATACACGTTGTGGGAGAAAAACGGTTTTTATACGAACTCTCAAGATTCCTTACAGTGTATATATATTTAAAAGGGGCAGTACATTAAAGAAGGAGGGATGTTAGGCGGGTTTAAGACTTTTTTGTGGGATTCTCGGGGATATGGGTGTCAATATGTTCTTGCAATATACACGGTATCTATTACAAATTGCTTTGGAAGAAGCAAACATTTTGAAACATAGTACTAAAGCTTTCTGTCTGACACTCTTCGGAGAATAAAATGTCCAAGCATAGATATATGTCTATAATACTTTTTGATCTCAGAATAAAATGGTTTTCGATCTATGTTCTGACGTTTTATATTTCTGTACCACGAAAGGTTAACATTACCTGAGTACTAGTTCTGTAACACGTAGAAAAGCCAAAATGTTTTTATCTTAAGTAAAACTAGATAATCACTTGCTGATCCTTGGTAACTTTTCCAAGCAGAAGGCTTCCTGGCAGGCATCTCTCATTTAATTGCTATTTTCAGATTCGACAACTTCAAATCGCAAACAATGAACAAGTTGATACCATCTCAAGCCTGAAAGAACAAGCCACAGATATGAAAATCCAGGTACTTTTCTGAGGTCGCAGCTTGACTGCCTGATGTAAATACTTTTCAAAAATGACCTGTGGCTGTGGCCTTTTGTGATTATTTTGCATTGTGTGGAGAAAAAAAGAGACAGGCACATGGCATTTGGAAAAGTTGCAAGTGTACAATGAGTTGCAACTTGTTTCTGGCAAAAGTTGGCTGTTGTGTTGATGTAAAGATGTTCCGCGCTTGTGCAGGGCTTTGTTCTGACGTCACAAGCAATAGGGAAAATATATTTCTGTGAACCAAATTTATGTTGATTCTCGGACGTCATTTTTCCATCTCAATTTTAGGTGAAAGAGAAAGAGAACTCCAATGTTCAACTGAGAGAAGAGCTAGGAACATGTCTACAGAAGAACCGATCCTTGTTAGAAGAGGTAATTTATACAATTGTAACATGATTAATCGAATTTTAACCTTTGCCTTACTCCTCAACTAATTCTTTAATGATTAAATTTCAGTTGGCTACAAAGGATGGCGAAGTTAGAGTTATTCGTGCCGATTTACAAGGAGCACAAAGAAAGATATCAAATCAAAACAGCGAGGTAGGAATCAATTCTTTTTGCAAATAAAAATCACAAGCCATTTTCTAGAACTCATTTTCTATATACAGCATTGTATTTGAATACCCGTTACCTTTTTTTTGTTTCTCTTCTCATTCAATCTTTTAGATGCTGAAAGTGTATATAGGATTATATAGGATTATTTCTTTTGTTAAATCATAGGTCTGTCTTTTTTGGTCACTTGTCTCTCTTAAAAGAAGACGTTTTAAGATGAAGTTGTATCGTAAAAAATTTGTTTTTATGGTTCATCAGCATTTTCAATCTTGTTGCATAAAATGTTTTTTTCAATAATCTCAATTTCCTATTGCTTTGTATTAAACATATTTTTTCCAAAGCATCTGAAAATTCTAATGTATGTGTTCTTGCTTACAGCTTTCAAGACATGATGAAGTCGTGCAACAATTGCAAGGCGAATTGAACAAGGTCAAAGAGCAAGCGAGAGTTTCCCAAGCTGATGTGAGAAATTTGGATTTATTTCCACTTATTTCCATTAAAACTGTAATATAAACAATTGAAAAAGGAGTGAATTTTCAGCCATGCTTACAATTTTCAGCAGTTCGTATACCACTCCCTTCCTGCATGCTTCAGTCATAACTTTATTAGATAATTCTTTTAAGGTAAACAAAAAATTTTTCTTCAGGTAGCCAACAACGAACAGGCAAATCAAAGCCTTAAGGTTCAGCTGTCCAGCGTGCAAGGAAACCTTCGTGAATGCATGGAGCAGGTTTGAGTCCATCTATGCATGTTGTTTTCGTGAAAAGTTATGAAGCGTTTTTGCCTGAACCGTTTCGATTCTTGAAAAACCTTCAAGTAATCATTCTATCTTTTCATTTCTCTACCCTTTTATCCTTTCTTAATTTCCTTGCTCGGCAATTATTAACCTACCTTTTTCAAGGCTGCCATCTCTGAACTTTTTATAAATGGCCATCTCTTTGTTTTGTCGAAATTCTGATTGAATCTCCTTATAATAACCATCTAAACATTCAACAGATTTGTTCTTTGCAATTTTCTTTCTATTAAAGATGATATTTAATCCCGATGTCTCCCTACTCTGTTTTGAAAATCTTTTTTCGGATTATAGCTATCGAAGAAATCAAAGGAAATCGCATCGCATAAGAGTGAAGTTTCTTCTTTGAAGCAGAAGAAACAAGCAATGGAGCAACAGGTTGGCAACAAAAAATACCTTCATTTATTAAATTTGTTCTGTTATAAATTTCCATGAGCTGCTTTTAGATTCATGTGAATTTCTCCGTTTCTTTTCAGTTTTAATCGCCGTTCGTAATTAATCCTGTTCACGTTTTTCACTAGTTTCTTGCGTATGAAGAAAAGGTTAAGAAATTAAAGTCGGAGCTAAAGAAGTCGCAAGAAAAAATGAAAACTGCAAATGGAGAGGTATGGAAGCTTATCAAAGAAAGAAGCTCCGGAAATCCACTTTCAGATTCAGCCTAGTTGATACTCTTCAGACAGCTTATATGCAATGACGTCACGATAATCTCGTTAAATCTATTTTTGAGAGCTCTTTGAGAGTCTTTGAGAGTGATAGTTTTTTCACCACAAAAGTAAAGATTTGAACAAACATGGGAGAGTCAGGCTATCACTTTTTAAATCAAACAATGACAAATAAAGTTCAATAAAATTGTTTTATCAAGCTTGGTTTCAAACCCACCTTGTGGACATTAAAGTACATTTCAAGTGATAGATTAAAATACAAACGTTGATAGCTAATATTGATGTTTTACAATGTTTCTCGTTCTTATGATACATCGTTTGATCAAATTTCTGCTTTAAGTAGAGCGATTTTCATTGTTTTATCTAACCGACATGACTGCCCTTGAAGATCATCGCCTCTGTGTATGTTTGTCTGCAACACAAGTTCTATTTTTCTTTCCTGTAGGTGACGTCAGCCTCTGCAAACATGGCAGAACTCAAAGAACAGCTATCTGCAGCCCATGAAAGAGCTAAAAGATCGAACAAAGATTTATCCAGGCGAGACGAGCAAATAATTACGCTGAAAACCGAGTTGGCATCAATTCTAGAGAAACTGAAATTAAGGGAAGAAGAGGTACCGCTTTTGTGCAGCTTTGTTACTTCTTTAAACCTTATACAATCAACAACTACCTGATGATCATTAATGCAATTTGTTGCTTTTTTTCTATTCAAAACTCAAAGATATAGCTACTAAAATGATTTTAGAACCGAGTGAGGCAATCATTTCTTTAAAAACAAGTTATTGAAACTTGTTTGGTGTATTGAATATTTCTTTTGCAGTGAAATTTTAGATGTGATTTTGCTTTTTTATATATTTTATTCGTTTACCTTTCTATTTAGTCTTGACTTTATAGCGTTCTTTTTCATTCGTATTTTATAATATCTTTATAGCCTCTAATCCACCATATCAAAATTTGAATCGTTTTTTGTGTTGTTTATTGTGAATTTTTATTACTTTATCATGATAACAAGAATAAATCTTTTTTGTTTTGTCTACCATTTGAGATTTTGTTCGACACACAGTGTTTACAATAATTATATCGCTCTTCTATTTTGAAATAAAGATAGAATTGCTTTATAACTTTGTGTTTTGCCGAAAGATATTTTTGCTATTTTAACTTTTTCTGAAAAATATGCTTGTACTTGCAATCGAGCTATGACTTTCACAGATATCTGCTACTTTCACAAACATAGGTGCATTGACAATGCACAATCGGTTGTTTGCGTTGAAATTTCAGATGGTATCTATCGGCAGAATATATATTTCATTAATCGAGGTCACGGTATCGATCACTTGTCGATAGATTTGTTGCTTCTAGACAATTTATCTGATATTCTTAGTGTCTCTATCCGTAGATTGAGCGATTGCGGCAAGAGCTGAAGACTGCTGCGTCTAAATACAACACCACTTACCAAGATGTGAGTTTGCCCTGAATTTGCTTTCAGCTTTCATTATCTTGACGCCAACATAAAGGTCGATAAAACATTTGCGACTATCATTCATCAAATTTTGTTTCCCTTGTCAGCTTAAGTCCGTGAATAACCCCTACTTTCGAATGAGTCCCCCACTCTCGAATAAGCCCCGAACCAAAAGTAAGTTTGTGAAATAAGCCCCCAAGATCGAATAAGAAACTTAGAAACAAATAGAGCAAGAAACTTTCTTCTGATAATGTTTTTGGCTGCTGCTAGTAAGCCCCCACCTTCGGATAAGCCCCTTCCCAAAATATATTTGGCGAAATAAGCCCCTGGGGGCTTATTCGAAGACTTACAGTTAAGAAATAAGCATGTAAAACATAGTTCATTTTTTTCTATCATTTGGAAGTACGAGAACAATACACGTATGTACATGAGAATTCATATCAGAAGTATCTTGACATTTTGATACGAAATTTTTAGGAAATTTTGATTTGCATCCTTCAATTATTCCAGAAGCAGTTACTTCTTGCCTGTACATTTTCTCCTATTCTAAGATTTTACTGCTATCATTTATGTCTTTGTTCGCTAACTCCCCATGATGGGGTCCACGAAAATCTTATTTATTATAATATAACCGCAGATTTTTGCATCCGTCAATTTTCTTTTGAATATACCTATGCCATATACATTTAGGGGTAGGCACAACATAAGAGTGTATCACATTGCTACACGTATTCACCCTTTGAAGGATGATATATATCTGATTAATGCAATCGATAAACAAAAAATCATATCCATTTGCTTATTTTAAGTTGCAAGGCGCGAGAAAGGCGCTGAACGAGGCCCGGGCCAATAGCGACAAGCTGACACGTGAAAGCGAGGCTGTTGTAGAGAACGTAAACACTTGGGTTCAAGAGCAAAGGTTTGAAACGAAATGAATTCTTTGATGCTCTCAGATGTTTTTAGTTTAATGTCTGCACACTGGCTGTACAGAAAAGTTATTTAAATCCTTGGCATCTTGTTTCTCGTGAATGGTTAAAATAGTTGCTCTTTGCTAGCAGATGATTTGTTGTGTCGTGTTTTGGACTAAAGAGCGCCTGGTCACTGTCAATGAATTAGGAAGTCATGTTCTTGTAGGAAGATCTGTATGAAGAAAAACAGCTTACTGAACTTTTCTTTAGACAGCTGTAGATACTGAATTTATTGCTCCGCGTTATTAATATTAGAATATTGCGATTTCTCGATCCAGAGCACATTTACATAATTAAACGATGTCAAATGTGATCTCCTTCCTTTCTTGAATTCTTCATCACAGTTGAAACTTCAAATCAGTTTCAATAATGTTGCCAGCATGTGCTCAGTTGTTCGTAGTTTATTAAAATTTATCTAGTGTTATCAAAATAAAAGCCCGTATCTACTGTGAATAATAGCAAAACCTTTTGCTTGATCGAAGCTTGTCTCTCGCAAAACAAACACAGCTTTAATTGAAACTTCAAATTTCTATTTTCAGGGCTCGTGAACTTCCTTTTGACTGGTTTTCTCTCATCTTTTTACTCTTATTGTTATCAAAGTTAACGATATCTTCTTGCGGAATACGATTACAGCAACCTTGCTCCCGTATTCCTTTATCAATCTCTCGCATTTCATTCAAAGTCAACCGCTGTCTTTCTACATTTCACTGAACAGCTTTTATTTTCTTTTTTACCCATAATTTGTCTTTTTGCAGAGAAGGAAACTCAAAAATTGCAGCAAAACTTCGGTATAGCAGCTCTAATTAATGTTTTTTCGAGAATTATCAGCTTTAATTAAGAAACAGCTTTAATTTAGAGAATTATCGCAAATATAGGGTATGAATGTAGAACCATTTATTTGTATTTAAGCTAAAAAAGCTAGACCAGATTTTAGGCTTACTAAGTGTCTTGAAAGTTTATTATCAATCCTGGAGTTTATATAGAAAATGATGATCTTTTGAAGGGTTAGATTCCGTTTTCTTCATGCTTTAAACAATTAATTGTGATCTTCATTTCTCACTGAAAATTTTCGCTGTGCTTAAAATGATATTATCGAAAGCGTGTTGCCTGGCTTCCATTGCGTTCTTTTTAAGCCTTTCGCTGTCTCTGCAAACATTATCTAATGGCGCTGAAGTTAACTTACAATCTTGCGAAATGTTTTCTTTTTTCTTTCAATTCAGAGACCAAAATAGCAGTATTGCTTCTCTGGAGGCAGAAAAGGAGTAAGTACAATTGTTTGCTATTGTTTTGCTTGTTGAATGTCCAGTCCTCCCCCCTATCAACATTATTTATATGTTAGTATTTCTTCTATAAATTTGACTACCTGTATTGAAACCATCCAGTTTGCGGTGCGACTGGCATCTTCTCTTTCTCCAGGCATATATGCCTGATAGGCATTCTTTAGATAAATAAGGTTTCTCGTTTTAGGTATTTTTCTTAATACAATCCCAAATTCTGTCCTGCGTAGATTTGACTGAGGGAAATAAAATGTTTACTGAAACTGTATGCAACAGAATAAATCTTGCACACAGGGTATCTCTCGTAAGTACTTACCCATATGTGCCTCTACTGCTTTCATTAGGCTCCAACTTGTTCATTTCAGGATGCTTTCCGAATCAAATGAAAGGTTGAAGAAAACTAACGAGCGACTTAAGATGGAGCTTGGTATGTTTTCTATTTAAAATTATGGGGACACAGAGGCTTTTTCCCGTATTGTTTAAGAAAAAATATTTTCTAGTTGTTTTTAACCAAGCCTAAGAAATTGTTAGCTGGAAAGGAGCCAAAATTTACTCTCTGCAAATTGAATGATGTTTTTTCTAATTTATTGCTCGTCTTTTCAGAGGAAATGAGAGTTGAGAGCGGAAAATACCAGGTGCGTATTTGTTCATTTTATGACTTTGCACAATGGCATGATCTTTACAAAATGGGCGGACGTATATTGCCGTAGCAAGAGACTTCACTCCATCTTTGTGTTTGATTTGTTAGTAAGAAACAAACCTCTCCCAACGCTGAAGCCAAAAGCATATTCAAGCTCTGAATTTCAGACTCGAATTTCCACCTTGAATTAGTGGTAATCTCTTGGTAATCGCCATATTTGCCTTTAATTAGTTCACACTTAACAGTGGTGCTTATTACAAATGTTTTCTGTGAGGTATATTCTAGATTCAAATGAAAAAGAAAAAAACTCTGTATCTGTGAAGTTTTTAAGCCTGCAATGGTCATTCAATTTTTCTTTTCCAGCCTGATTTTACACATCCTGTTTAAGCAATAACACAAGTTACAGCGCATTATGCGAGTTATTGTATTGTGTAAGATTCAGTATTGTACACATGTTTTGCAAATTCTTAAATTCGAAAGGGATTTTTGATACAACATGTGTGTCTATTTGAAGCGAAGGGAAATTTAAACCTCCTGCTCCTTCAAGACCCGGAAGAAGACAAGTCGAAACAATTGAGTAATTTTTGGTCTAATCCTCTGGTGTTTGGTGAACATTTTGTTTCATTTGAAGTTGGTTTTTCTAGTATGACTAAAGCATTTATATCATTCTTAGGCCATACAAGGGCACTCGTCCCAGCAACACCTTACCATCCAGCAGCTCAGGAACCGACTCAGTGACGTCGAGTAAGTATAGTTGCTATTATCTAGTCAATGGAAAAACCACAGCACAATTTCCATTGGCGCATTATGGCAACCCCATCATTATTGTCTAGAAAAAAGATTTCCCCGTCATCATAAAGACATTATTTTCTAAATCATGTCATTTTTGACTTTTTTTTCCATCTTCATATCTTAAGTTCAACTCTGTACGACATTTCTGTAACTGTTATAACTTTTGTTGGAATTGTATTTCCTTGTAAAAGACATTCATTGAATATAGTCTCCGTAATCCTTGATTGATGGATCCGTTTATGAAAGACCCGCGATGAAGCCTTCTCCTTCTATTAAAATGCCAATATTCTCTTGGCTTGGCCAGCAGCACATTGCGTTCCTTTTTAATAAACTAGATAATGTAAAGTAGGACAGGCAAGCGAACAAGATGTTCTTTCAATTTAGCCATTTGGTTAATTAAAAGAAGTCAAATTTAGAAGACGTGACACCCAACATTATTTCCTTTACCAATTGCAGACCAAAATTATTTTTCTGCATTATTTTTCTGCAACTGGTTTCTCTTTCATTTTCTGAACATTTCCTGTTTGCTTTGATTTCCAGTCAAAAAACCTTTTTTGATGGTAAACTTTTTATTCAAACCAAACGACAAATCAATTGCATATGTGCCCAATTCATTGACGAGATTTATTTTAAGCATTGAATGTCACTTCCTAAGAATATAAGGTTAAACTTTCCAAATTTGTATCTCAATTAGTTTTTTAAAAAGTCTATGAGCATTATATTTCATTGGATTTTTTGTTCCTCTAGACAAGAGCTGGATGCGGAGCGAAACTCGAAATCAGCAACGATTGAAGATTTACACAATCGGCTTAAGATGAATGTAGACACTGTGCAACAGCTGCATACTCAGGTAAATTCGTTAACCAATTACTTCGGCTCCTTTTATTAGCCATCATCCGTCCCTGAAAATCATCCGTTCTTTTAAATTAAGTCCCTTTATTTGCTCTCTTCATTCTTTTTTTTACCAAGTTGCTTTTCCAAATGGGCCTTTCTTCGAATCCAATAAGAATTTTCTTGAATCCATGATGTAGACTTGTTTTTGAACAAAGAATGTTCAAATTAACGTTAATTGCTCCAATGTAAATATTTTTGCTGGTTTCCCTGTGTCTGAAATGAACATTTTTGCACTTTATACATTACTGCCAAGTATGACAGCTTATATGCAGTTGTTTTTTTTATCTAAGTTATCGAAACGTCAGGGCGGAGACCATAATAGCTTAATGCATTTCGTCCTATTCCTTTTGCTGCTGTTTTCATTAATTCATTTCAAATTTTTTGTTTTCCAGCTAAACCAGACGAGCAAGGAAAATTTACGTCAACGCGCCCTACTCGACCGAGAAGTTGCCGCCAGGAAGGTGTGGATATAGGCCTTTTCTATTTGCTTTACACAACTATCTGCGATTATGGACAAAAGTTCATTAGGAGCTGCATATGGCCTAAGATAAATGTTCTTTTTCGTCTTTTCATATAAATTATCTTCTTTCATTCATTCTTACAATTTTGTTTCCTTGTATTGCCTAGCAACCTGAGCGTTCACTACTAGAATTTAAAGAAAATTGAAATCAGTCAAAATTAGCTTCATATGATAAGTCACAAGCGTACCAGTTGTAGAGCAACTCGGATATTATGGGTCAAGGTGTTCGGACATACTCGGAAATTATGGGTCAGGGTGTTCGGATATACTCGGAAATTATGGGTCAGGGTTTTTGGACATACTCGGAAATTATGGGTCAAGGTGTTCGGACATACTCGGAAATTATGGGTCAAGGTGTTCGGACATACTCGGAAATTATGGGTCAGGGTGTTCGGATATACTCGGAAATTATGGGTCAGGGTTTTTGGACATACTCGGAAGTTATGGGTCAAGGTGTTCGGACATACTCGGAAATTATGGCTCAAGATGTTCGGACATACTCGGAAATTATGGGTCAAGGTGTTCGGACATACTCGGAAATTATGGGTCAAGGTGTTCGGACATACTCGGAAATTATTGGTCAAGGTGTTCGGACATACTCGGAAATTATGGGTCAAGATGTTCGGACATACTCGGAAATTATGGGTCAGGGTGTTCGGACATATTCGGAAATTATAGATCAGGGTGTTAGGACTTACCCTTCTCTTTACCATGATTCAATGTCTGTGAATAAGCCTATTTGTTTGTTATATTTCTTAAAAACGTATCTCAAACATCCTTTAACATACACAGCAACGAATTATGATATTTTCCGTACCATAGTATGTGTAGTTCTATGTTGATTCAGAGCACAGTACTAAATTTTCTGCACACTGCTTTATAGAGACTACAAACGCAAGTGCGAGCACGTGAACAGAATATTGAATCCTTGAAAGACGAGCTCAACACAAGTAAATACACGGATAAAGATTACCTCAAGGTAGGCTGTTTGCATCTTTTCTTCAGCTAGATGTCAATAACCCCAATGTGTTTGTTCACCTGTCTATTATTTACGTGCGAATTTTCTGTCTTGCTTCTCCCAATATCATTTAAAATTGCCAATACATATCTGGTCTTTGCTTGGAATGGCTTCTTTTGTGATGTTGTTTGGTCTATAAAACAGCTTATTCAAATATGGTATTGCTGGAATGAGCCGGAGTGGTTTAAGACGGCATCAGAAAGGCACTCTTGCATTCAATACCCGACAATCTTATATTCATCCTTGCTTTCAGTTGGTTAAATTTCTTATACCGATCTTTGGGCACTACTCACCATTTGCGTTACTTTTTCGTTTTCAGGGTGATTCTTACCGTTTAATTGATGCAAGCCAAGGAGGTAATCACGAAAAAAGTTTAAGTGGATCTTCGAACAGACGAGAAAAGGTTAACTTAATTTTCTTTAATAATCTTTCTGAAACACAAGTATGGTTTAAAAGTTCTTCATATCAAACTCTTTTATTACTTAGGATGTTCTTTATAGACAATCTGCTTAATTTACATTTTCTTCATTTACATTTCTAAATTGTCGATGAAAACACATTTGTACTGCATGGGCCGTTCTTTATAAAGGATCTGCTCGATTTACTTCCCTTTCACAATTTTCCATCTTTCCAGCTTGGTTCTGCCGTCAATAAAGAGTTGGAAAAGGCTGGTGTCTCCTCCGCAGAGGCCCTAGATAAGTCGTATTGGATACAACGCGTAGGCGAGGTAAAATTATTTACATTCTATCAGGGAAAAACGATGAACCCAATCAATTTTAATAATAATTTACCTAATTTTAATCAAAACCAGAAAGTAGGATAGGTATACTTTTCATTGCACAATACCTTTTAGTTTATTTTAGTTGTCCAAATATTTTAAATGTCTTGTAAACCTCAATCTATAAACTAATCTTCATTTTCAACCTTGCGCTGCTTTTGTGAACATTTTAATTTACTTTGTCTTCATTTTACTGTGCCGCAAGTTTTTGAAAGTAAACTTCCATGACTGTTAATTTAAAATGTCCACCTTGGTTTGTTCGAAATGTCCAGGTTCAATCTTACACCCACCTTGTTTACGTCGTTTCAATGACGAATTTTTTGACTTATTAATTATAAACATCCTGTCCAATCCGTCTTTTATTTTCTTCTACCTTAAACTGCTTCGTCCTACTCTCTAGTACCATTTCATATCTTCTTCTTCTAACTTCTCGTTTCCCTGTTCTGCTTTATGAGACAGCAACCTTTGTCTGCTGCCACTCCTTATGCCAAGGAGTATTACTTTTATGGTCTATCAATAAAAGATCTCACAGCCAGTTTAATATCAAATCTAGCCATTTTTGATGTTTTGACATTATAAACTTTGACTAACGAGAACTCGGCAGCATTTTCTTCATTTTAGAAATATTATTCAAAACTATACAGATTGCGATGCCATGTATATTGGAAAATTGAAATTGAACCTTCAAAAGTATTGCTTAAATGTAATTCCTTTTGTTAAATCTGAAAGGAAAGATAGTTTCGCAGCACAGATTTTGCAAAAGTTGAAAAAGTTCTTTATTCTATAGTTTTAATTTTTTGTGAAAATACCATGTGCAAAACCCGTAGGGTTCAAAGTTGAAAATTTACAAAAACTTTAATGTATGAATTTTCTTTAATGGTCATAATGGACAAATTGAAAGATTTGATTAATACGATTTAATTTTGAAAATATGTATATGGTTCACGAAAGTTTTATGCAAGAGAGAATTAGAAACCAACGGTTTTATAGCCATTTCCGCACTTCATTGTTTTATTCTTTAAGTGTATATCACCTCAATTGCAAACTTTGCCATCCCTTACTATACTTGATGCGCTGTTTACGAAAATCGAATTGATAATTTGCTATTTATTTTGCTTTTCTTGTTGTATGCGCGCAAAAGTGGCATTTTGCCCTGTCTGGCGAGCACCAAACCGCGCCAAAATAGGGGAATGGATCATAGTTTTTTTGTGACGTAGAAACCAGAACCAAAGTAAAACGTACTGAGAATATTCAATGGTATATTTAGAGATGTGGATGGACATAATAAGCATACAAGGATCGTCAATGAAGTTTATGCGATTTATTCATTCATCAATTTGCTTTCTTTGCAATCAGCCTTCAATATATTCCTCCCTCCGTATTCCTATCAGCTTATTTTTACGTCATACTACTACACATACGTCAGACCTGACCTACCCTGATCTGAGTCATTTGAAGTCGAATCTGTCCTCACACAACCAGAAATCATCCTGAATGAATTTACTTTAATTCCTAAAAACGGATTTAGTCGACAACAGAGTCCTAGACGGGCCTAAATATCCACTCCACATCAGCCATTGGTTCATCAGCGTAAGCTTTTAAGCACCTAGCTTCGGCGTTTTCAGTCCCCGCATGCTCAAAATCTAAACTTTCATCCACTAATTCGTGATCCGTAAAGGAACTAGGATTTGACGAGATGTTGGATGCTTCGGAATCAGAGTCGGCCATAATTTATTGCGCAAGGTTTCGAAAGACGTTCTGGTTTCTACGTCGTGAAAGACTAGAGCCTAGATCTCTATAACATGCGCGGATTGGAGGCAAAAAATAGAGACTTTTTCGAGAGCTTGCGTTGCTCAAAACGCTTTTTAAATTTGATATTTGAACTCAGCGCAGCTGTTTCAGTTGGTTTTATCTCTATCCCAAATTAGGTGATATGCACTTTAAGCTTTTCACCTATTTTTCTTTCAAGCAATTTGGTTTGTTTCAGTTATTTTCGTTACTTTTTTGTCACATAGTTGTCAGTTCAGCTACAACAAAGCAGTGAATATTGGTCACAGAAAGTCAGAGATTTATCTGGACAGATGGACAAATCTGGACAGCCTAGTATTTAATAGCCTAATTGATAAACGAGATAATATTTATTCAGTAATGCGTTAAGCAGTTGTGAATAAAGGATAAGCTCTACAAGCACTGTCAAATGTATTAGTAATGAGTTTAAGCACATATTCGGTCGAAACGTAAATCCTGCAACAATAAAGCGGATTTTTATTTGTTCAGTTTTATTATCGTGACGTACACGACTTTGATAGTGAAAAGCGAGCTATTTGAAACCCATTTGATGGTTGTAGAGACCCGCTCTTTTCAATCATCATCGAGTAAGGAATATTCTATTATCCATCAATATTGTCATTTCAAGAAACATTTCAAGGGTTTCACATTCTGTTTACCCAGCTGAAATTCAGTAGTTTCCCATTTTTGTTTGACCACCATCATGCATGTGCAGAGAACATGTATTTCCCTGTGTATATTGTCCATGTAAATCGTCTCTGCTGTCATCCTAAGTCTATTCTTTATATTCCAAGTGCGATTAATCTGATGCATTAGAAATCCTTTTAGGTTTGGAACTAAAAGTTCACAGCCCAATACGATGTATAGAGGCTGGCTTTTTATAGTAAATTAAACCATTGAAAATATTTAGAAGCTGTAACAAAGTTGGTTAGTAGAAAGACTTTTATCAGCGTTTTTGTACAGTGATGCTAAGATATATCTTAAAATATTTTATTGTCATTCTTGTATTTTGATTATATGTGACAACTTATGTTTTTACCTTGATATGAATAAAGCTCTTTTTAATTGATTACCATTGTGTTTTAATGATTTTATTCTGAAAATAAAGAGCTTGGAATCAAGGAAAGCATCTGTCTCCTTCTCTCTTCAATCTTTGCCTGATCTAACAGGACCGAATCACAATGACAGTCAATGGGTTGATTTTAAGAAATGAAATTAGACAGAATAGATGAAAAAAATGTAAGAAAAAAATGAAGGAAAGAGGGAAGGACCGAAAGAAGGGAGGTAGGTAGGAAGAAATAAAGGAAGGGAGGAAGGTAAGAAGAAAAGAAGGAAGGGAGGAAGGTACGAAGGAAGGGAGGAAGGGAGGAAGGTAAGAAAGAAGGGAGGGAGAAAGTGAAGAAGGAAGGAAGGGAGGGATGAAGGGAGAAAGGTACGAAGGGAGGAAGGAAGGGAGGTACGAAGGGAGAAAAGAAGAAAGTGCGGAAGGAAGGGAGGAAGATACGAAGGAAGGGAGGAAGGAATTGAGGGAGGAAGGTACGAAGGAAGGAAGGAAGGTACGAAGGAAAAAAGATGGAAGGGAGGAAGGAAGTGAGGAAGGAAGGAAGGAAAATACGAAGGAAGAAAAGAAGGAAGGGAGGGAGGAAGGTACGAAAGAAGAAAAGAAAGAAAGGGAGGGAGGAAGGTACGAAGGAAGGGAGGAAGAAAGTGAAGAAGGAAGGGTGGAAGGAAGGGAGAAAAATACGAAGGAAGGAAATGAGGAAGGAAGGGAGGAAGGTAAGAAGGAAAAAAAAGAAGGAAGGGAGGAAGGAAGTGAGGAAGGAAGGAAAGGAGGAAGATACGAAAGAAGAAAAGAAAGAAAGGGAGGAAGGAAGGAAGGAAAGTACGAAGGATGAAAAGCAACATTTAAACAATAACTTAGATACATTTTTTTGTGAATCACAGCAACATTTAAACTAGCAACAATCATAAGTGTTCTCAGTCGTACTGTTATAAACTTTCACATTAGTGTTTGAATAAAGTTGTAAGGACTCTGCAAGTTCGAGGAAAAGTATTAAATTGCAAAAAACATTTTCTGAGTCGATATTAGCCGATTCAGTGACATTGGGAAATTACTAGCAAAATTACTCAAAAGGAATGAGTTGCCAGATTTTTGCTTAAAATGCAATTTTCTGAAATTGTGCTGTGCTTTCTTCGTGTGCCAGTCCTGCATGTAATAAGTATATAATTTCAATTCAAATGAGTCTTGAATTCAAGGATATATGCGTTTAGTAAAATTTCCAAGGATATATGCGTTTAGTAAAATGTTCAAGGATATATGCTTTTAGTAAAATGTCCTTTATTCATATTTACAGCGCAATCAACTCATCAGCTGTCCAAATTCCTATTTAAGTCTCAAGATTAATTTTTAGAAGCAAGTCTGGTGGACGAAATGATTTTAGCCGGCTTGTAGATGTCCATTACGAAAAAGCCTCTCTGCAGTGATAAATTGTCCTCTGTTTCATCCCGGCCATGAACTCACAGAAGGGCATATCACACTGTTGAAGTATCGTCATTCGGATGTTTCTTGGCGGGCTTTGGTGATGGCGCTGGTCCGACACTGTCCCAAGCATCACCACTTCGCCTTCCGAAAATTGTCTTAATCTTCTCTCTGAAATCTTGCTTTGTCAATCCATAGAAAAAAGGGTTGACAGCGCTGTTTGCTATCATTAGTATTATGGCAATGTCAGTGTATACAGTAGGAATTGGAACGTTCGCCAGATCAAGGATCTGCTCGATGCATGTCGGGATCCAACAAACGAAGAATATAAACACCAACAAAGCACAGGTCTAAAAGGTAAAATAAATTGTTTTTAAATCCTTTTTATGCAGTTACTGAACTACATTAAGTTGAATTCCCAATTTCGTGCTTTTGGGCGTTCAGATGGGAATCTGAAATCGGGAGTCTTTTAGGGGCTGCTGCTCAGTAAGATCTTCAGTTGCTCTGCAAATTCTTCAGCAAAACCGTTAGCTGGTCGGCAGAATTGTCCGGATAAAATTGCTTTCATTTACGTTCTTGTTTGTGAATTTTTCTTTCTGTAACTCTCTAACCCCTATAAAAGCCCCCAACCCCTCTAAAAGCCCCCAACCCATTCTGAAAGGTCAAGCTAGACCGCAAAACATATCACGAGCATTTGATTGAGCAGTTATCAAATAACGAGACATAAAAGTTTCCCAAGCATAAACTTTAGATTCCTCTAAGTTAGATAATCCTGCACGCAAATCAGTGATCGGGAGAAAAAACAAAGTTTTTATGTTTTCAACGCATTTAAATGCCTTGTTTTGCCATGTAATTACCAGGGTTGCCATTTGGCCGTTTTGAAAATAGTTGAGTGTATTCAAACCAGTGTATTCATTTTAATTACAGCTGCTCGGTAAAGTGAGTTAATTGGAACGACCCAGCGAGGTTAATCAAATCCCAAGTGCAATATTGGAACAATAGTTGCACAATTTTAAAGCTCCCTTGAGACTTAAAAAGGCAATTGGGAATACATGGTTGAACGGATATTGAGCCGCAGATTATGTTAATATGTTGCCAGGCCCTCTGGTATTTCAAACGACAATTTTCTCCACCAAAACCAAATATTTTGCAATCTCGCATGTCGCAAAATTATGGTTCATGCATCCTTAAAGCTCTTACTCGTTTTTTAGAAAACTGCTAGTGAACTTGAAAAGAATTTAGTTTGACTGGTAAGAGCTTTTATTATCTGCTTCAGTGTTGGTGACCATACGTTTTGATGCCTTGGCTTCTAATGCACTGTTGTTTTTATCAGGCCTTGCAACAATCGTTAACTTTGAACGATTCTTTGAAATATCCTTGGCCAAGGTAATTTTTCGGCTAAGCATAACAACAATAACATTCCTTTGACTCGATGCTAGATTTATTTCATACCAATTTAATCATACTGTATTGAATTGCCACCAAACAAGACTCAATTTAGTGATGACTTTGACCCTTAGGACGCTCCTGATCAATGTCCCCTGCTTTACCGAAAGTTATAAAGTATCCCCTCTTGCCCCTTTCTCGAATGGGTTTGCTTAACTCTACCCTCTGTAAATACCCACAGGGCTTGAGCAATGAGGCACCCTTAAGTTTATTAGACCGGGTGCATGTATGACGTTGCATCGGTTCTAATTCACCCTCGTATCACTTGTTTATCACTAGTACTGTAATTTCAGCTGCTGGTTTAAAGGCAAATTCAGTGTGAATTGCTAATAGAATCACAGGACTTTCATGCAACTTTGACCTAAATTTTCAAGTGCTGACATGGTCATTACAATCTTGACTCCAGGTTGCTAGGTTACTTTTTCCAGTCATGTTTGATCAGCTACTATGATATTAATTCTTCTTGTTTTGCAACGAATTGCCTGTCATCAACAGTATTATGATTATCACAAATACCCGTGCCGTTTCATGCTACATTTTACGCGAAACGTTTTTTGTCTTGACGGTCCGGGCTGCTTGGGGGCTAGTGGTAACAGATCGGTCAAAAATGAACCAATCAAACATGGTGCGATTTGAGGATCAAATGATGTACTATCTTATGCAGTTGATAAGAGTCAAGAACCCGCGTTAAGTTGGAGGGTTTTGATTGGTCAATGGGTAAATACTTGCTGTGTGTACCTTACAGTTTCGAAATAGCTCTAAGTACAATCAAGGTTGCTACTCAAGTTGATTAAAGTTGAGCTTGAGAAAGATCGAAGAACCTGCAATATTTTGAAGAACCTGATAAGAGAAGATCGAAGAACCTGCATTATTTCAAGTTTAGATTATATTAATTTCCCGCTTTAATTTAATGAATTCAACATATTATTGCGAAAAACAAGTATTCTCAGCAATCAAAATGAACAAATTTTCAACACCGGCAAACTTGAAATAGATATATCTTACCTTTGCAACTTTGTGTTCTGCTTTTCTTTGCTTGGCCTTTTCGCGCTCTTGGCTTGCGTCGTACACCTGAAGCGACGCGACTTGCTTGATTTGTTTTTTAGCTTCCATAAATATCTTCGAATATGCAAAAGCCATGAGGATTCCTGGTATGATGACAAAGACGATTGCCATCGCAAAGAGGACGTATGATGTGAAACCTGGTGCGACGAATTTGCAAATGAGTAACATGACAATGAGAAGGGCTGGGCATAGCCAAGCTGCCAAGGCGATCAGCGTCACTGTCCTTGTTGTCATCAATGCGTTGTATCGTAATGCGTGAAGCACTGCTATGTATCTGTCTGCAGTGACTGCATAAAGGTTGAACACCGAGGCAAAGAATGTCAGCTTCAGAACTAAATCGAGATTTTCAGTGACTGAAACAAGATGGTAATACTCCAGATAGTGCCCACCAATGTATAATGGTATGAAAACTACTCCTATTAAAAGGTCTGCAATCGCCAGCATAACTAAAAATGTGTTCGTTGGATTTCGCAGTTGCTTCCATTTCAAGAAAATAAAGCAAACGAGGGAATTGCCTAATATTATCAATATCCCCAGCAGAATGAGAATTGACCATATTTCCCAATAAACATAAATTTCTCCTCGAGTTTTGCTGGTTGTGGTAATGTTCTTTGTCAAATTTGCCATTGCTTTCCCAATTTTCTCTTGTGACTAGCTTGTTTTGTTTCTTCCTTACCACTTCGTTTCAGGTGAAACACAGAATTCGTTTAAGGCTTTGTAAAAATTCTATTCAGCGTAATATTTGTGTGTAAGTTCTTATTGTAGCAACCAATCAGATGACTTCTTTATCAGAAGAACATTTGGTACACGCCTTGAAGTTTCCAGACAATACTCTTTAGCACAAGTGGATAGCGGGAAAGCTGTTGTTCACCAATGAAATGAAAACAATTAATCCCTTTGTTATCTTTTCTTCCCAATCTATGAGATCCTTTTACTAAGAATCAGTACATATGTTTTTTGTTGTGCTACTGTGAAACCTGCAAGAATAGAATGATACGTGCCTTGAATAAGCAATATTAGTCACACGGTGCATTTATAAAACGCAACTGACACATTCTTCGTTGTAAGACGATGTGAAGTCAAAATAATCTCCTTTTGTAAGACGTACGCCGTATAACTGACATAACCTGATTGACAATATTACAATTTTGCTGAGTGAATCTTTCACATCCTTAAGCGATATCTTGATTTCCCGTCACACATACATACACAAAGCCTAAATTTTACAAAGACCAATACAAGATCTGAAAATGTTTCGTTTTCTTTATCCTTGGTTACCAAGGCAACATGACTTGCTTTTGGAAGCACCTTTGGTATCTGTTATTTATAGATATCGTCTGGAGATAATTTTGTGTGGCCTCATTGCTTGAAGATTTCAAATTGATATTGTAGAGAGATGAAGACAGTGAAACGTTTTCGGCTTTGTTGTCAAATTCACATATGTCATTATCAATTTAATATCTCAATGTGCTCAGATTTGCTTTTATCGAGCAAGTTTGCTTGCCTCTAATGTTTGAAATTTAAGCTAGTTTTATAGAAATTCAGATCTTCAGAACTCTTCAGATTTTTCTGTACCCTGATTAAAGTTTACCACGTGTTAATCACAAGATGATTGAGACTCATTCTCATGTATATTTCTTTGGTACAATGCCACGTCAGACTGGCGCACTATAACAAGCTAAATCTTTCTATCTTTCTCCGAGTAAATCCTTCTGAAATAACTTCCCTTTTATAGTTAGCATTAATAAGGACCAGCTAATACAGTGAATATTGGAAAAGTAATGTTAATTCAGAAAATATTGGATAGAAAATTGCACGCAAAAAAATAATTTTGGTGTTTTCTGTTCAGCCCATTATGGTTGACTTTTTCTCCTTTATGATAAATCCAAAATTGATACTTCAAACTTTAATTTTATGGATACTAAATTAAAGCCTTGATCTGATTACTCCGTTTTGATATGTATTCGTCTTCAGATCATTTTGTTTTTCTATTTTTTAAACGTTCCCGTTACTCTGTCTACTTCATTTTCACCAGAGAGTTTGACAAGAAGAAAAAGATGTTCCCATAACACTGTTTTCGTCCGTTTTCATATGTAATAATTTAGCTTGAGCATAATTTTTAATATTTGCTTTAAATCAAGATAAGTAAAACTTAATTAAGATAAATCAAGTATTTCTATATGCTATCATTGTTCTAATGAATGACTATTTTATCGAACAACTCCTATTAACACAATCCTTTCTCGAATGACAATATTTTCGATAAACTCGGCGAGAGCTTAACTTCAAAATTCATCAGGTCGGGTATCAAATGACTTATAATGAGTGAAAACAAATTCACTCATAATGATAGCAGGACCTTAAGAAAGACTTGCTCCACAGACGAGTGGCGATTTGCTTTCTCGACATGGATTCGTGCAAGATTTTGGATGCTTCCCGTTAAACATTTAAATTTCAAGTCGTTACACGTGTTCACAAAAGTTATTTTTCTGTGCCTAGAACACTTGCCATGACTGCTTAACTTCTACCTGTTTGCTTGCATAAACTAAGTTAGCGAGAGGTTTGTAATGGCCCAAGAAAACTATATTAATGAAACAAGCAGAAAAATTTGGAACGAGCACCAAAAGGTGCCATGCGTATTATTGAATCGATGTTTTGTCGTGAAATCAAAATAACGTGATGTTATCATTATGATTCAAGCTGGATATTTACTTCTATAAAACTATAGAGTCGTTAAACATTGGTGTTCGTCTTTCCATACTATCACGAAAATGCATGTAAAATTGTGTGTAAAATTATAGTTTTCTTATTCAACTTTATCAAAAACAACACAAGGTCCGAAGTAAACAAGTTAAATGAAATTACTTTGTTCAGACTGAAATACTTTAGCAACTAATAATATTTATTCAGACTTTACATTGGCAAGTTTTTAGCAAAACACTAGTGGTCGCTTTAACTAATTTTTCTCATTGTGAGCATGTTACATGAGGATTCCCAACTTCAATAAAATATCGCCTAGGACACTTGCTGCAGAGGTGTTCTTGAAAAAAGAAATTTTAGCGAATCCTTAAATTGTTTCCTCCTTATTTTAGATATTGAGTGTCATGGAAATTGGATTTCTGACGCCATGTTGTTAAATGAATTATACCAGCTCATACGCTGATGAGAAACCAAACTCGTAGAGTTCTTCAAAACTCTTGGCTCAATGATTAGTTCAAATGTTATAACAAGCTAAAACTATGTTATGAATATAAATTTCGTTGTACTTACCTTCACGTTACTATGTATTAGACTGTATTTTCACGACCTTCATTTGCAAAGATATCTTTTTAGTCCAGCGCCGTCAAAATTGAACATCAATTAATCGCCAGGTTACTGGGCCAGCTTCTTTTATCATTGCAGAAACATTGTTTGCCTTCTACCAGCTGATCAAAGTCGGTCACAGATCCTCTAAAGTAAAAAATTCGCATGCAAGAACTTCTTGTCAAAAAAATTAATGGAAGGATTTTCAAAGGCTTGCGATTTTTTTTGCATTATTGTGCCCGAAAAAAAGACATCAATGTAGAAAAGTTGCGTTTCAGATTTTCATAATTATTCGCTTTGGGCGGGTAAAACTTATTGCTTGATTAGTAATAGGAAAATGTTTTGTTTACTGCTTAATGAGAAAAATTGCTTGTCAGTGTTTGTATTATGCAGTTGTTTAAATCAACAAGAAGATATTGCATTACAAATCGAGTTTCTGGACTTAATGAGGAACTTTTTGTCAACAAAGTTACGTGTTTTCAATTCAATCTACATTATGGCGTTGTCAAACATTCAAGTTTCTTTTCTCACTTAGCATTTGATCACAAAAGAAAATTATATAACAAAAAGAAATTGTATTAGGATAAATTACTCAAATTCATGTTTAATAATTCCTTATCAAAGGCGGTAAAACTTTGTACAGATAGATCACTTTTTTGCAATTCAAACACTGCGACCCATTATTTGCCGATTTAAACATATTTTCATCAAGCTTTTACAGGGGCGAAGCTAAAAATGTTTTTAGGGGGGTATAGAATTACCTTTTGCCGACAGCAAAAAGCGTGCATCACTCTTCAAGGGTGTGGTAATAAGACAAGTAATCCTATATGCTGCTTTATTGCATTTCAGTTTAAAATTCATCCTTTAGTGTCATACTTTAAAAACTAAACTACTACAGAAATATTAATACGTTACAATTATCGCAATGGGTTTCAATTTCAGGGTGAACAAAATGTTTTCTTTTTCCCCGCAAAAATCCTAAATGTGCTGGGGGTGCAGCGCCCTTTGGCAACGCCTTTGAGTTCTTTTCCAAGAACTTGAATAGGATGAAAACTTGCTTATATTTCTCTAACTCATAATAGCAGAATGCCTTCTCGAGCATTCCTTGGTGCATGAAGCAACATCATTCAAGAAGATGACGTCTTTCCGCAAGTATTGTATTACGTCATCTACTTTAAGCAAACAATCACTTCTTTATTTTATCTTGAAGCAACAGTATTGAAAAGACTGCTTGAAGTTAATAGTCTGGCTCTCAATTTGCTATCAACAATAATCAGACATTCTTCTAATTCATTGCCTTGTTAACTCAACGACAAGGTAACGAATGACCAAATTCATCTAGGAATCGTCATTTCAATTTGCCAATTCTGGTCAGAAGTCATACTTGAATAAAAAGTGGATGAGAGCATCATTATGCCCTGGCAATTAACATAACATCTAAATAGCGCAAAACCAAAGAATTAGCTCATAGCATTGCAAAAATTTAGCAATTTGCTGTGGAAACCTTTTTTATTATAAACAGCAAATAAAGATCAAAGGTAACGTAAAAATAGGAATGGAGGAGGGAATCGGTTTTGTTCTTTGAAACAAACAGAGACTGCCATTCGCTTTCATAGTTGAAAAGGACAAGGGAGAAAACGAACATTTCTCTGCGTAGTGTGTAGTACATACGAAGGTTTACATGCAACAGGACTTTTTTGATGTCAGAAAAAGGATACTTGATGATCAATGGGAGGGCGACCTCAGTACTCAAGACCACACAAGGCTTAACAATGAAGATTGTTTTCGTTTGATCATTGGTTCTGATAGAACATTCCGAATTCAGGACACTTAACAAGGACTAATTTTTCCTGTGAAGAAATTAAAAAATCCGTTTCCAAAGAAGGCTAAAATGCGGTCCTCTGGGTAACTTTGCTGTAATGATTCACATTATTCTGTCATGTTTTTAGCTCATTTTAGTTTTTGAGTGAATTTTTAGTTGCCTTTAAACTGCAGGTTTCGTGGGATCAACTTTTCTTTCTTTTTGGCTAAAGATCGGCTTGACTGTGATATTATTGTTTGGCTTTGAGCAGGCTATACATAATTTTGTGGTTGTGACCTTATTGGCCTAATCTTATCGCAAACATGGCGGGCCAGGATATTTCAGTGACTAAATCTTACAAGCAAATAAAATTTTTGAGAGCAAAAGAGACAGCTGAAATTGTTGATGCTACAAAGGTTGAAATGAAAGATTTTATTGAATGAATTGTAAACGTATCGGATACCCAGTCATAAATTTTGCATCATACCTTTTCTTTTATCCTCTAGCCTTGAGGAAGATGTAATTAAATATATATATGGACATTATGTTTGTGAATACTGTGCGGGACTGCTTTAATAAACTTAAGCTGTTTTCAAACTAAAATACAGCAATATTGGCGTGCATGGAAAACCGAGCATATTTCAGAACGCGGCAATGTACAAAACCTAATCCTGAATGTTTGCATTAAAAGAAGATTCTCTTGTCAGCTTTTGCCTTATAATTTATTATTGATGATCGAAGGTAATCTCAGTAGCCTCTAACTTTAAAGTTTTTCAAAATATTAAATAGATGCTCAATAAAAACTGCTTATTTTGATGCCTTGCTTATTCAGCATAACTATAACATACATACATTTGGACCGTAAAACAAGAAATACAAAACAAATAAACAAAAACTAAAACATTTTAAAAGCAAGAAAAAGAAAAGCTAATAAGACGAACTTTATAAAAGTTAGGCCCAGCCGAAGGAGAGAAATTCCTTTTTATACTCTATTGAAAATCATGCTCTGAGGGGATAAATGGAACATTGCTTACAAATTACTTTATTACTCCACGGACATACGATTATATCTATTTCGGGGCAATTACATAAAGAATGTGGTACTAAAATCAATTAACTATGTACATAATTAATGTTGTATAGAACTAAGAAAAACAATTAACACAACAAGAAAACGAAAGCATTTGAAACTTGGATAATTTGAAATGGGCTTGGTTAATCCCAAGTAACCAATTGTGTGAATGAAAGTTAGGCCAATTCTTTAGGCCAATTCTCAGATTGAGGATTAATTGCGATACCCATTGTTGCTTTTTTTACTTAACGATGCATTATAGAAACCACACGTTCCTTCGTGAAAAATTGGTTTACAAGAAGGCAGTGCACGGCATCTCGACAAGTTAAGAAAGTTCAGTATTGTGATTTCTAAAACTAAGAACTTATGCAATCACATTTTCGTTCAGCGATTACATTCGGTCAAGCAGACAATGTTATTAAAATGATTTACCTGTTATTCTCATTTGTTTCAGTATTAATACGATAATCTTGTTTAATTTATTTTGTTCTTACTGGGCTTCGATAATGTCTTTACCCGTTTCAACTGTGAACCCGATCTCTATCATGCAGCCATGCATTGCATTAAAAGTTTATCCGAAGCTCAATTTTACCAAGGATGTCTTAAATCAAAGAGTTGCCTAGTACTTCAAAACGCCGAATTTGTAAAGTTGAAAATTGTCTTACTTTTTTTTCAAGTATCATAAAAGGTTTTAGTTCTGAATATTGCCAGAAAAAATTTAGGACTGGAGTAGTTTAGAAGTTTCCTTGAAAAAAGCCCTTTGCAAAAAGGCGGCCCTTTGTGCATTTGAAATGAAGCCGAGTGCCAATATTCTTATTTTGATGTCAATCAAACTAAACAGCATATACCAAAAAGCTTTCATCTTTTAAGGCTGAATGTGATTGCTTGCTAATATTGGCTCTCTTTATACCTATGAGAACATCGATCCACCTGAAAATAAAATGATATGTGTTCTACTCAGGTAGCACTGTGGTATTTGCATCGTTAACGATCTTATGGAGGTCATTTTAATTTATTCTATCTTATCTATCAATGGTTGCTTCTTGACCGGGGGTCACCGAAAAGATTAAAATGTTCAGCCAAGTAAAAAGTTACTTCTATTCTTTTAGCCAATCTTCTATTCTATGCGATCTCTGAAGTCAGATTTCTATAACAGATTTGTTACAGACATTCTAAACCCACCGAAAGATTTTGATGATTGTTGTTTCTTGTTGCAGTGGCTTTGTAAAATGGTTTTGTCAAAATGTATTAAAGTTTTCGTCTCGTTTTGAAATATGTTGTCCTTTTTTTCAAAAGTTCCCTTCTTTAATAGGAAATGCACTATCTAAAGAAAAAGCGACAAATTTTCGCGGAAACATCCAAAGCCGGAATGACAAAGAAGCAATACAAAAACCTCGTTTACTTCTTGTATGGACGTAACCTTGAAAAGTGGGTGTGTCCACGTGCCCTTTTTGGCCAACCCCCCTTTTTCAAATTGTATTTTGCTTCTTATATCACTCTGTAATAAGTCGTTTTTAAGAAACCACAATTGCAATCTAAGATAACGATTGAGGTAAAGTCAAGATAAAGCGCTCATTTCAATCATCTTAAGTGCCTTGCGTTTATGGCTTGCTTATTTTCGTTGATTTTTTCTAGTCTCCTTTATCATGACTCAGCTTAATATTCGTTTTGGCAGTTAACCATAAATAAATTGTTTAGTATCAGTGTGTTGTATACATTTGCATATCGTACCCTTCCCGAACGGGGGGAGATATCAGAAAAATCTTTGATAACCTAGGGCAATTTTTGCGCATATATACAATAGATGATTCAACGACCAAAAGACAGTTCTGAAAACCAAATAGCGCCTCGCATCCCCCGTCAGATACACACCTAAATGTTTACATAACATATTTCCTTTTTATCGAACAAAAATGAAAATTGATATGTTTGTAATTATCCAGGCATGAGTAATACAGTGACCAGCGGGTAATTGAGATTTGATTTCAGAGATAGGCCTGAATATGTCGCAGTAGCTCAACCATTTTGACCTAGAAAACCTGAAACAAAATTTATTATATGCCATGTACTCGTTTAAGTGGGATTTTTTTTACTTTAGAGAAACTATGCAGTTTGCAGAATGTTTCTTGAAGATTAGCAAGCATACCAGACAGCAAGCTTATTCATGTGTTTACCGAATCGACACGGTTGACCTGCTCTGTGCGCCTATGTGAATCATACCCGGAGATCTTCCGCCGAATCTGAACTTTTACAAGAATTTCATTATATACGCATAATCTGAATATATGTACTTATATTGCATGAAATTTATATATATTGAGTATCGCATGTGCAAAATTGGTTCTGAAGAAGACAACTTTCTGATGTGAATTTTAAAAGGACATTTAATCTGTCTTATGACGACTTTTGCAATCCACTGAAGCAAATGATTGTGGTATGTTACCCGTTTTCCATTGAATTCTAGGCCATAACACCTAACGAATTTTATTTTTGAAAGGAGAATTGCTATCCCATTGCAGTAGGGAGCTCGATTGTAATTTAAAATCTGATGTTTTATCGCCTTACATAAATCTATTCTTTGGTATAAATTTGGCGTCCATTTTTCCACTGCTCTTTTACACAAAATAGACAGAGAACGTGAACTTTCCAAAAACTTAACAGTACTTTAAATCTTTTATTTGCAATTTTCGTACTGTTTTACTAATTAATTGAGATAATGGAAGAAAAACCGTCCTCTAGATGGCTGTTCTAGACTTTAAAGTTTACGCATAAAGGCCTGTTCTGACAGTCGCAACAAATATTTGACGCACATCTTTTTTTAACAAGAGCCTTGTAATCAATCACGAAAATTTACTCTCAATGCAAAATTAATCGATATTTTAGAGGACATTTTAGAAGAAAATATGCAGAAAATATAAATTTGTTCGTTATTATAACTTACATCTGCTTATAAACTGTAGACTGTAGGCTTATAAACTGTGGAGTAAAATTTTCAAAAGTTTAAGATTGATCAACGATTGTAGTTAATACACTTTTTGTCCATCTTGATCAAATGTTACAGGAAGGTTGTAATAACCTTAGATTTGAAAGTCATGATAATTTCCATGTTATGATAACGTTTCAATATACAATATTATTATGAAATATTACATTTGATATCAATATAACTATGAATGTTATCTGATTTGGTAACTATATTCTTAACTTTTCAGGGAATTCAACAATGACACACAATGCGTGGTCGATTTTTTCACTCGAATTCGTTTGTGTTCTTGATCGCCTTCCTTGCGATTTTTCAAGGTAAGACTCTCCGCTTTCGATTCTTCAAGATAAGACTTTACACTGCAATCATAACTCTATCAAAATCTTCAAGAAGTATGAAAATAAACCAGAAAGCACAACAAGAACGACACTCTTTATGTCTTCTGGTCTCTTGTAAATTTAGAAATCTGAAAACTTACGAGTTCAGAAGATACATTCCTTGTTTGGAGAGTGAAAAGCATAGTTCTTCCTGCATACAGTATCCTGACTAAGATACACGTTTTCTGTATATCTCCTATATGTCTTCAGAGGAATTTTGAAGTAACACAAACTTTTGACTTACCAGAAACATAAAGAAGGTTAGGTCGTTATAGCCCATACGCTGTAAATGTTATTTCTAGGAAAGTAGTGAAACCTATAAAAGTTGGAAGAGGCAGGTGAAAAACTAGATATTTCATAGAATAAAGGTCAAAATAAAAAACATGCTATTTTACTTCCTGTTGCTGTTGATTTCTGTTAAGAAATACTTCATGTTTCTCTTAATTCAATTTTTCTCAAATATTTTACTGTTATCTAAGTTTTAAAATTGAAAATCACTCTTGCAGCTACGAGCATAACTGACGCAGCAAAAAATAGACATCATGTAAAGAAAACAAAGATTTCAGCAAAACCCTCGAAAAGAACTTTAATATCCGGTTTCAACAGAGAAGATCTGGTTGATGCTCACGAAGAATACTTTGTTGATACACCTTCGTTGAACAATCAAATTCCAAATGCAGAAACTGGGAGAATTCACAGTGAAACAGCTGGACAACAACCTCTGTATGTACCAATGCCTGATGCTGATGTTGAAGGTAAATTTAAGCTACACATACAAATATAATTTCACGCTTATTTGTGTGTAGAACAAGACGGATCTAAGTTTCTATATAGCAACGTAGAGCCGTCCTGTTCTATATGCCAAATAGCATGTACAGCTTTGTCAGTCAACTGTTATTTCAAATATAATTCTAAAATCCTCTGGGCCTAATAAGTAGCATCCCAAGCTTAAAAGCATCAAAGAGAAAGGAATAATTGCATTAAATTTAAAAGTCATAAGAATTTATTTTTATCAACGATAGAGGAGGAGGCGGGATATCTTAGGAGATAATGATCAACGCAGAAATCTTCTGGTTGGAGTAAAAGCATTATTTCCACCATATTGATCTTTCTAATGAAGTCATGACACAACTTATATTTTTTGCGATAAAGACCTCCCCAATGTTCCCAACAAAAATAAACTTGAATTAACTCTTCAGTACTTGTAAATGACTGGTCGATTAAAGTTTGAGATTTAAGCTGTACGTCTCTCCGCCATCAAGGCCTTTTCTTGCATAATATTTTGTCGTTAAACTTTTGCTTCATGGTACACCTTAACTTGTTCAATGTATTGACCGCTGGGTTGTCACTGTACATTGCTTCCGGCGGTGTCAATTCCGTAGTGTTTGCATAATAGGTTATAGGTACAACAATTGGTTAGTTTGTCTCTATATCATAAAAGGAGATGGTGTGTTTGTATTCATCCTGATGTATTTGCAAAGATGCTGAAGAGATTTAATTTAACGAGACATGAAAAATGAAATAATATCAAATAACTTGACAATATCTAGGCTTGGATAACATATACTGGCGTTTCCTGAATCATTTTTGCCCTGTTTTGCCATCTTTTCAAACCTGCGCCACAAAAATCCAATTTTTAATTACCTACATAAATAATAGTCATGAGTCCAATCTTAGGTCGATTTGACATGATGATCTTGCGATCTTATATCTAAAAATATATTTATTCATCCATGCGTGAGTTTTTTCTCCAGATGTACTTTGTGTACTTCTGCTATTGATTAAACATGTGTTTGCGTATTTTCCCTGTGTCGGCTTATGATTCAGCAAGAAACTATTTCCTGTCAAAGTAAAGATTTGCATTTCTTCATCAGTTTCTTTATTTTCAGAAAACCATTAAAATAGAATTATGCCTTTGCTAATGAATTGAAATTATCTTGCCGTCTATCAAATCCAATTGTGCCAGAATGGTTAAATTCGCCGTGAAATTATGCTCTTCTACTCCTTTTTTATTTGATATTGCTATCACAAATTTACCAAATGATAAAATGTTAGAAAATCTTTGGACTTCAGAACATTTGAAATTTGCAGATGATTTGCTAAGACATGTTTGTAATTTTTCCATATTTTATTGCTTAAGCTGTTTTTATACTAACGTGCTACAGGCATAGGTCTCTCGAGAGCATGCAAATAATGTTTTACATAAAGAAAGTTAAATTTATAGTGCATTAAACTTTGAAACTTCGCATGAACAGTTCATTATGAAGAATGGCAGCAAAAAGCATTTGTCGCAACGTTCATTGGTTTACCGAAACAAAAGAAAATTTCAGTATGAATAATATTCCTATTAAGATTTTATCTTGACTCATGCTGAAAAATTTTGATATAAAGGTATTTTGGTATTTTTCTATGCAGCTTCACCACTTGGAGATGCACAAGTGCCAACTGTCAGCTCGAATGAATACAAAATAGCGTACAGCGATGGCCTTCCATTTCCAACTTCCCCTTCCCGCAACCAAGATAATCTTCTTGTATACGACACTCCACAAGATCCACTTGAAGAAAGCAACTCTAATACTGTGAAGATTGCAGACCCCTTGGCCAGCAAGAAACTTTTCAGCAATGACGGGTTCTCACACGGCATGGGGGAAGTTAGCAACGCTCTCAACAATCTGCTCATCGACAAAGTTTTGAATAGCGACAATGACAAGGATTTCAATAAAGAACTAAAGCTACTTAGCGAAGAGTTTGCACAGGGTGAAGTGGAAGAAAAGGAGGAAAGGAAAAAACCGTCATGCCAGCCTGGCGCGAAATCAATTTTTGCGAATTGTAAAAAGAAACGAAGTGCTGTATGTTCGCCTGAAGGTAACAAAATTTGATAATTTTTTTGGATGAATGTTATTGCAGCAAATCTATGTTCATGTCTACTTCCCTGTAAATAAAGATGTTTCCATAACTTTTTTCTAAGCTAATCTGTAAGAGTATTGTTCGATCAAAAATTGCACAAACAAGAGATAGAAACTCATTGCTTGTTTTTTTAGATCGCGGCACCTTCTTTAAGAATGCACTGAAGGTCCACAACCTGTTTAGAAAGATTCATGGTGTTCCTGATCTTGAATTGAACGACAAACTGAGCAAAGACGCCCAAGAATACGCAGAACATCTTGCGAAAACGGCATCATCAGATCATTCACTGCGAAGAGATCGACCTGGCCAAGGGGAGAATATCGCTGTTGGTTGTACATCTGCTGGGTCCGAGTTGCGTGCAAAAGAGGCCATTTCACAATGGTAGATATAAGTATAAATATGCAACTACTTTGAGGTCTGATAGATATTTCTGTGCTGAAAATAGGCTTGTGTACAATAAAAATAATCATTTCATCATTCGCTCTACATTATGAAAAAGTACTATTTTTCTCAAAATTCCGAGCATTATCAGACGATTGTCTGTGCAAGACATTGTGTCATTCAAATTGCGATTTGAAATCAGGTACGTCAATAACCAGACAACAAAAGGCGAACTTAGTTTGCAGGATGCTAACAGTAGAGATAACGACTGAAAATCTTAAACGACAAGCTTTTTGAGTCATTCATTCCATTCTTAGACGCCACTGCGTATATCTAAATACCTTATATGAAATTTAAAGAGAATAATGGAGTGATGGAGCCATTTGTCTTGCTTAATAGTTATGTTTAATCTGCCAGCCCAAAGTCAGCACAAAAGGACAATAAGCCAGACAGCTTCTACTTGGTTATTTTCTTCTGGCAGCGCAAAGATTTGAGCGAAAGACAACCAAATTGTGTTACACACTTGATGATTTGTTAAATGTCATTAGAATAAATCAGTTTTCTTTATTGGCATTCAAATGTACTGAAACTAAACACACATGAGTCGTGTGAGACCTAAAAATTTGATTGATTGCCTGTTTAATAACAGCCCATAAAATTTCAGTTATGATCCTCTCGTCTTCCTCAAATCAGATCTTAATTTCTTGATGTTTAGAGAGGGAGAAGATAGCAAACTATTCCGTGACTTGTTTTATGCTAAAACAGATGTTTGCAGTTACTCATTTCGGATTGTTTGCATCATCTGGCATTCTCTGGACCAACAATCAATATAATTGCCTTTTCGGCAATATCTAATTCATTGAAATATTACCTTTCGGAAACGACATCATGGCAAAGAGGCATCTTGTTAAATGCTTCTAATTAAAAAATTCTATGAATAAAAAGTGAAATCATCTATCTAAAACATATTCTGAAAACATTATTTTACAAACAAAAACATTGCAACGGTGGATTGCAGATTGTATTAAATTTTCATCTGACGCCCTTTCATTTATCTGATCTCAATCATTCATTTTGTTTCATTCTCTTTTTGCGTTCTTGTGTTGTATATAACATCGTATTTGAGCCTCTTTGTACCTGACTTCAAATATTTTTAAATCAATTTCTAACTCAGGTTCTAATGATCGCAATACCTTCAAAATCATGTTTCAAATTTCTCCTTTGCTGTTTTTCATAGGTACAGCAAGGCCTGTGAGAAAGGTTTCGATTTCTCCGGCTACAAAAAAGGCGTGGAACCTTTTGCCCAGCTCGTCTGGAAAGCGACCTCTTTCTTAGGTATGGGAAAGGCAGTTTCAAATCGAGACGGCAACCTTTGCACCTATATTGTTGCCAGATACTCACCAGAAGGAGACAAGAACACATTTTCAGAGAACGTTATAAAGGGTACTTTCTCTAAGGACGGGATATGCAGTTCATCGTGTGTTGTCAAAGGCAATGTCCCGCAAAAGCAAAGTAAGTCATTTTGCCTAATCAGTTGTAGAACATTGCATTATGGCACCGCAGAGCGTGTTACGGTAAAGGGATGGGGGTGCTAAAATTCAAGATCTAGATGATGCATTGTATACATTAAGGAAATTTTGGAAATAATTTGGGTTTAAGGGAACCAATTTCTGTAGAGCCTGCTGAACCTTAAAAAATCTGATGATGGATTCACTTTAGTGTCTGAAATTTTCTAGTTTATTGTTTGTTTGTCTCATCATTCACCACTTAATCAATACTCAAGTAACATTTTATCCGCATATGCAAGAATATATATTTTGCACAGTTTGGTAGACTTTTTCAGGCTATAAGGCCCGTCCAACGAGCGAATGGGTGTCAAAGAGTGCACTTGTCTCTGAGCTGATATGACTGCAAGAAGTGCGTATTTCTCTTTAAAGAGAATAAATGTGCAACGTTTTGAATGATTTTTAGCTTTAATCTACAATTATGTACCTCTCACAATATCGGCTGGAAAAAAGTCTTCATTCTTAAAATCGCTGCTGTTGTTAGAAAGTAAGATTTTAAGGATGTAGGAAATACTAAACAGATGCTAGAGATTTAAGGTGAACTTTTACTTTGCAGAAGAACCTGAAGTGCTACAAGAGGCTAGCAGTGAGAAACCAAAGGTTCAGCATTCTTCCGCCACAGCAGCACAGGCTGTTGACAAGCCTGGAGTCGAAGAACACAGACAAGTCCCAAAAAAGCATCCGGTGCAACCTGAGCTTAAGAAAGTGGAAGAGAGCAAGCCAGATCAAACAACAACGAAGCCATCTGCTGGAAGCACAAGAATACAAGGTGAAAATGCAATAAACAACAAGCAAGAAACAGGAAATTCAGGTGAGGTTGGAAACAAAAAGGTGCCTGAAAATGTAGCAAAACCAGCAAAGCCGACTCCAAGTGGTATTGGGCTGTCTAAAGTAAATGACGAGAATATCAAACCCACCCCAAAATTAGAGCCGAATAAACAAGAGTTGCAGAAACCAGAACATCAAAACTTGGTTGCTCCAAAACCACAAATGATTGCACCAAATCAAGATAAAGAAAAAGTCAATGATGACAAAAATGGGATCAAAGTAACTGCAAATGAGCCAACACCAAAGGTGCCAATGCTAATTAACATCACGTTTCCAAAGGCTTTGCAAGCGAAAAATGACTCAATGATTCAAATTACAGTTGGGAGTGATAAGGAGAGCAACCCTGAGCAGGCAAATTTCCACCCAGTTGTTAATTTCACTGGTAAATCTGGGCAAATTCTCACTGCAGGTGATGAGTTCTTTGAAGAAGAGGGAAGGAGAGGAAAAATGAGTGAAGGAAATGTCGCTGATGTCTCGGCAAAATTCTTGGAAAAATCGGATGCCAATACAGGTTATAAAATGAGCGATTTTCTGAATCAAGAATTTGGAGATCAAGCAAGCACGATTGATAAAACAGAGGGAAAGATTGTTCAGAATGGGACGAGAAAAACTACAGAAGTGCAAAATAAGAAAGCATTATCACATATGTTCCAAGATAGGAAAGGGATGAACTTCAAAAACGAAGATAATTCCGTCACATATTTGAGAATAGCCAACAAGCTGATGCATAACGGGAAAACATCGTCCAGTGATGTCTACTTCTCCCCGAAAAAGTTGGAAAATGACGAAGCGGTTGGGTATGCAAAGGAAAGCAGTAAAGGAGACTATGGTTTCACCGACCAGGCAGCAATCAATGAGAGTGGTGCTTCTGGAACTACAGTTGCTAACAAAACAACAGGGTCTTCTTTACGAAAGGTAGATGGGAATATTACAATACCACATGCACTGACCTATTCAAATGAAAATTATAAGAATTTAACAGTGAATTCAAGTGTCATTGTTCCTGTACACAAGACTTCTGGCCTAGTGGAGCACAGTCCTCCGTCAGATGTAGTGGATACAAAATCGAATGAAATGGAGACTGAAAGACGTGCAAATCAAAACGAGACAGCTAAAAACACTGCGAACCTGGGCGAGGAAAGTTATAAAGAGAAGCCTACCAAAGAGGGAGAAAAAGGTCTTTCAAACGAAGGAACTGGTTACAAGCAAAGTAACCCAGGTTCTTCAGATATTGATAAAATTAATGAATTCAATCCTAAATTAAATAATGATCCACAGCAGGTAAAATATAATTACAGCAGTGAAAAAGTGGAAGAAACCGGAGCTACCAAAATATCAACAAAAAACAACGAGGGCCATCACCAGGTGGAGAGTGCTGGAGACAAAACATCAAGCCCGATGAGTAATCATAGATTTATGAAAATTTTTGATTTTGCAGAGGTCTCTGATCATAGTATTGAAAAGAAAAAACAACACCATGGACGAGTTGAAAATAACAAGTTCATGGACCTAGAGAAGCAAATTCTGTCACAGCAAGATAACATTTTCCACAGAAAAGCGGGAGAGAGTGCTAAAGGCTACACGGGTCATAGGACAGGGGGCAATTCTGAGGGTCAAGGTGAGAGGCCGTCGAATTCCGAAAGTAAACTTCAATTGAGTCGCGAGAAAGAATCTTTTCCTGAAGTTGGAAAAGGTTTAGACTCGACTTTGATTTCAACAAAAAATCAAAACGATATTGGGAATAAAAATCTAACAATGAGTAAAGAAGTTAAAGCTGCAAAATATCCCGATGAAGTGGAAAGGAAAGTTGGAGAAGCTAAAAATTCTGTTCTTGAAAACCAGACTAGCAAACAACTGCCAAAGCTTTCAACAGCAGAAATTCAAGTAAGTGACGTTAGCAATAAAATGAACAAGGATGTACACGAATCTAAAAACCAACTTGAAACAGGTAATTTAAAAAGTGAAGAGTCTCCGGAGAACAAGGTCGAGAATCCTATTTTGAGCAATAAAGTTCTTCAAAAAGAAGATTCAAATGCCGAGCATGGAAGCAGTTCTGAATCTTTCAAAATTAATGGTGATCATGCCGAAAGTACCCAAAAAGTCACTGGGTCTGTGAACGAACCAAACACTCATCAAATTTCTGAGCCTTTGAGTCAACATGAAATACAAAAAGATACAGAAAATACCACAACTATTGATGTTGGAACTGGGTTTATCAAAATACAATACCAGAAGCCTCACGAAAGAATAAGCGCGTCAAGAGGAAACAACGAGCAGTCATATGTGAATGAATCTAGCAGTGGTTTTGAAAGCTTGAAACTTTCCTCTGATGGTGATAAACAGAACCCAAATAGTAATTCAATAACTGAGTTTAGCCATAATATAGGTAATAACGCTTTTGCGGAGAAACATTCAAAACATTCGGTTGACAATCAAGAAGCAAAGATACTGTCTTCTTCAGTTCAAGAAACGTTGAAAAAGAATCCTCTCCAAAAGGAAGAATCTAGTAAATCGTTTTCACCCGAGATTAATATGCAGAATCCACATCATTATATAATTCAGATAAAACCAACACATTCTTTTCATAATTCTGCAGACTCACAACCAGACAAAGACATTACACCAGTAGAGGGAAGCTCTTTGAAACACAGGGTGGCTGAATTTGTCTCTGCTAACGGGAAAGATAGTTTTGGAAATGAAGAAGATATGTCCACAGCAAAGCAAGTTTCAAGATACCAAGAGAGTTCGGTGGAAGATCAGGATCTTAGCCAAGAAGATTTGATGAAAGACAACATAGATGCAAATGCGCAGCATGTGAAATTGGGTAACAAGGATGTAAGAAACCGTCCAGTAGAGAATGAAAGCAAAGAAACAGCTGGAAGTTTCAATAATGAAGGTAACAGTGGAAGATATAGTCACAGGGTCGACGGCCATGACAGTAAATATCATAAAGAGGAAGATGGGGCTGTTGAGTATGGCTCAAAGTTGAAAGCAGAGCCAAGTGATGTTAAGCATCAAAAAGGAACTTCTTTTCATGAGAATCAGAAAATCTCAAAAAGTAGTGATAACGACAGAAAATTGTATAGTGATGATAAAATCAACGAAAAAGCAAGTAAAGATTTTAGCAAGCAAGTAAAGACGGATGAATTTAGCACAATCAGGGAAGGTTTCCTAAAGCTAAAAAACACTGATTTGAAAAGCGATGCAAAAATCGATTTTGAAGAAACAGGAAATAGCAAAAAAAAAGTTTATGATAGAAAATTTTCATCTTCCAAGACAGATGTATCAAATGATATTGGAAATGTGGAAAAGGAGAAAACTTGGAAAATGTCTGACAATCAGATTCAAGCTGGTCATGTTCACAACGAAGATCACCATGAAATTCAAACAAACAGAAAAAGCAATAGACTCTTTGCAAAATATGAAGCATCTGACATCATTAATAATGATGAATTCTCAAACGTGAATGAGTTTGAAACAGAATCACCGCAGCAAATAGATACTGAAAAGCAAAATATGAAAGAAGATAAACACGGCCGATTAGATACTGAGAGCAATCACGCAGTAGCAGAAATGAACACAAGAAAACAAGAAGATTTATCAACAGTAAGATTCTCTTCTGATGAGAAACACGAGAGCCATAAACATAACGAAAATCGCATGAAATCGTTCAAAGAGAATCAAAAACAGAAATTCGACAATGATTTACATTATTCGTCTCCTAATCAAGTCAACTCAGAAGAAAATATGAATAACACACCCAAACAGTACTCCAAAGAACGCCATGAAAGCACAGAAAGTAGCGAAGGCATAAAATTGAATAAAGGTCGAACAAAAACTGCCGATTTTATCAAAGATAAAACAGCAAAAGATTCTTCGGCCATCGTTGGCCTCAATTTGGAGTCGGGTTATGGCAACATTAAAGGATTCAGCCATGGTCTAGAGCAAAAAGGGTCAAGACTTGAAGGAAAGGAACTCGCTGACAGTTCAAAGCTGATTGGAACTGAGGCCAATGACCAAGAAGAAATCCAAAGAAAGACAATTTTTATTCCGCGTGAAGGTAAAAAAGCTTTGCTTTACTATTAACATTAATGTGTAAAATAGATTCAATCTTTTGGTGGTACAAAACTTGAAAATATTTCCTAGTGTAGAGTTTTCGATCTATGTTCTTGCGAAAAGTGTCAGACGAAAAGCTTATTCAAATTTTACTTTTTTCGAAGCCATTTTAAAGTAGTTTCCTGGTATAAAAACTTCGATTCAGCTTAATTAAGAAGACCTTTGAGCTGGAAGAACTTGATTTGGAAGATTTTTCTCTTGAATATAAAATAATCTACTCCAGCCAATTCGATGGTTCCAACCCGATCTAATTGGCAAGAGAGCCTTTCATTCTTTCTATTGCTTCCATTTCTAGACGTTTTAAAGCTTTGTATTATGATCGCTTTTCAAGAAACTTTTGATCAACTTCCTTTTTTTAATGAAGTCATCCTCAAGTTCCAAAAAGACATGGCAATTGAGCATAACAGATACAGAAACATCCACTCTGCTTCTCCGTTGCTTCTAAACTCCAGGATGAGCAAAGAGAGTCAATGGTACGCAGATAACCTCGCAAGGAAAGGATCTGTCAATCACTCTCCCCTCAAATCGAGGCCAGGCATTGGCGAGAGTATTGAAAAATTATGCACAAAAAGTAATGGAATTCCGACTGCGTCACAAGTTGTCAAGAAATGGTAAATACAGTTAAGAGGAAATTATTTAAAGTTAATAATTCTGATTCTCAGACGTTTCCTTTTCAAGAATTGACGTTTCCATGTCCTGTATAAGTGACTCTAACTTACTCTTTGCACTAATTTCGGTAAATAATAATAGGGTCTCACTTTTTCGTGTCATTCTACAATTTTTCTGTTGGGAATTATTTTGTCATTATACTTCTTCCTGTTGGAAATTCTGGAGCAGTTCGCTAGCTTCCAGTTCTAGCATCTTTTGCTAAAAGCAAAATACATCACTTTTGCATCACCTTTTTCTCGAAGTTTTGCGATTCAGTACTTTGCAGCTCCTTTGGAACTTCTCTGTCTAGGAAGTAATGAATAGATGCGTGACTTTTTATCATTCTTTTAAGGTATGAAGAAGTGTGCAATCCAGGTTACAATTTTAAAAGAGACGGAAAACAGGTCGGAACAGGGCATTTCACCCAGATTGTGTGGAAAGACACAAAGGCCCTTGGAATAGGCCTAGCTGCCAGCAAGAGCGAAGACGGCCATATTTGTTCGTATGTTGTTGCACGATATTATCAAGCTGGTAATGATCTTGGAACTATAAGAAGCAACGTGGGAAAAGGACATTTTCGATCTTGTAACGACAATACAAATAGCCATATGACACCAACAAGTCATGTTACGAGTGCTAGGCCAAGTCATACTGGAACGCAAAGAAGACACCATAAAACAACACATTGGCATAGAAGGCCCTCTACCCATACATCAAGACCGACTTTAAAACACTACAGCAGAACGAAGCCAACGCACAGAGGTTTTAAGCAGTCGAATAGTCCAAGTGTCCATCGTATTAACGCATTCAATCAAAACTCTGAAAGGGAGTTTGCTACACCCAGCTCATTTTATAAAGGATATATGAATTTAGAAGTTAGACCAACATTATCGCAAAAGCTAAGATTTTATGCGAAAGGAACACAAATGAAACCAAATGTCAGGGTTGATGTTGGCGGTTTTGGAGCCAAAGGCTATGGTATGTTTGAAAGTAAGTTGACAAAGGAGCACAGGGAGCAAGAAGTAAAAGAAGAAAAGGACAATTTTGGAGCTTCCAAGACCACATTTGCAGGATTCAATAATGTGAAACCACTTAGAGAACATTCAAATTCTGATAAATTTCATTTTAAGATAGAGAAACAGTCAGCTGATAGCAACAATTGGGTGAAACCCGGACTGGAAAAAATGCAACCCAAAGATACATTGGCAAAGAAGTTAGGACATAGCAAAGTCTTACTTGAGTCACCGAAATATGAAGACTTTAGGTTGGACCACAAAAATAACGGGGAAGATGAATTTGAGGTGAAGCGAAAGCCAGGATCAAGTGAAGTTGAATTCATCGATGTGCTTTCTGGCCGTGAATCAGCACATCAAAAAGCATCAGGCAAGCAACAAATTCAACACAAAAATCAGCAGAACGTTTTTAATCATGTCTCAAGTGAAATTACAAGTGACGGTCGTAAAACAAACAGAATGCATTCTAATTTTGCTCACAACACCTCCCAAAAGGTGTATAGGCCATTAGAAGAGTTCAAAACGCCATTAAATGATAACCGAGGTAAAAATGGTTGGGTTCATAGTCACGTGGTTAAACAAAAAGCCGCAAGTGATTTTGCAAATGAAGATCATAAAGCAAGTGGAAAGAATTCTGATTTGATCCTTAGCACCCCCCGAAAGATGAATAGCCCAATAGATAAATTCCAGATGCTGCTAAATGAAAACCGGGGTAAAAGTAACAAGGAACATAGTCACGAGGTTAAGCCTTTGTCTACTAATGAATTCATGATTCCAACAAAATCTTCTTACCACAAACCAGCCAATCGTATGTCACTTCATAAAGGAGGGGTTTTAAAAGGCTTTAATGCAAAGGAAAGTCATAATTCTTTGCTCAAAGCTGGGAATAGTGAGCTAAAAAGCCATAGCAAGGAGACTTTCAACACCAGGCCTATCAGCAGTGGTTTTAAGGCCCATGCCGAAGAAAATGCTTTCAGGGCGAGTCACAATCACAACCAACATACAACAAAGTATAATAATAATTTGCAAATCAACGCACCAACGATTATGAAGTTTGATGCTAAGCAAAGGAAGCCTTTGAACAAAAACAAAGTAAAAATCGCTGAATTTAAGAAGCCGGATCCTAGTCACGGTGATGCAAAACCATCTCAAAAGCTAGCTATGCAGAATGTTGTTCACCAGCCGCCCGCAGCCAAAGCTAACTCCGGAACTGCACCAAATGTAATGAAATCCGATTTCGGATACATGGCAGGTCTTCGGGCCGGTCTCGGATTAGGCGATAAACAAGATAAAAGTTTTTATGAAGAACCAACTGGAAAAATTCCTTTAGATTCTACCGATACAACTAGCCGTATATTGCAATCAATTTCTGGACCCGGACCTGCCTTGCCGTTTGAGAATATAGAAAATGGAATTAATTTAAGTTCTTTGCAGCAAGAAGGAGCAAATATTGAAGAAGAAATTTCCAATGAAGCTAAGCAAATAGACTATCAAGATATTGTGGGTCAAGGAAGGGCAGGGAATCTAGATCTGGTGACAAGTGAGAATGACAATAAAGCACCGGGAATGATAATGGATGAGTATCGTTATAATACTGCAGAAAATGGCGAGGTTGGGTCAATCTATGACAGCAGAGAAGAAGAGATAGGAGAAAAAATGGGAACGATTGCCGATCGGAAAAGATATTCTGGTGCACGGACGTCTGAAGAATCTGGACAGAAGCAGAAAGAACCGGTAACAGCAAACAAGCTTATGGAGCAGCAAAAGGGTGTCCAATATGGCCGGTACCCATCAGCAGCTTCAAAGATGGATCAAAACAATCGAAACGATCTGAAACCTCAGTCATGGAACTTTGCCGGAGACTCGCTTAGATTTGTAAAGCCATCAAAAAATAAGGGGACGAAAAATATTCAAAGTGCCATGCCTTTTCTTGGAAGCCGGAATAAACCATCTACCTTTATGGCCGGGCATGCTCCGGATAAGACCAAGAAAACTCCTTATTTCCGGCCAAGCACAATCGGAGGTAGAACTACACAGCTTCCTGCAGGTTTCAACAGTGGATTTCAAGCTGCTCTGTACTCTTTTGGGAATAAAGACTTTGACAAAATTGAAGAGGTCGCTGCAACAAAGAAAGGTTTTCTCTCCAGAGCACCAAGTCAAGCATCAAAAAAGGCCATTAGCATATTGACAGATAATCCCTTGGCACATGGCGGACTGGTAAAATCGATCATCAATAAATATGGGAATTACTCAGCCATTGAAAGCGATAACTATGATACCAGCCGTACAAGGCATTTTGTTATTGACAAAAACAACAACCTGGTTTTGGCACCCGGTGAGAACACGGGTCATGTAACTGATTTTGAAGCAAAAATCTGGCAATGTTGGCACATCAAGCGACTTATGGTATAAATGGTGTATCAAACATGATCAAAGAAGACCCGGAATTAACAGGTCTACAGACAGTAAGAAGGGTCAGGCCGGATACAAAAGATTATCAGTCTGGTTTGATAGGCTGGGCGGGTACAAACAATCCCGGTTTGCCGAGTGAAGAAGAAATGAAACAGTCTGATATATACGGACAGGATCTGGTTGAGACTTTGAAAAACCTGATTATCTTGGTAATAAAAGACTACCGGGTCAATTTGCATTGAATAGAGCCGAATCTTCAAAGTTGGGAGTTGCAAGCAGCAGCTCGAATAATGGTGGAAGATTTGAGTTGGCATCAAATGAAAATGCTAATTATGTGCATAAAAAGTTAAATTTTACTACCGGGGAAAGAAAGCAATTACTTGCTGATTTTGACAAAGGTAACAGGGAAGAAAGGCCTATGACTGACGACATGAAGCTGCTCTCAGAAGAAAATGAGAATGGGCTAAATTCAGCAGTACGAGCAGTGAAGGAAGGTAAGCAAAAACTTGATCAATTGATGGTCAATAGATAGCTTTGTGTTGATATCGCCTATGTTGCCAATTCAATCGATTTAACGGATAGCAAAAGCGTACCCTAGGTACCAAAGCAACATAAATTCTAGCTCGGAAATTGAAGATAGGTTACGGATAAGCGGAAATAATTTATTTGGCTCTGGTACCCAGGGTTTGGCTCTAGATTATTTGGACTTGTTTACTTCAAAGAAGAACAAAAGATAAGAGATTCAGGTCCCAGTGAGACTTTATCTAATTTTCACAAGAGATATCAATTCATGAAAGAATATAAATTCAGGAACAAACAGATCGATCGAAGTAGTTGCTGCTGGCTTCTGGCCATTTAGTCAATCGTTTAGAATTTCAATAAAAACATTTGGATGATTGACTATTTAATTTGAAATATTTTGAAATACTTTTTAATCCAATCAAAAACGTTTTGTTTTTGAAGCGTTTATATTTAAGCACTGATGTTAAGTCAGAAGTTACAACGTTGTATTGTGCTTTTTGAAAGTCAAAGCAAAGTTTTGTGAGAAGTTTCATGTTCAATTTCAGACACTTCATCGTTCCGTCAAAATGCTTTGATGTGGCATAACCGCCTTCGCTGCATCCACGACGCAGATCGGCTAAAGCTCAACGAGTCACTTTCAAAAGAGGCTGAGGAATACGCAAATGAGATTGTCACCAGACATAATGGAATACTTGACCACTCGAAGTTGGAAACAAGGAGAAATGAGGGCGAGAACTTGGCGATGACTTGTTCTGCAAACAAGGGAACCCTTACAGGGGCAGAGGCTACTTTTAAATGGTAGATAAAATATTTACATACCTCACACAATACTACCTTGAATATTTCCTCATCGTGGACCATATCCAGGTCAAAACAGCGTTTAGAAAGCAGGAATTGCTTGACTACAGTTTATTATCTTAAGGAATCCCACTCTTTCTTGTATTCTCTTTTCCTTCAGCTTTCCAGGAATGAAAGAACTGGATTCAATCCAGGAGTGATAACTTAAAAATAAAATTACGTATAAAAGTCTATGCTTGTTTTAAAGCTCAATACATCAAATCTTTAGTGACAGAAACAATATAATCTTGCACAAAGTTGGATGAATTTGTCCAGATGAAATTTGCTTTTCGTTTGCAATGTACCGCAATTTATGCATTTTGCTTTCTGTTTCACACAGTGCCTGATTAATTCAGTCTCCTGATCAAGTTGATACACAGAACGACCAATAAGTGGCCGCTTTCAGGCAATAATTTTGCAACAGCAAAACATCATAAGCGCAATGTCTAAACGTCTAGATCCCAGTTGAAGAAAATCATTAAAGCAAATAAATTATTTTTATATAATTTTTCCTTTGGTTTTTCTGAGTGGTTTCCACAATATTTTATTCAGAATCACCCCACTTTGCGTTATTCCAGATCTTTCCTCAAAACTTCTTTCAACGTCCCATTTTATGAATGATTTTATGGACGCAGTTGATTGTGCCGAGATTTTTCCTGCGAGCCTTTTTCGTCGTTAAGAAAAGACAGACAATAACTTTATTCTTGATTTAGACTGCATATTTTCTTGCAAAGTAAAATCTAGCGCAGATCGGTAATTGTTGGTTTTTATTCCACTCAAATGCCTCTTCTATTATCGAGCCTTTTTGTAAATAAAAAATTGACCACGTATTATAGGTTTATGGAATTTATCTGGATAAAACCGTTAACACTGTAGCAGATCTAAATTAAGTTATTCAACTTTTCCATCAATATAATTCAATGTTTTTAGTTAAATTTCTCAAACTTTTTTAGATTTTATTATATAGTATATTATTCTGACAGGTACAATGATATATGCGAAAAAGGTTATGACTTCAGGTCAAATATCATACAGAAAGGCACAGGTCATTTTACTCAACTTACATGGAAAGGAACAACCGATTTCGGAATCGGAAGGGCGACGATAAAGAAAAATGGCCGTTACTGTACTGTTATAGTTGCAAGATACTTTCCTAAAGGCAACATCCAAAAAGAGTTTGGAGAAAATATTGGGCAAGGAGCATACAATGACCAAACCTGTGAAACATTGCCAAAGAATTAACAACAAAGCCTAAATTCATTGGCTGCTCGCGATTGGAAAATAATGGCCAAAAGGTAGGCACAAACAAATTAACTGGTCAAGCATCGCCTAAAGAATCATTCAAAAAGCCGTTAAATGTTACAAAGGAGAAAGAAAAGTTGAAACTGAACCTCGAAATACAAAGAGTTACAAATATGATAAATAAACTGGAAAAGGAGAGGGGAGGTGATAAGCTTGATAAAGGAGTGGCAAAGTTCAAAGGTGAAACGTCAGGGTCACAATCACAAGGTCACCAAGGATTTGCCAGCCACGTAATGGTGGATGGTGTTTCAGAATTGGGTGGGACAACGGGAAGTCCGGTGATTATATATCACGGAGCCACTGGAAGTGTGGAAGGTTTGTTCAGCTTCAAAAGTTTCAAGTGTTACCGACAACGGTGTAGTTAAAGGGTGGAAAGGTTCTTAGCAACTGAATTAATTAAGAAGTGCTTTCGGGCGAGAGTAAGATTAACAAACAAAGGCAATGAAAACTTCAGTTGAATAAATTGAAGCAAGATAATAATCCGCGGGAGTTCAATTGCAAAGAGTTACTTTGATGTATCAGCTTCTTGAAAGCTATTGTTAGTGTTATTTTTCTCAAACTTGAAAATAACAGGATAAAGCTAACTGATGATCGCACTAAGCGTGAAACTCAAGAGTACCAACTAAGAAAAGTCTGTTTCTATACACCAAAATACCGTAATTTTAACAGCTTTTGCAAATTGGTTTTATCAAGTTACTTTTTCATATCATTTTAAACAAAAGACCAAATTTAGAAATTTGTAATTTCGTATTTTTTCTCTACTTAGAATACTTTATGTTTTGTTTATGGGCTAGTTCGCAATTTAAAACTGTTATTGTACTGTTGCTTCAAATCATACAGTGTAAGAAATTACATCAGACTTGTCTGCTATACGATCTCGATAGTTTAAGCTTTGTCTTCTGACGGTCAATCTTTTAAGTGCGATTTTGTCTTCACCAGATCCCAAGACATTTACGAATATTGGCATCGAAACACACAATAGACTGCGTGAGATTCACAAGGCTCCGAAACTGAAACTTGACCAGCATTTGACGATGGCAGCGTTCAAGTACGCAACATACCTCACCCAGCTTGGATATTTAAAACACGACAATAAAATACCCAAGGATCAAGGCGAGAATCTTGCAATTGGTTGTTATGACAACAATTTAGAAATGTCTGCGGAAGATGCTGTCACAAGATGGTAGGTATAACTAATTTAAAACAAACTGAAATTCAGAAATATGGAAAAAGAACCCCATTTATTGATGAATCAAGATGGATTTGATAGGGAAGACTCCTTTTAGTTGTATTTTTGCTTGCAGAAAAATATTCTGACACCAGTAACGAAAATTTGAGTGCCTCTGTAGCCAGTTTTTGGACAAGGCATTTTTATGGGCTTTAAGTCTTTAAAAGGAATATTGCTATGTCACATGATGTTTTTTTAAAATCAAAATTTTTGCAGAAAAATGGAGCTCTTGCCATTATAAGATGATCCTGTTTATAGCTTGATTGAACGCCATTGATCACGATAAAATGACTTTTCTAGGTATTATGAAGTCTGCCAACCAGGTTACAACTTTGACAACAAAATTGTTGAAAGTGGCACTGGGCACTTTTCTCAAGTTGTCTGGAAATCAACAACCAAGGTAGGCATTGCAAAACAAACAAGGATGCATGGCAACCTCAAGTGCACTTACATAGTTGCAAGATATTCGCCTGCAGGAAACGTGCATGGAGAGTTCGATAAAAATGTTCAAAAGGGAGATTTCAACGAGCTAGTATGCAAAGAAAAAATGAGAGATCTTTTGAGGTTTCAGCAGAGAAATGAGAAAATGATCGGAAAGTTAGAGAGTGATTTTGCAAAAGAGCTGCATGCATCGAAATTGCAAGAGAAGATGATGGCATTAATGCATTTAAAAGCAATGGAAGCGCAGAAGAATAAGCAAAAGCAAAATAAACCGGATCAGAAAAAGAAACCGGACGAGAAAAAGAAACCGGAAGAGAAGAAGAAGCCAAAAAGTAAACAACAGCCAAAAGGTTTCTTTGACAAAACTCTTGGACTTCCAAATATTGAAAACTTGCAGGAAAATGAAAACGTTGCTGTTAACAATTTCATGAAACCAAAGCCTCATCTCCTCACCGGAGTCTTGAGCAATGGCCTTAAAACCATTGTTGAAGACCATAGCCATGTCATGCATGTAGGCCCAACTGTCAAAATAGTGGAAAACAAAGATGGCAGTGGATTTATTTACAAAACAATCGAAGTACCACCGGTTTCTAAACAAATGAAGGCAGCTGCAAATAATAGGGGGCATTACACAATGATGCATCATGGAAATATAGGGAAGATACCAGTTAATGCAAACTTTGAACAAGACGAGTTCTCCAATCCGATGGATCTGGTTCAGTCACATTCGCAAACAGGAAAGGCTGAACTGGCACTGCGCAGGCATAATCCACCACAGAGGAATGAATTCAGTTCAAGAAAAACAACAAGTGCGACATTTGATCCAATTACTGGGGGGATCATTGAAACTGAGGATTCCCAATTGGTTCAAGGTAAAATTCCTCTGAAACAAAACTCATTGTTAAACACTAGAGGGAATTTCGCTAGAAAGACATCACTAAATCTGAGAAAAAATACAAAAGCGTTTACTATGAACAATAAAGCAAGAGCTCAACAACATGGAATTAGGCCTAATACTTACGGAAAAAATAGCAGATTTAATGGGAAACAAATGCCTGTTTCATCGAGACAAAAGTCTATCAAGCAATACAAAGCATCGTCTCAAAAAGTTAATGTTGCTGGTTTAAACAATTTGCCGGTCATGCATTTCACTGCGAAACGGCCTCAACCATCAGGTCTCCAGCCACATCCAATGCCCTCTAGTCTTCTTAAGATGATCAATTCAAAGAATCAGCTTCAAAATGTGGGACGGCAAAGATTCGCTATGCAGTTTAAACCTAAACTCGCGCCTCCACAGCACAAATTGCCTGAAAGCCTGGCTCGAATGCTACAGGCAAGGAAATCAAAACCTGTAACTGCCCAGTATAATAAAATGAAACCAAATCTCTTTTTGAATCAATCACCACCGCAACAAGAACATAAGTTACCTGAAAGTCTCTTGAAGATTCTTAAATCGAGAGGTAAGCATTCTGAAGCCAAGCCATTGATTAAAAGCCCTCTGACAGCGAGCACTTTTGCTAAAAATCAGCACCAGATACCCGAAAGTCTGCGAAGAATTCTAAGCTCCAACAATGCAAAACCAACTGCAGCAATGAGTCTCGATGCCACAACAAAGCAGATCACTAAAAAGCCATACACTATAACTTTGGCAGGGCATAAGGTACCATATAGTTTATTCAAGATGCTAACAGAAGAAGCAGTAAGTGGCAAAGACCCTAAGGTATCAAGTTACTTAATGAAAACCCCATTTAAATTCGTCCAAGAGCATCATGTAATCCCTGAAAGCTTACAGCGAATTTTAAAAGGAAGCAAAAAGAACATGTTAGATAAAAGCAAATTTCATGATACTTCTTCACACCTTGTCCAGAATAAAAAGCAAAAGAAAACTCCTTTGGTTTCTGGTAGTGGCCGGAATCGACCAAAAACTGTCACAAAAACTGTTTCACAATACCATAGAAACCAGGTTGTTTCGCCATTTGCAGCATTGAAACCAACAAGGCCCCAGATAGTGGCGCCATATTATGGACAACAGTTACAGTTTCAAGAAATTGCAAGCAACAACAAACCATCTTTGAATCTTGAGACTTACAATTTCCCAGCTTCAGCAATCACACGAACTACAGTCGCATCGCGAAATCCCAACAGCCCACCCCTTTCATCTGTTGACATCAGCCCAAGAATCAAAGGGCCATCTTTCTCGAAAACCCAAATACAGAAAGAAGAGTCGAAGAAGATTGTCATTAAAACAATGGAGATGCCAACACCTAGCTCTTATGATCCCCTGGTTACCAGCTACAACCGCGGAAAGCTGTTAAGCATTGATACAGAAAAAGACAAAGAAGGCTAGTATAAATTGTTTTATTCTTTATATTGATCATAATACTTATGACTCTAAGGCACTAGGGCCTTTGCAAACTGGTGCAGCACTTGATGGCTATGATTATTATTATCAACCTATTTTCAGTAGGATATAGAAATGCTAACCTTTTCGTACTTTACTGTTTTGAGATGAGCTGCCCTCATTTTCTGCAGTAAAGTTTTTTGAGACTTCCAACACGTTTCACTTCAATCAAGAATTTAGACCCAAAGGCTCAGCCTCAGTGGTGACCTCAGTGGTCCCCTCAGTTGTGACCTCAGTTGTGACCTCAGTTGTGACCACAGTTGTGACCTCAGTTGTGACCTCAGTTGTGACCTCAGTGGTAGAAGATAAAACTTCAAAAGATTGACACAAATCTGAATTGCATCGACTGATGATTGTAACCTTGCATTGGTTTTTCTTGCACAATATAAACTGCGTTTCTATTCTTTCATAACAATTGATTTACTACACAAAATATTTACAAAAATATCGATAAACGCAACGGTATTAGGAGGCACTTTTGGTCAGTATGTTTGCAACTTTTCATTTCATTTAGAATTTGAAAGGTCCACATTAGAAGCACATAACATGTATAGACGACAGCATGGAACAAATGCACTGGCGATGAATTACCGAATGTCAATTGAAGCAGAAGCATACGCCAAGAAGATTGCCCAGCTTGGGGCACTAGATCATTCCGGGACGGAGGACGGGGAAAACATTGCAAGTGTATGCCGGAAAGGGAGTATACTGATGTCCGGACCAGAAGCAACCGACATATGGTAAGGCAGTTGTATTATATGTGGTTAGGAATTGAGATGACTAGAAATAGGGCTTGAAAGGCCGCACAGGGGGGGGGGTGTTCAGATTTCATAAAAGTCTGCTTTAAATGATAAATTCCACTGCATTGATCCCTCCAACTAGATAATTAAATCTGCTTTAAATTCACAATGGGTAGTCCAAAATAACTGCTTGTTTAAGTTAAATATTTGGAATTAGCTAGAATTGGAGGATCAAAGTTAAACTATCAAAACATCATTGAAAATTGAATCGTATCTGTTCAAAAATGATTTTGTCTTCCCCTTTCTATTCTTGCTAGTAGTGAGAGTGTAATGAGCTCTTAACACTTCTTTTTGCTGAAATGAAAAAACTATCATCCATACAAAATCAATAGCACCAAGATGAATGGCACACAATTTGAAATGAAAAAATTTAGAGTAACTTTTGTGCATTACTGTTTGCTTATTACCGCCCATATTCAGTCGCAACAACAGTGCCTCATTCGTTAGAGATTTCATTTCTTCGTCTCAATAATAAATCAATAAAGTTACTTTCTTAATGCAGGTACAATGAAATCTGCAACCCTGGATATGACTTCAAATCAGAACAACCTGGAGGTGCTGGTCACTTCACACAAGTTGTTTGGAAAGGCAGCTCGCAAATGGGTGTTGGGCGGGCGGAAGTCATGCGGGATGGTCTTGTTTGCACTTATGTTGTCGCACGGTACAGGCCAGCTGGCAATTTCCTTGGGGAATTTTCAAAGAATGTGCCAAGAGGGAAGTTCGATGCAAAAAGATGCAGTCTTATTGCTGAACCGATGGGAAGTGAAATCGGCAAGCAGGCTTTGCAGACAGAAGTCTCAACGCCAGTCCGAAGATCGAGAATCCCATCAGGCACACCAGCGAGAGCTAGGATATTTACTATTGATTATGAAGGAAGAAGAGAAAACAGCCCTCTTCGTAAAATGCCAACACAAGATGATGCTATAGCTGAAAAAGCGAAGTCATTTTGGCTACCAAACCTCGAGTCGGGTATACGTGGCAGCGACATTGCTGGTTTGATTCCACTCAAGGTTGTGGATGGCGAAGAAAGGTATTTGAAAAAGTACGCTAACGCAACGATGGAAGAAATGAGTGACAGTGATACAACACTGGCTACCAATTTTGCTGCAAAACTGCGCGAGGAGGTAAAGAAATTTCAGAGCACTAAAACTGCTGAAGGTAAAAGTAGGACTAATGGAGTTGTGCAGTCTAAGAAAGATATTGATGCGGCCAGCATTGGATTTCAAAGTATGGAAGAACCATTTAAGAAATCACAGCCGACCTTGCCACCTGAGGCAGGGGTGATTTTGGCTGAAAAGAACACAAAATTACGGCTAGACGCAAGTGAAAGTAGCAATTTCAAACAGGTAGCCGAGTTAGGAAGCGCCAGAAGTGGGGAGAGTGCAAGCACGGCTGAAATTGCGTCCAAGGTTGGACAGGCAGTGCAAAAGCTACAAAACGCAGCGCAAACTATGGCCGATGTTGCTGCAACACAACAAGCTCCTGCAAAACCACCAAGTGGTGTTGTTGACTCTGCAATGTCTGGCATTGAAGGCGCAAATACGAACGCAGCCATGTCCAAATTTGCAGCAAATATGATCTCTGGATCAGCTGGTGCGAACTTGCAAGTAAATGGTCCCGCTAAAACCGGAGCAGCGGCCGCGGAAGCTAACACTGCGGGAGCCAATGATGGTGTTTCAGCTGCCTCTACGCCCCCAGTACAAGGCGGTTTATCGACAAACGGGGCTGCGGTTGGAGGTTTGGCGGCTTCTAACGCTGTAGCCGATAATCAAGCAGCGTTGAGCAAAGCAGCGGAAGAGAAAAATGCTGCTAGTGCCGCATACAAGCCCACGGGTTCGTTTGAATGATGTCTTTTCTTCTTGCCCCTTTTCTGGAGCACCGCCTCTGATTTCATTTGACTAATTGCCTTAACACATTTTCAAAGTGTAATGTACAATAAAGGAGAAACTGCATTTAGTGATTCAATTGTTGAAATCACCGTTGATAAAAATCAGTCTCATTTGAAACTCAGTGAAATCTGAAAAAAAGTTTTAAGTGTACATGAGCAAACATTTACCAGTTTCTAGCAATATTCCAATTCATGAGAAGGTTTAGAAAGAAAGTTTCCGATCAAAAAGGTCTAGGACATGAACCCCTCTACTAGCTAGCAATCTTTTTCAAGGTATTCAAGTCTTAATCTTAGCAACATTTTTCAATTCTAAATTTCAGAATTCGAGCAGTCAGCCTTGAATGCCCACAATCGCTATCGAGCAGTTCACGATTCTCCTCCGCTGGTGCTCAATCAAGATTTAACTAAGGATGCAGAGGCCTGGGCCAAACAGTGTGCAGGTATATTACTTTAGAAGTAGTTAAATAGTCCTTCTCGACACGAAGCAAAACACATTACACATCAAGGTTTTCCAACCAAATTGGAGCATTGAAAAGAATTACTTGTATAGTATAGGCAATAAATTAGCAAATCGTCGAATAACAAAATCAGCGAAGTCAAAATTGTCATAATATTACACTGCAAGCCTATCCAGCTTTGATTTATTCCGATATTTTACACTCAAATTCCTGGCTCAACAAATCCAAAGCAACTCGCAAATTTGGCAATGTCAGCGCTATTAACTATAAAAAAAGATAACAAAAAACAAAACAAATAAAGTAAAAGTGTTTTTCTAGAACCCCTGCAATTGACTATAATCAAATACCTGTTTTGATATTACCATATTTTTTGTATTTGACATGAAAAACCTCAAGCTTTGATATAAAATGGTAATTTTTCTTATGCATGTGCAAAAAAGAGAAATATTGCTATCAAAAGCATTATCTATCAGGCTACAACTGTCAACGCATTAATATTTCTTAGTTGAGATGAAGCTTTGAAGTAAAAAAGAGCCTTTCAAGCGCCATTTTTGAAACCTGTTGCCTTGTCTACAGTTTTCTGTATACGACACACAAAAGAATGATTTTTACATTATAATAGACGGTCGAGTAATTTTCAAATCATTTCCCGCCTTGTGTTGGCTTATTGCTATCAAATTGTTCATGCTTGAACACATTATTTGGTAATTTTGGTGATCTAGATATTTTTTGTAATGAGGATGTGCAGCCAAATGAGCATAGACCTAACCGTTTTCATCAACTTTTCCTTTCAAAAATGACAAAACATGAAAAGCGATAAAGTGGATAGCTTTTAGGCAGATTTTCTTTTGATTCAAAGCTAACATTTTTATGGCATTTTCAGAATTAGGTATGGCAAGGCGATCCACATCTCCAGACGGCGAAAATGTTGTCGAGTCGTGCAAACAAGGAAAACAGGAAATGACGGCTTCTGAAGCAACAGAAACTTGGTGAGACTGAGAGTAGATTCTATGATACCACATATTGCGTCTGTTATAACTTGGCTGACTTTTTTTGTCTTGATTTTTAATGAATATATAGTTAGCAAAAAATGCTATGATATATTTTCTTTAACATGAAGAATTTTATGCCCGCAGCGCTACTTTAGTCACAGTATTAATTGAGTTTATGGCCAGAGAGGCCGCCAAAATAGTGAAACGTTCTTTCTTATGAGTAGAAATCAAGTGCACAAATCTTAAAGTAAGTTGAAGGACTTTGCCGATAAATATGCTAATTCATTCTTACAAAAATATCTAAGCGATATTTTTTGCCGTGTAAAAAGTTGCTCTAGACGTTAAATGCGAATCGATATTTCTACAGGTACAGTGAATTGTGCAACCCTGGCTATGATTTTAGTGCAGCCGAGATTTCCGGTACGGAAAGATTCACGCAGCTGGTTTGGGCAAGTAGCACTGAAATGGGAATTGGCCGCGCAACTCGAGTCAAAGCCGATTTGTTTTGCACGTACATCGTAGCTCGATATAGGCCCCCGGGAAATGTCCTTGGCGATGTGAAGGGAAATGTTCATAAAGGACGCATCGACTCAAAACATTTTTGCGAGCAGTTCTTAGCGGCTGCAAAGATGGCGGGCAAAAATAGAATATTGGATAATCTCCCCGTGAAAAGTGAAAGAATGGAGGAGGCAAATACAGTTGGAAGTACCCTGCATGCTGGGAAGGGACAATCTGAGGAAGAGATTGTAGCCGGGGGTGATTATGCAGGGGATGATGGTTCATCAAGAAACAAACAAGGTTTGTTATTTTTATTTAAATATCACTTTTGTCTTCGATTCGGTAAAAGTTGAGAAAACGATAATAAGATGGTCCAAAGAGATTTCTTGATCCTTTGAAAAACCCAGCCTTTTGCATTCTATGCTTTAAAATGATCCTATTTTTCAGACTTGAAGAAGCAAAAAGAAACTGTAGTAACATCATCATTCATCGACTCAGTCTCAAAAACCTGCCTGATTATATAATAATCCCAAAATACTTTGTTGATATAAATAAGTAGTTAACTAGAAAGATAATTTTTTATGCTTTTAATGCACTAGATAATTATTTTCAATGCACTTAGTAGTATATAATGCAAAAGAGAATTAAAGCTCGAAGAGCTTAGCAAGCATTATTATTTTTTATATGTTCGCCATATATGTAAAAGAAAAGAAAGTTTTATTACTGTTATATTGTATAAATTATGTGAAAATTCAACTTAAATACTAACACAGTTAAAAGCTAACAAGTTACAGTTAAAAAGCAGCAACGCATTCAAAGTATGCATCACAAGCCATGACATCAAGCGAAAGATTGAATTCTTAAGACGTCGTTTCTAAAAGACTGAACACTCCAAGAACAGGCTGAACACCCCAAGAACACCCCAAGAACACCCTAAGAACAAGCCATTAAGCCGCTGAACACCCTTTAAAACATATCAAAATCGGCATGTCATTCGAAAAATAATTTGATCAATCAATCAAAATTAATTTTGGGGCGGGAAAGGACCTGATAAGTCTAATGCTGTTGGTGTTGTTACAACCAACTGATGTTTTGCGCGCCAGAAGTGTGAACGGGGGTTTGTACACGCGGAGCAAATTCGAGTTTGACTCCCTTTGTGCATTGGAGTCAAACTTCCATTGGAGGAAAAACTCCATCTTGCAGGTTAGCTACAGTTTCTATATCAGTCCATGTAACTAATAATTTTTACAATATATAGTTGCCTAGGAAGGTAGGAGGAACCGCAACACCCACAAAAACAAACAGTTTTCCGATAAAAGCGCTTAAAACTGTGCCTTAACCGACGACTAAGCAAAAGCTTGGGGGCGTTTGCCCCAAAACCAACGCAATTTCTGCCACATACATACCGTAAATCCTCGAGTTAGCCCCCATGGGTGCTTATTCATTTTTGATATTTTTTGTATGGGGGCTTATTCCAGGTGGGTTCTTCGACTTATACGAGGGGAGGGGCTTATAAAATTATTGAAGACATTAAGAAGATATTATTAAAAGATTTCGTTTATTTTAGTAGTAATTTTTTATGCGCATTTAATCAATTATTACCAAAAGTATGAATTTTTGCGGTACTTAAGAAAAAGCGCCAAAGGCAACCTTAGATGGCAAAAACCAGCAAACTGAGGGGTCCGATTCGAGCATTAACGGCAGCAGTGGGGGCTTATTAATAATTTGTAGTTCTAGGGTGGGGGCCAATTCGAGGATTTAGTGAGATTATCATGACCCCATTCGAGCACGGGCCCCAAAAATGTGCCCCTCCTAAGCCCTCTTTTAAGTCGCAAACTGTGGTCCTGCTGCTACCCTCTAACAAGTCCAACACTGTGCATTTTCTGTTTCATTTGTCAAAAAATTCCTTATAAAAAACCTCTCCAGCCTGCGAGTGCACCCGCTGGAGACGTCAAGAGAGGAGCTGTGTCTCGTTCTGCTTGCACTGGTAAACTAGTAACTAGCTAGCGTGCACTAGCATAGCGTGACCATTTGGGCAAATTAGCGGACGGGAAGAACAATTGTTTGGAAGACAATAGGTAGTCAAGTGACATGTCGTATTTTTACATTGTCACAGGATGTGAAAGATTTTCAAAACAACGGGAATTTGCTTGAATGCACAAAGGGAGTCAAACTCGAATTTGCTCCGCGTGTACAAACCCCCGTTCACACTTCTGGCGCGCAAAACATCAGTTGGTTGTAACAACACCAACAGCATTAGACTTATCAGGTCCTTTCCCGCCCCAAAATTAATTTTGATTGATTGATCAAATTATTTTTCGAATGACATGCCGATTTTGATATGTTTTAAAGGGTGTTCAGCGGCTTAATGGCTTGTTCTTAGGGTGTTCTTGGGGTGTTCTTGGGGTGTTCAGCCTGTTCTTGGAGTGTTCAGCCTTTTAGAAACGACGATTCTTAAGACGTCTTTCGTTTATTCCATTGTGCTCCTATTAATACTTCCTTGTTGATACAGTCAGCAAAATATGATCATAAATGAAAAATTTTAAAGAAACGTGCTATTGTTTTCACAGATTTTCGTCAAGAGGCATTGTATACACACAACAGGTTTAGAGCAGTACACAATGCTCCTGCGCTACAGCTGGATGTCAAGAAATGTCAGGAAGCGGAGGAGCTTGCGGCTAAACTCGCATCGAAGGGGTCGTTGATGAGATCGAAGGATAGTGTGAATGGTCAAAACATTGCAATGTCCTGTAATAAGGATGGGATTGAAATGAGTGGAGACGAGGCAACAAATAAATGGTGAGCCTTTTTCAGCTACGCATTTTGAACTTATTTCGAATTACATGCATAAGAATTTTATACAGGCTAGTTTTGATCTAGATTATGATTTAAATCGGTTAAGTAAAAAGATTTAACGTTGCCTAGGCTTGTTATTCTTAAAAATATGTAGACAATTCCACCTGGTCGTCAGATCAACGCTTTGGAGGTGAGGAAATCCTGTTCTTCATTTCATATTTCAAATAAACCAGAGCAAAACATTACTTTATAAAATAAAAATACGTTTGAGCTCATTTAATGTTGCTTTGTCTTTACGACTTCTTGGTTATTGAAGACATACAGATGGGACTGTGTGTGTCAGGAGCCTCTTGGCTTTATACCGATGAGTCGCTTACAAGTTAAGGAATAAAAATCAAAACTAGCCGATTAAAACAATCCAAAATTAAATAACTTAAAAAGTCTTAGGTTGCCAAAACATATGCTGAATTGTTTAGATATATGTATAAGGGTACAGATGATTCTTGCAGCAGATTCTCCAGCAATGTCTATCTTCCACAGGTACAATGAAGTCTGCAACCCTGGTTACGACTTCAAAGGAACGAACTCATTTGGCGCCGCCCACTTCATGCAAGTTGTGTGGACATCATCAACAAGGTTTGGCATCGGCAAAGCAACAACAACCCTGGATAATATGCTTTGCACCTGGGTGGTTGCTTTGTATGAGCCTTCAGGCCTAATGAGAAACATGCAGAAGGAAAACGTGCTGTTTGGTTTATTCGATTATCGGTACTGCGATACATTTGGAAAGGGTGGTGGGGGCAAAGGGGCATCTAGTGGCACGATGCACAGCTTGACTGACTCGAAGATCAGTGCACCAAATGCAGCAAATCAGCCGGCAGGCAAACGAACGCTTCTTTCCCGAAGCCCAGAATTGACCGGGAATGATGCATCGAGTGTGGCAACAACGGACGGGGATGAAAATCAGCAAATTGAGGACTCTAGTGACCATATAATGAACAATAATACAAGGAAAGGTTCGCTAAAGTCACATTTTGCGACAAAACAAAAGAACAGAAAAAGTAAGCATCATACGAAAAGGAAGAGACGAAAGCGAAATTACAGAAAAGAGCGGAAACACAGATATAAGCACCATCAACATCACCATCACCATCACCACAAAAGACATCATCAAAGGACTAAGTCGCATAAAAAATCTAGCAATAGAAATCGATAGCACCATTTGCTAGATTTATGCATATAAAGAAGGCTTTTCCTGATGCAATTTGTTTGCAAATTAAGCTTAATAAGCAAAATGGTACGCACCAAGTCCGCCTGTGTCTGAAATACGTCTGGATATGACACATCAATAGGACGCAGAGAGAAGCCTACACTCAAAGATTTCTTAGCATTAAATGACATGTCTGCATGTCGTAAGAAGTGCTATTCAGACTCAAAAAGCAAGTAAGTTTGCCTGTCTTTTGCCACTTTTGCCAAGGGGTTTACTTAATACACTGACTATCCGGGATGTGCCTGCCAACAGGTTGTCATTTTCGGCTTATGATGCCTGGACAGGATAGTAACTTTTGTCCCTTTTTCCGTCAGCTTAGGTATGCCAATTGTAGATATCAACTTTTAAGGGATCATGTTTTCAGAAATTTATTCCAGCATAGGTATAATTTTTTAAGAATTTCATTCCAAGAAAGGGTCGTAAAATCTTTTCTTACATACCCGTCATTTTTCTCTATAGTGAACCCCCTGTTAATTTCTGCAGCAAGTGCTTTTTGAAAATATTCTTTTCTTGAGAAGAATTTTATCGACAATAATTGTCTCATAGATTGGTAGAAGGAGTTTAGTTTATCGATCTTCCTATGCAAGTAAACTTGTCATATTTTCATTATAGTGACGTCAAATATTTTGTGAAATTTTTGAGTTCATAAGTTTGTGTTATATTTCCAAAGTTTGTTTTAGATGAATTTGTGCTGTCGCAGTTTGTATAAATGTTATCGACTTCATGTTAGATATTCCAAACATGTCTAGATCTGTAATATAATGTAAAATAGCTTTAAAATATTTCATTCATTTTATCTATGCGTAGAATAAATAATATTTTTATTATCAAAGTGCAAAATGTTTAAAAAGATGTGTTTTTAGTATTAACTTCTTAAATTGTCTTATTTTTTCATAAAAAACTAAAATTTAAGCTTCCAGCATCTTCTAGAAGCATGATATATCCCTAATGATAATTAAAGTTTAAAAGGCTTCAAAAACATAAGCATTAAATGAATAAATTTGATAAAAAAATAGATTTTGCGAGTTTCTTTTGAAAATTTTAAAATGATGTAGCCAATCTTTCAAAATAAGTTAATAAAATGAATTTTCCTGATCCGCTAACTAATACGTTAACTACATCTCTAACTACTTTAATATTTCAACATAGCTCAACACAATTTTACAGGCTACATGCTAAAGCAAATGAAAAAAAATAATTTCAAATTGCATTTTTATGAGTAAAAATTGACTGCAGAATGGTTTGTGGTATTGCCTACTATCCGATTGTTAAAGTCTATATACTTCGCATCTTCACAAAATATAAATTGTTTCCCATTTTATTTTTCTGTCGTAACTAATAATTTTACTGATGTATTCTTTCATAAAACTCTTATAGCATGCTTATGCAACTGTTAACATTTGCATTACATTGAATAAACTTCTTCGTAGCTGAAAGCATTTTTTTGATGGAACAGATGAGCCGAGACATAATTTATAATGAGATTATTTCATTTCTTAAAAAATTCACCTTCAAATCAAGAGAGAATAATAAAAAATAATGACAAGAAAATAATTTGATGTTGTGCTAAATTTTAATGTTGTAGCACTAGCAAAAGATATTTATCAAATTGATTATCAGAAATGGAAATGTACAGAAACTAAAAAAAAGAAAAGTATCGTGTTTGACTGAGACCAGCAAAAAACCATTGTCTTAGCTGACATCGAACGCATATTAAAAGTTTTTTTGGAAGCCTAAAATTCTATAAACTATATGAAACAAAAAATAACAAACTTTTACCTGAAAATTTTATACATGCAGTCAAGTCTTTTGCATTCCAGTTCAAGTTTCAAGATGGCTTGATAGTTTTAAACTAGGTATTAAATGGTTCAACAGTTGTCTTTACGGCAGAAGGTAGCAGAGTGGAATCCTTTAAAAGCCTTGTATCGTTTTAAAGAGATTGTTACAAATATCTGGCACTGTTGGCAAAACTATGAAAAGCTGGATCTGGAAAAATGGATTGATAACGATATTTGTAAAATGATATCTCGGTAATTCCAATAAAAAATGCAGCTTCAGGAGAATCGTTATCAACTTTGTTATTATGTTCACCAGACGTCTTGTGCGATAAACAAGATAGAGAACTTTGCCAAGCAGAAAAGAGAATTCAATGAGTATATTAAGATATCAGAATTTATGCAGCTATCGGGGCTGTATCGGTGAAGGCATTCCCAGAGCATTCCAGTCACCGACCTGGTCACCAGCTCCATTAATTGAAAATTCTTTTGTATAAAACCCATGCAAGACTGTTTTTATAAAAGACCTGTTCTGGTTGGAACTGTACTCGAGTGTGCAAGGTAAGGCTTTCCGTTAGAACCGTTAAAAATGAATTAACAAGCCATATCAAAACGGGTTTACCTAGAAAACGGATTCCTTTGAAATAGTCTCAAAAAGGCTTCGTTTAAATGGATTAGAAAGCTCTAAGTGAGCACTGAAGAAAAAAGCCTTATCACAATCTCGTTGTGTGATCTTTACATCAATAATTTTGAGTACCAAAGTTTGGTTCTTTGGTTTTTTTATTTTTGGTATTCTTTATGGCTGTGCTTCTTTGTATGTTTGCATTGCTTTAAATAAAATTCATTTTCTTTTTTAAAAATTTTGAAAGAAACATAGCATCTATGAAAGAGGCCACAACATGTAATGCATTGAAGGTTAAACAAATTTTCGTTAAAATTTGCAACAAGTACATAAAATGCTAGTAGATGACTGTTTTATGAAAGCAAACTGCAGAGAAGAAAGTTGAAATTGGCAAGCTTTACATTATCTGCCTCCAGGGACGAAACTTCACTATTTTCATTAGGGGGGTATGAAGCTTAGTTGCCCGATGAAAGGGCGTGGCATGCTTGATGAAAGGGCGTGTCCTACATGAACTTCATTTTTAGAGCACATCGTCTCAAGGGCTGAAATCATCGGGAAGCCCGAGAGAGGGTTTTTAGACTCAGGCTGTTTTTTTAAGTCAAAAAATATGCCTCTAGTTATTCTTGTGTTGGCTATAAACATTTGTTTCCGAAAAGCAAGCATTTGTAAGGCCTGTCTTTTCCATAAAAAAAGAGTCTTCAATTTCTAAATCAACTAGCTATTAAGAGAGCAATTCAAAAAAGAGTTTGAAGTAGGGTCTCAATTTTATCAAAGTGGAACACCAAAACACAGCTTAGAAATTTTGGAATTTAGAAACAGCTACGCAGATTACAATGTTCCAACAAAAAAGAGCTTCAGTTGCATTCTCTGAGTTTCATTTTCAATTTTCGGTTGCTCCGGAAGCAATTTCAATATTTTTAGACACCCAAGCACAAAGTACGTATATCTAAATTCACCATAACAAAATCCCTCAAGCAAAGAAAAGTTTTTTATTGGAGGTATTTTACAGGTATACCTATCATCAAAGCTCAATTTTCATGTTTTCGTAATCATGGATATTGTTCAGAAATAGAATAAACTCGAAAGATTTTTTGCAATTCATATCTTAACTACAATTTCTTGATAAATTTTATATTACTTCCTGCTTGAACTGATTAAAACTTTCTGTTACTTGTTATGGTTATTCAAATTTTTTTAGTTAAAAAACTTTGGCGTCTGTATGACCATTTTCTAGCGAAGGGTGCAATACTTTCGAACCGTAAGTGTAAAACCTTAAGAGAATTTTGGAGCATAACTCCTTATGGATGTATTGTTGTGAAGGAGCAGCACGCGGTTAATCCTTCACTCGTTCCTAGACCTCGAAGTTGCATTAGTCAGTTGTTCACGCCACGTTGTAATGAAAAGGTGTTCACGTTTGATCATGTTTATTGTAAATAGTTTTATTATGTTCCTGTTGATGTTATGAAATGTTTAAAAACCCAAATGATGTCTTCTTCAAATGTCCTGACCTAAATTTTTAAAACATGTTTGATTTCATGAATGAAAGTTTCATACATTTGGAAAAGAAAATATTGATTGATTTTCTCAACAACGTATTCCGAGATGGTATATCCTTCATGCTTTGATTCATGATGCTTCTAAAACTGTCAGTGTTCTATGGGCTCCGAGGCAGGATGGAACGTTGAGGGTGGGGGGGGATGGGGGCTTTTCAAGAGAAAATTTAGAAATCACAACAAAAGATTTTGAAAAAAGCTCACTTGTTTTGCAAAAAGTAGGGGGGAGGGGTATACACAGTGTTCATTTCCTTCTCGCATCAAACACACTTTACTTTCTGTCTATACTTTTGCTGTCGATCAATACTTCAGACTTCATCTCGAGACGAAGATAAACATGTGCGCGTTGAGCTCCAGACGAAAGCGCTGATCATTGGACGGATGAAAGACAGAAATGTATATATGTTGCTGTTCCTTGCCTCGTTTCTGTTTTGTTTTCCCAACTGGGAGGAGATTGAAAAAAAGATGGGGGAAAAGACCATGAATTAAAAAACCAACCTAGGGCAAAAAGTAACAATAAAAGTGCGACCTAAAGAAAATTTCCAGATTTGCCCAACAGATACACTAGCAGCCATAAATTTGCCCGACAAAATCTGCTTTTTTTGAAGATTGGGGGGGTGCAGCACCCCCCATACCCCCCAGTAGTTTCGCCCCTGTCTACCTCCATAGTTTGATTGTGAAGCAATTCAAACTCAATATTCAGGCGACTTCCAATGTTTCTCCTATGAAAGCCGTTTAAAACTATCGAGCTGGCGCTTCAAAGACAATATGTTCTGTTCGCGTGGCTTTCTCTTCATATTCACTAAACAACGAATATAAACGACTTGATGCAAGTTATCTGATCGTGTTCTTTAAAAGAATTTCGGGTGTAATGTAAACAAATCTAGAAATATGGTAACGATGGTACGAGATGGTTGCTACCTTAAAGGAGTATCACTAACGGTGCCCCCTTTCAATTCTTTTGCCAAAGATATTCCAAATTAAATAAAACAAATCTCTTAAAATTTTACAATTTCGACCTTGGTTTACATTTGTTGTAGTTTTGTGGCAATATCGTTGACATCACAATGAAACCAGGCGCAATAAAAACGCAGTTTTGAAATAATGATGGCGAAGTGTCGTTGATTGTTAAACGTTGCTCAAGCCTGCTGGTAAAATACTGTCTTGTTGAAATCATTTGAATTTCATATACAAGTTGAAACTAAGCTAAAAATACGTGCTAAGCGAAGCTAAGCGAAAGCTAAAATAGAAAGCTGAAAATACCGTGAAAAGCATTGAATAGAGTGATAATACTAAATTTAATTCGTTTCATATTTCTATGCTAGTTTTTAATCATATTTGGCACTTTGCTACCCAGTATTGACTAATGTATCTTTCCTTTTTCTTACAATTCAGTTTTAAGAAAATTTCTGCAATCATCGTATTGCAAAGGCAGCAGTAATCCGTACACCAACCGACTTGGCGAGATGCGAAAAGACACTCTACTGGTGGGTTTGGAGCTCAGGTTTGAATTGGTTACGGGTCACTGCACACGCAAAAGGCGTGAGATTAGCCTCAGAATAAACACAAATTATCATGAAGATAAAAAGCCGAAATTAATATGGAGTTCAGCTGGAAATACTGCTTTTTGTTGCTAAATATATCATTTTATTGTGTCTCAGTGCATGGTTTATTTACAGCAGAGCATCAAGATTATGATGAATTTTCAAAAGAGGTTCTGAAACGACATAACGAGCTTAGGAAGGTGCATAATGGCAAGGATTCGGAGTTAGAGTTGAGCAAGGAGCTGAGCAAAGATGCAAGGGAGCTTGCCAAGAAAGCTGCCAGGGATAACGAGATCCTCGCCCATCCACCTTCTGGGCATAATGTTTTGATGGCCTGTACGACTTATAACCGAGCCTTGTCTGGAAAAGAGGTTACTGATAGCTGGTGAGTTTCTTACCTTTTGTTATTTTGCAGATCGTAAACAAAAGTTGCTTTACTGATAACGAGCAGGAGCCTGAAAATAAACGGGTTATTGTAGATGAGCTCTATATGATTCAAAAAGTGGTATGCTTCCATGGAAAATGTGCTTAGCATGCGATGAAAGTATTATTTAGCAGTTGAAAACCATTTTTGTGAATGCTCCGACAAAGAATCAATATCTACGCCCGTTTCCTAATATTCGAGAACCTGAAGGCCCTAAAACTCTCATTAGCATTGCTTTAATCTCAAACAGAAGTTGCTCAATTCAAATAGCAGCATGCTCCAAAAAATTTGTTGATGCAAATCATATGAATGTTCAAAGAAACATCATATTGAAATGCACGATTTTCCTTTACTGGAAATTTTTCAGTTAACGAAAACCTTATCAATATATTTGTTGAATAAAAGAGTTTAAAAAAATAAAAGTTAAAACTACGTTGAACAGCTTCTTATTCATTGCTGTAAGAAATTAACACCAGGGTTGGTAGATTCTTTTGGGGCTTCAAGCCAAATCAATGTAGGCAAAAAGCCAAATTAAGCCAAAATCTAAACGAGGCAGCAACACAATAGAAAATATCAAGTTGTAAATGAGGCTAGAAGTAACTTTTTCTGTTCAATACATAGGGTGCTTGACCCCCTTTAACCCTTACGTAATTCTCTACCCACGGCTTAAATTTTTCACTGTTGTGAAAATGCTTAGGTATTCTTCAACTGACTGATGGAACACTTTTTCATTGTACTCATAGAATTCTAACACATGATGTACATGTAAAGGAACGCATTTTGAGTCAAATTAAAACAAAACAAAAGGGGAGCAAACAGAAAATTTTAGGCTTAGCCGTTTTTGCTATCAGAACATTTAACCTTCCCTCAACATTTTATCATCGGATTTAGATGAAGTACAAAGGCAGTCCAAATTTCTGGAATTTGGCTTAAAAAAAGCCAATATACCAACCGTGATTAACACTTGTGCAGTAGGCAATCTGTACTATTTGAATAGGATTATTTTTTCGTGTGTTTTGGTTCATCAAATAGACCACATTTTCTCGAAAATAAGCCGCTGTTTTTTTATGAAATTAAATTTGTCGGCTTATTTTCGAATCGGCTTTATCAACAGTCGACCAATTTTCGAGGAAAAAAGGTATTAGATGTTTAATAAGAGTACCTCTTTTTTGCGATTTGTTTTACCAAAATGTAGTGCATATCCTGCAAGTACCTTTTGCTCTTGATACACATTGAAATTATCAAATAGATATTGTTAGCAAAGTTCTTAGTAAATAGACTGTGTTGATACAGCGATCTGTGCATTCGATTATCTTAGTCGTTAAAGTAGAGATTTATCATCTATTCAGCAAGGATCACTACACTCTAATGTTTAGATATGTTTGTATTTGTTGACGTGGCAAATAGGTAAAATTGTCCAAGAATTTCTAAAACGACTTGTGCAACCAAATAACAACAAAAGAAATCCAATAAAGAGATCAATAATTCTGTGCAAGTCTTAGCTTGAGTAGATGAAACAAAATTTAAATGGTTAAACCGTTCTAGGAGCGAAGATTAAACTTTCTAATCTTTAAGAGAAGTTTCTCTCAATATTTTGAACAGCTGCAACTACAAAGTTTTACTCACCTTTAGGTATGACGAGGTGTGTCATCCGGCATTTCGGTTCACAGACCCTGACAGCAGACAGGCTCGAAGCTTCACCCAGGTTATTTGGAAAGCTTCTAAAAAGCTAGGCGTAGGCCATGCTGTTACGCGGAAAAATAACACGCTTTGCACTTACGCTGTAGCGATTTACAAACCAAATGGAAATGTTCTTGGCAAGTTTGCAGACAATGTTTTACAAGGTTCATTTGAAAAGGAGAAATATTGCAAAGCACCACACATAGATGTTAAGAAAGCGAAGCGGACTAAAACAAGTAAGGCTTCAGTTTCATCAAATGTTTTGAATGTACGTCTTTTTTAATGTAATTTCTATGAGCAATGTAACAATAGAAGAAATTCAGCATGGCGATTGTCTACTAACTAAACATATGGGATTTTTTATAAACAATGTTATTTGAAGAAGATTTTGATGCTTGATGTATGAATTACATTGTGCTTTTTCAATGCGAAACTTCTAGCTAGAAAATTTTATGCTCAAACTGCTCATTTATCAAATTATGAATTAAAAGCCTTACAAGTACCTTGGTTGTGATTTGTGTATTTCTCAAATTTTTGTAAGCCAGTATTTTCTTTTAAAGATTTGAAAGGAAACCACAAGGGTGTATTCGTACTGAACAAGAACCCGCCTAGGCCATCGTTAAAAAGAAGAACTTTGTACTACAAGATACCGGTCGACTTTGTCACAGCTTCCGATACCGGATCGACCTTTGTCGTACCGCGGAAAACGCCATTTCAAGAAGAATCAGCCTCTAGAAGATCGCAGCCGACTTTACCCGAGAGTGCGCCTGCATTCGACTCGGACTCACTGAGTCTCAGCGAGTTTGGAAGCGACAGAACAGCGCTAAAAGAGGACGAGAGTAAAAATGACGGAGAAGAGAGTGCTGATGTACAAGCAGATTATATAAAAGACAGATTAAATGAAGAAAAGGAACAATTAACCCCTGACAGGCTGAAAATGTTTGAAAAGCCCATGCATGTTCCTGAAGAGAGCGAAGAACCGTCATTTGAAAATGTCAAGATGATGCAGCCCGAACGGAAGACCATTGAGGACGAATGTAAGAAAAGGCTATTTCTTGCACGAGGAAAATGGAAGGAAAAAGCTTAACTTTGCCCTTCCACCTAAGAAAGAAATATAGTTTTATTTTCTTCAACAGGATGTATTTCTTACTCACCATTTTCACGAATGGACGGGTTGCATTTAACTATTTAGAGAAATCGTAAATATACGTTCTAATGAAAAAAGGGTAGGTTGTTGAAAGTCAGCTTTCAAAGACTTACCTAAAGCACAATCTTAACCTTTTAAAAACCAAAAGTGACAACCAGCTCCAAGTCAGTACCAGGATAAAAAACTAGTGTATTCTTGGGACTTGAGGAATCTTTTAAATAGCTTTTTCGGTCGCTGCTAAATGTGCGAGTAATTTTTCCAGCCTAATTTCCCTCCAACAGTACATCTCAAAGGACTTATAATGAGAATGTCACGCTCATATCTGAACATAATCAATTTGTTGTGTTTTATGCAGATGCCGTGAACAAAATTGCACTTGATGTGCACAACGCATTGCGGAAAATTCATAAAGCGCCTCCCATGAAACTTAGCCCCAAGATCAGCATCGCAGCGGAGAATTACGCCAAATTCTTAGCAGAGAGTGACAAATTTGAGCATGCTAAAAATATTGCCGAGAATCTGGCATTTTCATGCAACACAGAGGGGCGTATTCCGTCAGTTGCCGAGGCAATCAAAGACTGGTAAGATGTGCAGTAGGGTAGTGTTTTTAAGCATTAAACTAAAACCTTTCGGAAACGAGCTGCTAAAAATAGTTTAGGTGCATTTGTTTCCTATTTGACACCCTGCTATTAGGGACTTGAGACTTGTAAGTCGGGACGTTAATTGATTACAAAATAATCCACAGAGGGTGCTATTTTCAATGGCATCGTTCAGAACAAACTTTTCCTTAAATACTTGCCCCTAAAAGACATTCGTTACCAAACTTATCATTGGCTAAATGATTTAGATGGACATAAATTGACGAGTTAGGACATTTCTCTTGCAAATATTTAAACACTCTTATATCTTTTGACCGAAGTATTCTTTACAAGTTCAAGCAATGATGTAGTTATATAAGCGAAAATACCGCATATTTTCTTACAGGTATCAAGAGGTATGCTTAAAAGATTACAATTTTGATAAAGATCCAAGCTCACCCGGCACTGCACATTTCACCCAAATTGTTTGGGCATCTACCAAACTACTTGGCATTGGTCGTGCGATAATCAGAAGAAACGAGAAAACGTGTACATATTTTGTAGCAAGATATGAGCCTGCGGGTAACTGGGTTGGCCAGTTCAAGGAAAAAGTCAAAAAAGGGGATTTTAATTCTGATGTTTGCCAGAATCTCACAAATATAATCAAAGAAGCTTCTGGAAGCACTGGTGACAGCGATGATGACAAGGAATCCCCATCTAGTAAGCCAAATCCAATTGACGAGACTGATAAAGGGAAGAATGACAAAGAGGCGGACAAAACGAAAAAGCCTGAAAAAGAAGAGGAGAAAGAGAAAGAGAAAGAGAAGGAGAAAGAGAAGGAGAAACCACAGCTCAACATTTCACCTGAATCCATTGCAAATGAGGTGAATGAGGAGAAATGCTTTATGGGATCGATTGATGGTACGTAAAAGCGCTTGCGCACAGTATGTTGGCCATAGCTGTGTGCCTTTAATTTGTTTGCTTTTTCTAATTCTTAGAGAGTCTCAGTCAACATCAAGCTGGTGCAAGCACACATTTCGCAGGATCCTTTTTTATACAATCCACTGTCCCTCAGGCCCATGAAAGCCAATACACTGGATTACATGGCGTTACATTTAATCATTGATGTATAGAAGGGCGGGCTGAAGGAGAGATTATAATTTTCAATTAAAAATTGTTGGGTCTGCTTTTTTGCTTTGTTCTTTGAAAACCTTTGCTGTCAAAAACTTGCAGAGCTTCATCAAAGTTTATGCCAGTGTGAAATATAATTCATTAAATGTCCATTTATATGCAAATATACTATGTCGATATAAATATATTCTTGCATAAGTAGAACACTTGTTGTTTTAATGAATCACTCTTCGTCTTTCTTGAGTTGATCCTGCTCACTGTTTATAGCATGCAAATAGCCATTCATTTTGCTTCATTTTAAGCAGCTAGCCACATTTCAGCGATTGATTACTTTCAGATCAAGCAAAGTTTGCAGGCCAGTCACTAAGAGTGCATAACTACTTTAGACGCATTCACAATAGCCCAGCTTTGATGATCAATGAAGATCTTGTGAGGAAAGCTCTGGAAGATGTCAAAACAATGTGCCTAAAACAGAAGAAAAGGAGCCAGATCGACAAGTTGGTTGGAGAGAATGTTGGATCTGCTTGCAACATTGCTAGCCAAAGAGTTAGTGCGGCGGAGGCAGTTACCAATTGGTATGTGTATTATTGTCTTTGAATGTCAAACTACTTACTTAATTTACTCGCCACTGCTAATCTTATCAAATACATATGTAAAAAGAATATGAGAAGAATCATAATCTTGCTATTCAAAAAGAAACTAAAACTGTCGAAGTCTTTGGAGATGTCCTAGAGGAAACACGTTTTAACCTAATGAATTCTTATCCTTTAACTGTGCATTAAGCTATCTCAATTTCATTAATTTAACATTTTATTATACTTTATACCTCAATTTTAACTACAATGATTGTCAATAGGAATACGGGTCCTTGAATGATAGCAGATAGATTATTATTCTTATTATTATGTCATGAGAAATTGCTCTCTAACCATGATGTCAGAAACGCTACCTTCCTTTTGCTTGGAATTTTTGTCTAAAGTCGATATTCTATCAAAAAATATGAAAATTAACATTTGAACGTCTTAATGAAAACAACACAGGAGAAGCTCTAAGTAAATGTTATGAAACAACAGGTCTCTTCCTCTTTATACAAAGACTTTATGAGGTTTTTTGCATATCAAATGAAAGTGAAGTTCATGTAAACCTTATATCTGCAGGTATAAACAGGTTTGCGACCGAGGTTATAAATTTGACAAAGAGGAAGAAACCAAGGCAACAGCAAAATTTACCCAGCTTATATGGAAATCAACCAGTGACTTTGGTATTGCATTTGCTACAAAGAGAACAAAGGACAAACTGTTTTGTACTTACGTTGTTGCAAAATACTCTCCCCCTGGAAACAAAGTTGGTGGTTACAAAGAAAATGTTTCAAGAGGATCTTTCACTCCTTCGATATGCGACAGCTTAAATACGATTGCTTTCAATGCAGCTATTGACAATACCATCACTACTGCAGTGCATGTTCCGCCATCTTTACACAATCATTGGTCATTTGGTCCTGAAGTTGCCAATCAAGTTTTGAAAGCCGTCAGTCATGAGGCTGGGACATTTGAGCCATTTAAAGTGCCAATATATCATAAAATACCTAGAATTAAGCCCCTTGGCACAAAGAGATGCGTCAATATGGGTTCTGATAATCCTATTTGTAGAGGTATGCCAATAATTTCTCATTAGGGGACTACGTTTATAATTTCTCTATCCATCAATCAGTATATTGAGAGGGTACATAGATTGGATTATGAGCTCCTCTGCTAAAACCCGATTGTATTATCATCACCTTTATTATGTAATCGTCATCATTATTATATATAGCGACCCTCTCAATTATATAGCACTATATATAGCGACCGAGTTTACTTTAGGCTAATTCAGTGTTTTTTATGGTTAATACAACAAAATCTTGAAACGTAGATTGTTCTATTTCTTATTTTGATTTGATGTTTTCGTAACTAACAATATATACCATGTATTCAAAGTTTTCTATCTCGAATTAAATCAAGATATGTACGTAAAGAATTATTGAGCAATTTTGGAACTACTGCAGCCTGTACATTTAGATTTTTGGCCATCTAACAGCTTCATTAAAATCTAGAAGTTTTTCAATTTTTCAGTTTAACTTTTTTTTATGTAAGCAGTTCCATATTTGAAATGAAAAACCTCTCTTCTAATCTAGCTGAAATCGAGGACGAAGGACTGAGGGTACATAATTACCTACGAAAAATTCATGGTGCTAAAGATTTGAAACTGTCTCCGTCGCTGAGTCTGAGTGCTCTAAACTACGCCAAGACGTTGTTGGCAGAGAAAAGGATTCGTAACTCTGATGCCAATGCAGGAGAAAGCATCGCAGTTAAATGCTCACAGGAACTGACTGTTGGAGCTGCCATCAAAGCTTGGTATGAAATGTCTATTAATAGAATTAATATCTACAACGGGCCATTAATGGTCACATGAAGCGATCTCTGAAAACTGTTTGTCAAGGACAATAAGAGACATGTAGATTAATCTAATCTCGAAAATTTTTAGTCTGGTTAAATCAATGAACTTATTTAGGCACCCTGCTTCCACTTTTTGCATTGTGCATTCCAGTTTCTAAGATAGGATGATGACACAAACATTGCTTACTCATCAATAGAGCCTCAAGGGCTTCAACGAATTATAAATTGAGAGCCATCTGGCCAGTGGCATCACCAGCTCGAAAAACTTGGGTGGAAAAAGACTCCGCCACGCTCTTAAGACTCTTAGAAAATCCTTTTTTTGGTTTTTTTAATCTATTTTGAAATTTTGGGACAAGCAACTTTCCCAAGCAGAACATTTCTTAACGGTGGCTTTTCTGCCAGTGCGGAAATCGAGATCGATCTGATCAGCCCAACTCATCTCCCCCCCTCCCCTTCAGGGGTTTTCAACGGATTTAAAAAACTAGAAAATCGACTTCTGGGGATGTCCACCCCAGTCTACCCCGTGGCGACGCCATTTTATCTGGCATCAAAACGTGGCTACAACTTGGTTCAATTACCCAGGTCATGGTTATTGAAACTTGGCAGAATGTTGAAAAGTTGGTCAGCTAATGAAATCTGCAACAATCACTAAGCATCCGAGTATTATAATATGAGTATTGATGCAAGCATTAGTTACGACTATCAAATTCTAGTTATTCAAAGGAAGTTGGCTGTTTTATATGCACGTGAATTTGCACAAATGACGGCCAGTAAATTCGACTTGTTTGTTTCAGCTATTGGTACTCAGTCTAGGGTTCTTGTTGCAGAATCAGACATTCAATGTTTAATATAAAAGAAGATTAATAACACAAAGTGTTATTATTGCACCCTCTGCTCCGCTGCTTTAGAGTCTGAGCCTGCACTCAGTCAAAGCATAATTAAAAAAACAACAATGGTACATAAATTTTGATCCTCTTGCTCAAAAGCATAATTAAAAACGAAACAACAATGGTACATAAATTTTGTCTCTCTGTATCTCAGTGACCTTTCTGAGCAAGTTTTCAGTGTGCTTTTCAGAAAATTGAATACCCTGAACAAATGCTTTCGATACACAATAATTTTTACTTTAGTTAAAGTTTTAGGTCTGTCATTCCAGTTTTTATTCAATTCAACTTTACTTGTATTGTATAAATCCTCTACTATTGTGAATTCTGTTTTATTTTCTGCCTACCTTTTGTAATTATCTGAAGTTTATACTGGGGGACTGCGGACAAATAATATTTCAAAAATACGTTTTGTAGGGACAATGAAAAGTAGCATTTTAGTTGAAAAGCTAAAAAAATTAAAGTGAAAAGAAATATATACTTCATATCTATCAGGTACAAAGAAGCATGTGATTCAAATTACGATTTTACCGAAGAAGGTTTTAATGGCGCAGGCCACTTCACACAAATTGTCTGGCAAGGAACAGAACTATTAGGAATTGGGAAAGCCACGGCAATTGTGAATGGAAATCCTTGTACCATTATTGTCGCTAGGTATGAGCCACCTGGAAATGTTATTGGGCAGTTTCGACATAATGTGAAGCAAGGCGAATTTACAAAAGAGTTTTGTAAAAGGCTTGATAAGGTTATTGACACCCCGAAAGCAGAAATGGTGAAAGTTAAGCCGACGAAGGGGCAACCTGCCAATTCAAACCTAGCTAGTTCAGGGTCAGGTGAGGAAATTGAGAAAGCCAAGCCCACTGAGGCTCCAAACACAACATCCAGGCCTACAACAAATGCTAATGCCCAGGTTGTGGATGAAAAACCAACACCCACTCCAAAAACCGCTACGAGAAAGCCCAGTGAAGCAGTTAGGAATCAAGGGAGCAGTCCTGCCCAACCTCCTAAAGCTGCTGGACAACCAATCAAATTGCCGGGAAAGAATAAGGGTATCAACCCTGCTGCAGCACAGAAACATCCATCAAAGACATTGAAAGGAGAGACAAAGCCGGGGGCAAAGCAGGAAAGGAGAAAGCCAGTCAGGAAGCCTGCAAAAATTTTGGCGCTTGGACAAACAAGTGCAACTTTATTACCATTAGAAGGTATTTCTTGATATATCTCAAAACCTTTTCCTTAAACCTGGAAGCCCTTAATGTAATATATCCAACTCATTCAACGTTCATATCTTGGTTATAAATCTATGAACCAGGTATAAACAAGGCTTATCCATTATCGAACGCTGTTTATTCACTTGATATATCTCAATCTATTTGCAACTCTCTTATCTGATTTGCATTTCTACGGGTAATGGTGATTTTTTGGTTTATGTGGCCAGAAGACAAACATTTAAAAAAGATTAGGCTGCTCTTAAATGTAGCTGCCTTTAAACACGATCGCCCCTTAACCACGGTTCGAGATTTCTTCCTAGTTCTTATTAAAGACTCTTCCGTACGAATTCGACTTCTGACATGATGAAATTAGAGACTTTGGTTTAAATTTGAAAGAAAACGTTTGATATTTCCCAGGCAAAATTAAATTTGTTTGACGTTTGCTAAGAGTTATTCTGTACACATAATAAAAAATTGCATGCATGGTTTTGTTCCAGATACCAAAGAATTTAGCAGAGATGGCCTTAAAGTTCACAATGCATTGAGGAGCCTTCATGCCTCGAATGATCTTACACTTCTTGATAGACTCACTCATTCTGCGCAAAAACGTTGTAAAGGCATGATCGAGAAAGGCATAGCCTCTCAAGGTAAACGAAGAAATATGGTGCAAAAAAGTGGCGAAAATCTAGTGATTCTTTGCGATACAATCAAGACGGATTATGCAGCCAAAGATGCCATTCTAAACTGGTTTGTACACCTTTTAAAACTAATTGCTTTTGTCTCGTCTTTCTCGCGTGATTTGAAGAATCATCTACATCCCTTGAGTTAGACTCCTCTTCACTCCATTACTTAAAGACACATCCAAGCAAAAATATTTTGCATAGGTGAAGACCATTCAAAAATAGGAGATAAACTTCTATGATGACAATCAAACATGACTCGAAAGCTATCATTCAATATGTAGTCCTCCGACTTCGGTCATGCAGTGCTTTGAAACGCAGATGTTTCTTCTTAATAAATTTTTCCTTTTTAATAAAGATTTTGTTTTATTGGTTTAAGAATTTCTCTCGTATATTCATATTCATGTTGAAATTCATTTTCAGGTACTCCGAGGCATGTGAAAATCGAAATAGTTTCGCTGGTGGTGCATATGTGGGAAGACCTAATCATTTTACACAAATGATTTGGAGATCGACAAGCTATTTTGGAATGGCGAAAGTAGACTTCAAGGATAAAGCTTCAGGAGATTTCTGCAGCTGCGTCGTAGCAATGTACGAGGAGCCCGGTAATTATATCGGAAAAGTAAAAGAAAATGTAAAACAAGGGCAATTTGACCCGGCATTGTGCTCTGATCCAGAACTTATCCTTGCTGATGCTTCGGTGAAGTACAAGGAGAAGAAAGAAGAGGAAAAAGTTCAAGGAACCCCAACTCCTCCACGAAAAACAGGCTCTGTCACTAAAGCCCCAACATCACCCACGGCTCCAACAACAGTTGGCCCACCTGGCTCGGCACAGGACTCTGTGGGAATGCCAACCCCTACGTCTGCTATTGATTTTGATGCAACTAGTCCGACACCAATAACACAATTCACCGTGCCAGCAAGCACAACCGGTAGGCCGACGCAGACTCCACAAGCTGCTGTTGTTACCTCACCCGCACCACCAACAATGGCACCATCAACTCCAGGACCATCAACCGCTCCGACAAAACCAACGGGGAAACCGCAAGAGAGACCTCAAGAGGTACCACAAGAAAAGCCTAAAGGGAAACCGCTAAGCCCGCAAGCCAAGCCGCAAGGGGGTCTGCCAGAGAAAGTGAAACCTCAAGGGAAACCTCAAGGAAAGCCTCAAGGGAAACCTCAAGAAAAACCTCTAGGGAAACCTCAAGAAAAACCTCTAGGGAAACCTCAAGGAAAACCATCAGGGAAACCTCAAGGCAAACCTCAAGGGAAACCACAAGGACAGCCTATTAAACCTTCGCCACAACCGGAAAGCTCACCTTCGGTCATGCCAACAACGGCACCTTCTAAGAAAGTCACCCAGCCCCCTATTTCCACTGAAATGAAAACAAAGCCAATTACAAGTGTTCCAACTCGCCCACCAGTTGTTAACAAACCAACAACAATGAAACCTACAACTTTGCAAAAAATGCCAGTAACAGAGAAGCCGACACAAAAACCCGAGGTTAATGCTGCAACCACAGTAAAACCAGAGCCAACAACTCAAGGGGAAGCAGCGGCTGCTGTGACCCCCCAAAAGCAAACACAGGGAGGTAAGATCGCTAAGAGCCTTTTGATGTGATGATAGGCCTTATGTTTCTATAGGAGGGGGGGAAGGGTTGATTTAAGTTCTATAGTACGGATGCTAGATTACATTTTAGGCACCTCCCAAAAGTCAAGAAATCCTTATATGAAAAAGGTGTTCGATAAAAATAAACAGCAGTTTTTCATGACTACCTCGAAGAGTGGAGGATTTTTACGTCAAATTTCGTGCAAAGCTTCAAAAAGACTTGTTACTCTTATTTATCGACAATTTTTGTCCATACATTATTGAACTTTGTATAAAGCTGTACTAGGCAAATAAGGATAAAATACAGTAAATGCCCGCTATTTGAATTGAGAGCTCGAAAGAAACAGCCATTTGAATTGAGAGCTCGAAAGAAACAGCTTTTTTAACTGAGAAAGTTTGAATGGTTCCTTATTTAAAGGGGCCTTCTTATAATCAGATTCAGGAAATCGTATATACTGATTCCTCCTGTGTATGTACATATGTTTAACAATGCTAATATAAGTGCAGAATGCATATTAATATATACGGTTCTAATGTCAGATCAAAGTGAAGTGTCATACTGCGGCCTGGCAGTTCACAAATTACTAATATCCTCTACTGTAGATATTTTGATGCTCTGGCCAAACAAATCAAACATCGGCTGCTATGGCTGATTAAACTTAATCAAATATCATAAGAACCAGTAAAGATTTCTTTGAATGATTTTCAAAAGTGTGTTTCACAAGACGACATTCTTGAGACTTTGCTTTTTAGAATTTGAACTCGCTGGTTTACAAGCGCACAACAAACTAAGGTTAATTCACACTTCTCCACCAATGACCCTCGACGACGAATTGTCAAAAAGCTCGGCAGCGTACGCCAGAGTTATTGCCGAGAAAGACGTGCTGGAACATTCTGATTCGAAAGATGGAGAAAATCTCGCCATGGGATGCTCTTCGAAAAATATTGAAATGAGTGCCACGCAGGCAACAAAGAACTGGTAAGTTTACTTGTGATGCTTTGGGTTTCAGTGGTAATGTGATACACCTGTCTTGCTTCAACCAAATGATAAGCAAATGATAGTGAGGTCAGAAGCATTGGCAGCAAGTCTGGCATATCTGGGTCAATGACTTTAGTGATTGTAACATTTGCACCGGTTAAAGGGCCTTCAACACTGGAAAAACCGTTGCAAAGTGAACAAAATTCGTCAGATTTATTTGCAAGTTTCAGTTTTGCCGTTAAGGCAAGGCCACAAAGTAACTTTGATGCATTAGGAATCATGCAAATAAAACCAATTTACGATAAAAGGGCTCATTTATTTTTAAAGACCCGAAATTGATAAAATAAAGTAAATCATAATATTAGCTAAAGAATAACTGCGAAAGAAACTTTATATGACAATCAGGTGTTGAAGTATAGTTAAAAAATCACAATTTGCATAAATACCAAGCTAGCAAGGTTGCTCAAAGTATTGAGAAAAAAAAACATTAATCAAGTGTATTTGTTTTTATTTTAATCTCCGCAAGGAATTTTTGAAAAGGAGAGAAACTGAGAAACCTTATAGAATTGTCTTTTAACCACATAGACATCAATGCAGCTGAAATTGCACAGTATATTGCTATGAGTGGTGTGCCTCTATTTTCAGGTACAAAGAGGCATGCTCACCAGGGTATCAGTTTGGCGATGCATCTGCACCAAACGAAGGAACAGGGCATTTCACGCAAGTTGTTTGGAAAGGCAGTACTATATTGGGCATAGGAAGATTCACAAAGGAGACGAAAAAGAATGGCAGAACGATGTATTGCACGTACATAGTTGCGCGGTACCGACCGGCTGGCAATTGGCAAGGTCAATATGCTGAAAACGTCATCAAGGGAACATTCAGCCCAACGAAGACGTGCGAAAATTTGAACAAGATTCTTGCGGATGTTAAAGGAAACAGAAAAAGCCATGTTCATCTATCAAGGAACAGGCCAGCTAAAAGTGGTGAGTTTGAAAACAGGCGACATTGTTTTCCTGTAGATACAGAAAAGAGTGGTTGGGGCACGTTCCTCGATAACTTCTTAATTACAAACGAAAGCAGGGTTCATTATTAAACTTATTTAGGCCAAAATTAGAGCAAACATGGCCGCTCTCCTCCTGCATTCGTTCCTGATTCCCTTAATTCTCTAGGGGTAACCTACACAGAAGATTATTCCAGCAGAAAATTAATAAATACTGTGACAAGTTTTCTTGTAAGGGTCTGATTATATGAAAGCATGCTAGGCTGGTAGAATGGCTTGCTTGTTTACCAAGAAAAAACTTAATACTTGATTGAACGGGCCAAAAGGGCTAACTCACCTGTGGGTGACTGCGCATCCCAGTTCTACGCCCTGCATGTGATTATGCGGGAATTGCGAAGCGAAAATGGCGTTGTATCATCGTGGAAGCCGTGAAAGAATTCTCTTGAATATTACAAGGATATTTCTCTTTCAAATGAATGGCTTACTGCTGTCAATCAATAAAGCAATCATTTCGTTATTCCTCGTATTCAAACTTTGCAGTTGTCAACAAAAACTTCTGCTTAAATTCAGTAGCAGCAGAAGGAGATTTGCGACGGTATAATCAATTTTGAGATTGTGCTTATATCAAACGGCCAGCTTGCTTATCAGGCACACTATCATGCAATAGAAAATGGCTTTTTTACGTACAACTGAGCTGGCCCATTTGCAGAGGCAGCCCGTTCACCACGGTCCGTTCACCACGCCAGCTCTCCTCATTTAATCAGGCTCTCAGGGAGTTCGCTGATTTACATCTCAATAGAAAATATCTTCCATGCTTGTCAATTAGTTACGTCATACAATGCGAAGGATTCCTCAGCACCAAATCTTAGTTATCTTTCGATATCCAGTTGACAGCAGTATGATTGCATGATGGAGAAACAATGTAATGAAAATCTAACTGAAAACCTAAAGGAACTCACAGTAAATTTACTTGTGTTTATTGTTGCGTGTTCTCGGCACGTTGCGGTGTTTTTTTATTTGTTACATTTTCATCGACTTTTCGCCGCAAAAATTCCATCGATTGGAGTCCATTGAGCAGCCTTTATTCACACAATAACTGAAAATGCCTGAATATTAAAAAAGCCATCTATCTTTTCATAAAAATTCAGAACACCCTTACTGAAACAGAATCGCTTAAAACACTGATTTTTTTCATCTTTTCGCCCTGTTTCTTCAATACATAATAGTATTGAAGTCTAAAGTCTATGCTTCATAGAGCTGTTTTTAACAACATAAATCATTTCAAAGGTTTGGTTCGCAGAAATCTTTGGCACTCATGGATAAAGAATTGTATCTATATAAAAAAGAAATGAATACTTCTTAACATAAATGTTAAATCATCTAACCCAGCGACTTATATTTGTTGCTATGATACATAAATAATATCTTAGTTTATGAAGATAAGAAAAAGAAAAACACGGATCTTTATTTTGTAAAAGTTCTTCAATGTTATTTTCGCTATAACGTTACCAATAGCATCTGTTCTTTTTTACATTTTTCGATGGCATTTGTTTTTCCTGCAGATTCAAAATTGCTGTTAGCAAAGAAGGATGAAATCATCGATGAAGAGAGAGACAACACAATGGCGGAGCCGCTGAAATCCCTTGATCTTCTCTGAAAGATATAACAGTAGTGAAAGTAATAAAAGTTCTGAAAGAACAATTAGGATGCAATTTTTTAAGTGTTGCTTGTAGCATCACCAAGAATCGCTGTTCCAAACGAAAGTTTAATCAAACAGAAGGCTACTAGCAAGGGGAATGGCAACACCTGAAAAAGCTTTAATGTAAAGGACACTTGTATCAACCATAGTGAGAATAAACAGCCAGTGAAAGGACACAGTGGGAAAGCTTTTATATTAGCTGCATCCATAGCTTATGATGAAAAATCTATTGTTCTATTAATCTCGGAATAAGTTAGTTTATTAACCTAGCTCGCATTTTAACTTTGAGTTTTATGTAAGATGCATCATAATCTAACTTTTGTAAAGAAATACATTCATATTAATACCTATTATGTGTAATATCAGTTACAATTTTGTAACTTTTTAAGACATATTGATAATTCAACAATGTTTTTTATAAGTTTACATGGATATTTAGCGATAAATTTTTCATCATAGTAAACAAAGTAAATCTAGTTTCCATTGAAATGAACAAGTCAAAATTTGCTGTCTTTTTTTCTAAAGATTCTTTTAGATTTTGCTGCCATATCTTTTTGCTTAAAAGATTTAAAGTCGAGGCATAACTAGTCGTGTTTGCTTGTTTAGCGAAAAAGCTTTCATCCACGAATTTCAGTCTACACTTAACTACCCTGATAAGTCCACATTTCAGCTGAAAATAGTCCTTATGGCAGGAGAGAAACTTCACAGCTTTGAAGAAGTGCAAAATAAAAAACTGCATTAGTTTAACCTTCATCTTACCATTATAACAATCAAATCTCTCAAGTAATTTATCTTACTAGGCCATAAACTCTTCTCACAAAATGACGGACTGGCCGCCGTCCAGCATCGCATTGGCCCGCAAGGATATAATATCTTCTAAAATCGAAGCTCTTTAACACCAATGTGATGCCGGTTGTACTCTATGGTTTAGAATGTGTTAGCTGGACCTCGGAATCCTTGAAAAAACTTGTCGTTTTTATGTCCAAAATCATATGATGAGATTCATGACAAACAAACGACTATCTGATCATACGCGAATTGAAACCTCCTTAGTGAAATAAAGCTCATTCCCATCACATCCACAATTAAATCAAAAGTCCTGAAGCTCTACGGTCACACCAAACGCTGTACTCAAAGCGTAAGCAAAATCTTCCTCGAAGGAATGACAGAAGGCAAAAGAAGTAGAGGAAAATAACGTAAACGATGGCGAGACAACATTAGCCTTTGGACTGGACGAGACCTGATGTCGCTGAACAACGCAGTCAAAGAACGGAATTTATGGAGACAATTGTCACATGTTGTTGCGCAATCTGCCGTAGGCGCAAAAGGCGGACGATGATGAAGCTTGCCTCATGTTTTTGCTAATCAGAAAAAAGCACAATCTTCTATTTGAATTTATTTACATGCCCAGATAACGTCTTCTAATTAATCTATTGCTAAATTCTATGTGACCAATAATGAAACTCCAGACCAGAAAAATGAAGATCTATTTTGAAAATTTTGTTTTCCGAAACTGGCTTCTGAAAAGCAGCTCTGTTATGCAACGAATGCATTACTAAAAACGGGTAATGCTTTAGGATGGTTTGCAAAGGCTGAATCCAATTCCAAAAATGTGCGAAAACTTAGGTTTTTCTTACGTGAGGTGTCGTCATGTATTGGGTACCAACCTTTGCTAAATAGAAAAAAGATAAGCATGGTGTATGTTAAGTTCATATTGAAGCCTTGTTTACACTGAACAGATAAGCACTTCAGTCATACTGAAAGGAAGTTGTGAGCACTTAAAGTGAAGCGGAAGAGATAAGTTCTGTGATGTAATTTCATGGTGCTGGATCATTTCTATCGGCGATACTGAACAAGGCATAAACAACTTGCAAACTCAATGGACACCACCAGCATATCAGCAAAGAAGGGTTTTGATTTGACCCGTCCTTTTTGAACATATGCTGATTAAACAGATTAAAGAAAAAAATGATATTCTTCATTTATTGAGCACTGTTCAAGGTTTTGTCAAGATGGAATGATACACGGGAACCGCCGTGAAATTGAAATTAAATAGCCGAGAAGATGCGTCAGTATACAAGGGATAAATTTAAACTCGTATTACTTCTTCTTGTGTGCTTGCCATGTCAGTTTATTTGCAAATTCACAACAGAGGAGAATAAGTTTCAACAAGAGGCAGTACGGACTCATAATATTTTTAGAGCTGTGCATTTAGCGCCGGCTCTTAAACTTGATATAAAACTCACAAAGCAAGCGAAAAAGCTTGCAGAAGAGGCCGCTAAATTGCATGGTTTTTACAATATAACGACAGGCGAAAATGTTTACGAGGCGACGTCGACGCACTACAGGGATATTTCAGGACGCGAAGTAACAGAAGCTTGGTAAGATTTTTTATTTAGCAGTATTTGACATTAAATCAATAACATCCTCGCTTTAGATAAGAAAGTTTAAGCTATAATGGCATAAAAATGACTTAATGAATTAAATATAGTGAATTAGATACAGTTAAATCCAACAATTGTAATCCCCATTCACCAAGAACTTACCGCTATGGCTAACTAAAAGTCCGCTCCCTTGGATTCTGACCCATCAACTTCATTTAAAATATTCTTTGCAAAAAGGATCTTTGGTATAGCAAACTTTTGCTGTTCTGAATAAAGTTTTATTCCCGTCAAAATACAAGTGAGATAAAAAATATTTGAGAGGAATAAAAATGCTAATTATCCTATCGAGGAGCTAAGAGCATGAAATAAGAAACGGATGCCGCCAGAACTTACTACAGAAGGTACCCTTGAAAAAAAGGCATGCAAAAGATTGAGTAGAAGATCCTTCTTCTGTTGTTCGACTTTACTCCTTAGAAGCTCTGGTACCTTTTCATAGGCACTGATGATGCATTCCCCACTTTTGAAATATCTCATATTACATACGAAGACGTCTTTGCTATGGTACCATCAGAAGAGAAGAAAATGCTAAACGAGGAAGTTGTTTTTAAACCACCCATGAAGCTATGCAATGCAATATCTGGCTGAACTTCAAATGCTCATCCTCTTTGAAGCTGTAGTTAGGATAAAATGCATTTAAAGCAAATTGTATTTTGAGAATACATCATGACAAGGCTATTGGCAGGAAGCGAATAAAAGCTTTTGCTGATTTTCAAAAATACTTTACTGTCGATTCATTATTTTTATCGATAATTTTTTGCCATGTTTAATTGCCAACAGTTTGTGGAGAAACTTTCACGTTTACTTTCCCTTGATCAGATTTTAGAGCAACAAAAATCGTTATTCTATTTAAAGTTTTATGAAAAAACAACGCGCAGTAAGACATAAATAATAAAAAGAAAATCAAAAAGGTATAATTTTCTATTTTTTGTTAAGAATCCTGCAAAATAATTAATTTACAGTGTAACAGACTCCCTCTGCTTGATTGACATGTTTATTTGATGTGAAAAGAGGAAATGAAATGCAAATTCATGGCTTTGGAAGCCCCAGTTTGGAAGCCCCTCGTGGCAACACCACTTTCTTAAATGTTCTTCTTTGACTCACTGAAATTTTATGAAGAAACAGTGAAAGGCTATGCGGGTGCCAAAAACCTTTGCTATACCAATTCCAAAACATGAAATATTATATAACATGATTAAAGCAAACATTTGTGTAGCCTTGTTTACAAAGATAAAGGTAGATGGAAACCCTAAAGACTTGTCTATCTCTGGAACAATTTTTCTTTATAACCGATTCTATATTTTAATGAAATCTATAGAATATTGTTGTTGATCTTTCAAGAGAACCTATTATTTGATAATTCCCCATACTTTTCTCTTATATCGTAATGGTTAAAAACTAATTTTATTATCCAGGTACCAAGACGTTTGCTTTTCAAACTTTGATTTTGAGCATCCTGAAAACTTACTGGCAAGCAGTTTTACTCAGATTGTTTGGAAAGACACTGCAAAATTTGGAATTGCTAAAACGTATTCGGAAAGAAAAGGGCTGCCGCAGGTTTTTGTTGCTGCAATCTATAAATCGCCGGGCAATGTTAAAGGATTTTATCATGAAAACATTTCCAAAGGGAGATTCAAGAAATCATATTGTGAAAAAGTACAAACAAGGAACAATATCGATCAAGGCACGCAAGTTCTTACCACTTTTGCATTGAAAGAAAAACTAAACAGAAATGATAACAACAAAGTTCCACTTGCAGGTGAATAAGTATTAATGGCTTTTTCTTATAGGTCTTTTAGTATCTAACATCGATTTGCTCAGGGGTAGGAGATATGCAGGGGCAGTTGATGTTGTGCAGGAAGTTCTTTCGTCTTATGAAAATTGTCATGGAACATGATCGTTGGTAAACTAAAAATGGAAAACTCCTTCTCTAAGTAAATCAAAGGGAACACAAACTATTATCGTGCTAAAGGTCTATAACTCAATAAGCATCTTGAGTTATTTCAAGAATTGTTTCGGGAATGGTGATAGCAGCGCTGTGAAAAATGGCCACTCAAAGAGATGGTCAAGGGACTCAACCCTCGTAGTTTTCGAAAGGAAAGATACTTCTTATGATATAAACCAAGATTTTTAAACTCATGCCCCACACTTTGAGGTTCATGGTATGGCTCTTTCTTTGCTTGATGGAGCAACGTTTTTTTCTTCAATTCACCACATCATGGACAGGTCTGCTCTTACAAGGAGTATTTGCCTCGATCTGGAGTGGCGGGCACTTCACCTTTATTTGATTTTGAAATTTTGCCAGTACTGCCTAATATTATTGAGTAAGAACTAAGAAATGCAGGAACATTTCGAGGTATTAATGTTTTATTTAGTAAAATATTTAGCAGATGCCATTTACTTTGGGTTTTTTTACTAATGACTGCATTTGAATTCATTTTGACACCCAAAAACGACCGAAGACTCTGGTACATCACACCCAGTTCTTAGAGCTACCAGGCATTTCACACCAGACACACATTCTATAAATATTTAAGCCACATTTGGTAGAACAAATTGAAGAACCCGATAATTCATGAATCAAATTTATAAACACTTTCTGATAAGCCATGTGTTTGGAAACATTCATAGAAGCTAGATTTGCCTGTTAAGTTTCGCATTCGTTCGATTCGAGAAAGGCAAAAGGTAGGCGTAGGCCTAAATTTTTATTGAGCTCAACAAAACCACAGCATATGCACACTTTCCCCAAAAATAAATAAAGTCATTCCCCAACGAAGTTCCTGTTAGGTCCTCTATTCCAAAAAGTGTTAGTTCAACCTTTGGTTTGGTCTGGCTTAAGAATTTATTCTGCACAGCTAGGATATTTGTTTAATTATGTACAATTGTACACTCTTTTTTTTTATTTTTAATCAAGGTCAACGTTGAGTACTCCAGTTTCTTGACGTTTTAGGAAATTCCTATACCCTATTGTTTCTTAAGACTTTCTTAAGTTTGCTTTCATTAATTCTAACATTGGAAGTCCTAATTTAATTTTTCATGCTAGGAAATTTTTCAGCACAAAACTTGCTTGGAAGGGTTTTCACAGCTGCTGACAAAGGCACTTGTCTATGTGTCTGTTGTTTTCAAATGCTCATGACATTTTTGTCAAGATACTTTTTGGCTCTAATTCTGTTCTTAGATGGGAATCTCATATTTCTATTCTCTGTTTCAATATTTTAATTTAAACCTGCAAAACATATTGGTGGGTTTTTGCAAAGTTTTTGAGTGATTGCCTTTTTCAAAATTCAGTTGTTTCTAAACTTTTTTGCTTTGAAAACTGAAGTTTTTTAGCTTTTTTCCTGATTGCCCAGTATACTCATTTCTTATATAGCGAGTTTCTTTTAAAAAATAAACATATTGCAGCCAATTTCTCCAAGAAGTGTTAGGCAAAAAAAACTTATAAGTTGCAACTACTTTCTACAAACCAAAGCATAATAATTATCATATGATCTATTTACAATACTCAAAGATAAGTTTTTTGAGTTGGGGAAAGGGTTGGTTTAAGCAAAGTATAATTTTCAATTATTCTTTGAATCAAAATATCCGTATTGAAGATTTCATATAGCAAACTGAATTGCAAATTTTAATTTTCAGCTACTGTAGCAAAGAAAAGCTTCCTACAAAAAGACAAAGTCCATGCTCCATACCTTACCACAGTTTCTGGAGGTGAGAGCCCCCTTGAAGAAAGAGTGTCACTTAACAGTGATTATGATATTGAGTCCTTTAAAGACAATGAATATCAAAACTCTCTCAACTCAGAAGACAGTTCTCGATATGAAACAGTGGATCGTCCTTTTGACGTCTTTGGTCCAAAAGAACATTATTATACTGTGCAGCATGGAAACAAAAAGTTTGATACCATTATCACACAGGCTTTTAGAGCAAATGGTGTGGAACCAGAGGTCAACAAGATTGAAGAAAAGAGTGATCCTGCTTTAGGAAGTGAATATGTTAGCTTTCCACAAGACAGTTTGAGAGAGAATGAAATTGAAAGGTACTGGGATTATGTTCCAATAAATAGCAAGCTTGAACTTGGTGGCGTTCACCAAAGTGCAGGCCCAGGCTCAGAGAGAACTGTTGGAAGTCAGCAAGCTGCAGTAAAAGGGGTTCTTGATGGTAAAAAGTTGAATATATATGGGGGAATAGGAATTCCAGTTGCTGAAGTAAATAAGCAATTACAAAAGTTACGAGATGCCAAAGAAGCAAATTACAAGGTGAAAGATATCAAGTCAAAAGATGATGCAGTTGATTTCAAAGAAAACAGTGACATCTTGGACCAAAAAGTTGTTGCCCAAAAAGTTACCATTGAACCAGGAAGCAAAAGACAGTCACCAAATGTAACAGTGCATAACAGATCACCAGGAAACAATGGTAATTTTCCTCTGAATTTAGGTTATGATATTTTCCAGTCTCATATTTCTTGGAAAATTTTAAAATACTATAGAAAAATTATGATGCATTTGAAAAAATCAGACTTATCTTGGTTTTGGACATATCAAGAATTGTCCAATCTTTGTATATATGCTTAAGGTTAGACAAGCCAATGCAATTAAAATGATGGCATCTAAAAAGCTAATGGAAAGGTATCATGGAGTGTACTGGTTAAAAATTATCATTTGAGGAAGAAGAATTAGCTGTTTGTTTGCTTCCAATATGTTGTCTGATGATTACATAAAGTGTGAAAATCTGAGTAGCAACTTAGAACCATCCTGTTTTATGCAGCAAAATCATTTAAACCACTTTTCAACAGATTGGTAAACAGTAATTTCCATTCTTTTTTCAACTATGTCGCATTTCCTTTAGCTTCAACATGACAGTTTTTGTAAATTATCATGGCATCTTTCACAAAAAATAACATATCAAAAAATAATCAAGTTAATTTTTGATATAATTACATGCAGACCTCAGGCTGCTTACATCAAAATAGTCTTTGCACTATAAGATAAAACAATTATCTCTTTTCAAGGCCCTGTACCCATGATAATTTAGTATTGCAGCATCATGGAAATAACTGATATTTTACACGTCTTGTTTTAGAGCTTCAGAAGCTGAGAGAAGATGGTGTTATGTACGTTAACAGTTTTAGGAAAATCCACAATGCACCTATGTTAAAGCTGGACAGTCATATGTCAGCTGAAGCTGAAGATTGGGCAAATATTCTTGCTAGCAGAGGGAAAGTTGAAAGGAATCCAACAACTGACGAAGCAGAAAATGTATTCTATCGTTGTGGGCAAAATGAACATGTAGTCAGAGATGCTGTTGTATCTTGGTTTGTATTTTTAACATTTCAAAACATTGCTAATAATTAAAGGCTTCATTTTTTTCATATATTTGATTTGAGAAGAAAATGAAAATTTTTAACTAGCCTTTAGGTTAGTTAATGTATTTCAAGATGTGTTTAACAAACAATTTTTGATGGAACGGTTTATCTTATTTTATATGGCATGTTTGTTTAGTTACTTGGGCAGAATGCTTAAATCATTTAAATTCATAGCTGTTTGAAAATCCTTTTTGCCAATGCTGTATAAGAAGATTTAAACATCTCAAATTTAATCTACCCTGGCTTGATACATGTATGTTCTAAGGTGGCCATTTTAGAGTAGAGATCATTGTGTTAGATATTGTTTTCTGTTTATACTGTTCTGTTAGGTGTATGATAGAATGAAAATGAGTAAGGCAAGCCTCAGGTAACTTGCCAAAGCCAGGTTGATCTGAAGTCACACATGTAAGTGTTAGTTACACATGTAAGTGTTAGTTAGACTATGACAATAGCACCTTGTATTTTGGAGAATTGTTTGTGTTAAATATCTACTCTACTTATGCTTATCAAAAGAATCTTTATTTTTGCTACAGCAAGCTTAAATTTATGCTAATAGAGTGCTTATCTATTTTGTTTTTGTTTCATGTGATTTTCTCAAGCAATTTTTGTATATTGTCAGGTATAAAGACATCTGTGAAAAAGGTTACAATTTTGAATCCAACTTGGATAATGCAGATTCAAATCAATTCACAAACTTAGTTTGGAAAGGCTCAAGCAAACTTGGACTTGGGGTTGCCAAGAAAGATATTTCAATTGATAACCTAAACCTTTCATGTTTCTTCGTCGTGGCAAGATATGATGATAATCCTGTTCATCATCTCAACACCCACAAAAAGAATGTGCTGAAAGGCAAGTTCAATGAGAGTATATGCAAGATCTAGAGGAGCACGCTGATTCTGGGCTGGCTGAAGAGCAACGGCTAGAGGCTGCAAGGAAAAGCCAAGAGGCAGTGCGCCGCACCGGTAAGTTATTATTTGGGTCTCTTGTTATTACATTTACGCAGCCTGGGGTGAGGGACTCACAGGTCTGTTGCTAAGGTGGGGTTTCAGTCATGTAGGGGTGCTTCGTCGCAAATTTCCAGACATTTCGTCAAATATAGATTGGTTCACCATCTTTGTCAGTAATTGGGACATGAGCACCCTCTTGAGCACCATTGTTAGTGATGGCCCTGGGAACCGTGGTGACGCAAAGAACTAGATTTCCTTGTAGAATACAAATAGCTGATATTGCCTGGCAAAGTAAGCAAAGCTATTTTTGATATTGTGAGCTTATTTACTTTAAACTCATTTCCCTGTTGATTGAAGTATCCGTAACACCAATCCGTGTGTGAATGCTTCACTAATGGCATTGATTTTCACTTTCCATGATACTACTCTTTTGCTCTTTTATGCGTGTACACTGTCATTTCATCAAATAAGCAATGCAGTTTGTCGGGTCTAGTCAGTAGAAATTAGCCATTTGTTGTTATTGCTAATCTGAAGCTTGAAATTTGATTTGTTTTCCTGCTGTTTGACTGACTGCAGACAACAGAAAATAGCAGAAGAGAGTGTTAGATACATTAAAATTGTTTGACCCACCAATTCGCCAACTTTGTTTATACTTGAGAATTTTGCCTACTCTAAAGTTACTATGTTCAGCTACAACGGTGTGTTTAGTGCCGGCCAAAACATCACATTTAGATTTAGACACATTACTTTAGTGCATAATTTGACAAGAACCATTTTGATATCAACGCACAATGGTTTTATGAATTCTGAGTTTACTCACCATTATAACCACGAGGTACTTGTGCACTTTTAGAAACTGGTTTGATTCGCGACCTTATTATTCAATTCTGTCACGGTTTTTGAATTTAGCAATATTTCATTTTAGAAAATAAGATGTACGAGAAAGAGATATTGTCGGTTCATAACAATTTTCGAAAGGTTCACAATGCTGGCAAGTTAAAGTTGGACCAGGACATGTCCAAAGAGTCCGCTGCTTGGGCCCAAAAACTCGCTGATGCTGGCAGCTTGAAGCACGATCCGGATACGAAGGACGGCGAAAACCTGTACATGGCATGTGTACCGAAGGGAAGGAAGTTACGCCCATGGAAGAGTGTCGTTGCCTGGTATGTTGTCTACGGCAAAATATCCTTGTCATAGCAGTAACGCAGTGCGATCTGACAAGACCGTGTACTTTAAAGATATGTTTGAAAAAATCATATCTGAGAAATTATAAATCCAGTTTTGTAACCTTGGCTTGTTGTTTTTTAGGTACCGGGAGGTTTGTGACACAAAATATAAATTTGATTCTGAAAATGGTGCACAGAAAGCGGGCCATTTCACCCAGGTTGTATGGAAGAGTTCTAAGGATCTTGGAGTTGGCGTTGCAATCAGAGAAAAGAAGCCAAAGTTGACCTGTGCCTTCGTTGTGACAAGGTACAGAAATGCTGGCAACATTCTCGGGCTATTCACTGAAAAAGTTCAGAAAGGAAGCTTTGATAGAAGTATATGCGATAAGGTTATAAACATGGCAGAGAGTGCTGTGAAGGAGGTCGATTCGAATTTTGAGCATGCCGAAGACCAGATGTCTGAAGTTACAAAAACGCAAATTGGAAAATCAAAAGGGCGAAAAACTCAGAAACCTGATGTCAATGACAAGAAGGTTGACAAGGGTGATCACCAGAAGAAGGAATCGCATAATAGCACTGCACACGAAGAACATGGAAAACATGCTGTATCAAATAACAATGGAGAGAGAAAAGAGGCTGGAGACAAACAAACGGGTAGATGGGAAGGGTTAGGGAGTAATGATTCTGCGCTGAATGGATTCTTTGATAATCAGGGTGGACGTAAGAACATCAGCAATGCCTTAAAAGGTTTGTAAAGTAAGAACATTACAATTACCTTTGAAGTGTGTTTCTTGGCTTTTGTTTCAAGTTCAAATTAACGGACCATTTGGTTCTTATAGCTCTAATATATAAGTAGTGATGCTGAAACAATTTACTCGCTAATAGTTTTCTAAACTAAACATTAAAACAAATTTTAATTCACAAATTCATAGCATACTCTGGTAGTAACGGGCCTCTTGTTTGGCTCACTACTGTTGAAAATCTCTTGATTAGATGCGAAAATCTACTGAAAATATCACAAAAACGAACTTTTCAAACAATTTGCTTTTGTCATTTGTTCATTTCCCGATGAGTGTTGAAGAATTTATGTTTTTATATTCTAAAATTTCTTGTCTGCAGATCTCAAAACGACTCCTTTGACTCAAGAACTTTTGAAAATTTTAAAAAAGAAGTTGATCAAGAGTTTGTACAAAAGTCATGAGATGATAACCGAACTTGCAAATGAAAAAGGTAATCAAGCTTAGAAGAAAATTGTTTCTTCTTCTCGACTTTGTTTTGTCTTCTTTGAAAAATCGCAAAACATTTGAAACACAAAGATGAAAAATAACAATAATTTAAAAGCCTGTTAAGATTATTGAATATAATCTTTCAATAAAACACAATTTTGGAGCTTTCCTTATATGTGATAATCTTTTAGAGGCGATGTTAAAGAAGAAATTCATGACCGAAAGTCTATCAGCATTAAACAAACTTCGACAGCTTCACAATTCCAGTACTCTACGAGTGGACGATGAATTGTGTCGCAAGGCTGATGAGTGGGCCTACGTGTTGTCAAGAAGAGGAAGTCTAGATCATGACCAGGAGACACAAGATGGCGAGAGTCTTTACTATTTCTGCCCCGTTGAAGGAAGCTCCATCTCTGCGAAGGATGCAATCAGCACTTGGTGAGTTCCTTTCGGAACATGATCTTGTATGAATGATAGCCGTGCCACACGTAGGCACTCTTGACAAATAAAAGTTTCATGAGTAGGAACTCGTAGAAAATCGTGGAAAAGCTTTATTGTAAATATTATTTTTGTATTCCCGTACTTTTCATAATCCTTTTTTTTGCCTTAATATACCGGAATATTATTTCTTGCTGCTTATTTTTGGGGATATAATGAATATAAATTTTAGTGACAAAATTATGGAACCGATATGCCCCTTGTCTAGATGTGGAGGACCTAAATTTATTCTTAGAAATCAGGAACACTTGTCACTCCGAAACCCTGTCCGTTGATACACAGTTCAATTTCAAATTTCCTGCAAATGCTATTTTTTGCTTTAAAACATTTTGATAATTAATATTTCCATGCTTTTATCGGCCAAACGTAACTATTTTGTACTAAACACAATCTCAAACTTCTTTAAAGTTGTCAAGTCATTGTTTGTCTAAAATCTCAATTGCTAGATACTATCCGTTTTCACATTATAAGTCATAATTGCTATTTATCTTAAGCGGCCTTCACCATTATTGCAAAGATAATTTAAATGTCCAGGTCAGTCGATTGAAGTAAACTATTTCCAAAATAAACCAAGAAGGTCTTTGGTCGATGAAATTTCAGTGGCTTATTTCATCCACAGGTACAAGGAAGGCTGTGAGCGTTTTTATGACTTTAACAAAGAAGATGGAAGTCAAGGAGCTGATGACTTTACTCAAATTATTTGGAAAGGAACCAAAAGATTTGGTATCGGCTTTGCCAATGTACAAAACGGAGACAAAGTATGCTCTTATATCGTTGCAAGGTACAAACCAACAGGAAACGTTGCTGGTGCTTTCCGTGATAATGTGCAAACAACTGTGGACAAGAAGACATGCATTGATCCAAGAGCTATTTATGAAGAGGCAAAAGTCAGAAAGAATGTAGATGAAAAAATTCGAGAACCCGCAGGTAATTCTCACCAACAACCTTTTTTCTCCTAGTGAATGGCTGCCAAGGCACATACAAAGACCAAAGCATTTTGTGTGGAATAATTTTTCTTAAGATTATCTTTCTTTGGTGTTTTGCTATTTTCAGGTATTATATCTCCCATTTCTTTCATCTTTTCATCTTCATTGTCGTTTCCAAAAGGCCCCCTAACAACCCCATTTTGAGCTTCTAAGTTCGTATCAATATAGGCAAAATTGTTTTTCATTGCAGTGTTTCTTCGGAAAAATGTTGTGTGACATGAGCGTTTAAAAAATTTTTTTGCAACAAATTTGTTCCGTAGAAAGTTGGCCTTCAAACTCAAATTTATAAAGTTTTGAAAAATAATAATTTTGTTATAATATGTGACTTATAATTTTGATTTCTTTTTTCCCTAAACCAATGTTTTCAGAGCTCAAGTTTGAAAGCAAGGTAAATTCTATTTTAGACTTCACAAAACTCGAGCAGAAAGCACTTTCAATCAACAATGTGTTCAGAGACATTCATGGCAGCCCGAAGCTACAGTTAAATCACACGCTTTGCCGCGATGCATTGGAGTGGGCTCGTAATTTAGCATCGACTGAAGAGCTCAAATACGACATGGCTACTAACGAAGGAGAAAATATTTACTCAACTTGCAGAGATTATGACACCGATGTTCCTATTCAACAGGCTTTTGTCCATTGGTATTTGTCTTTCTTTTTAATGTTTACATCGCCGAATTCTCAAGAGGCTTAAAATCAATTTTCAGTGACCTAATGGGATTTTAGAAAAATATATGTGGTCCCCTGGAGGCGCAAGGAAGTTTAATTGATTCGCGAATGCTGAGTATCTGCTCCAGATTATAACAAACACAATTTACAAATAATGATTTTTTATTGGGTTGATCAATATCGATTCATTTTAGGCTCGAGCATTCATTCAGGTGTATTTGCGATCGAGGACCATAACATCCCTGCTCTTGCACCTTTCCTGCTGTTACAAGTTATTGCTTTAAGAGATTTTCATCATTAAATGGCCAAAAATTTGAAAAGTATCAAAAACTTTTGATTAAGCAGATTCGTTTTTGCTCACTTTAAAATAGTGTTAGCAATATTTGTGACACCGTGTATATTTTACCTAATCCTTTTTTAGTTGGCAATGCTAGGAAAGAGCCTATAGCGAAGCCCTAACAATGGAAAGGGAGGAGCGATTAGGAAGAGAGAGAGATAGGAAAAATAAACTTGTTGATTTTTGTTTTGAATAAAGACAGGTTGTAAGAGTCTGGGAAACTTGCAAATATGTAGGCAACAAAAAGCGTTACAGCTCTGTTTATAGGCCACTTTGGGCTGTGTAACAGTAAACAGGAACAGACATGTAGCATACCAACAAACATCGATTTTTGCATTAATTATATGCCATTTGATCAATCTGCTCGGTATAACATATGATCTCAAGTGTTTTTACCGGATAGCTATTTCATTTCAGGTACAGAGAAGTCTGCGATAAGGAATTTGACTTTGAGAACGATCATGGAGCCCAGGGTGCAAGCCAGTTCACGCAGATGGTTTGGAAAAACTCGAATGACTTTGGCATAGGCGTGGCAAAAGCACGCAGCAAGGAGGGGAAGTATTGCACGTACATTGTCGGGCGGTACTCAAAGCAAGGCAATGTAGCGAAGCAATACAAAGTGAATGTACAGAAAGGAAAATTTGATAAGTCCATGTGTGGGGCTGTGAAGGAGACAGCAAATTCAGCTGCTAATGAGTTCGAGCGATCGTACATTGGACGCATTGGCTCATATCAAGGTTTGTAGTATTGCTACATGTAGCTGTTTTCAGTAGTTTGCTTGATAGATTTTGATTTGCGGTAGGAATAATATCATGCTTGGGAATACAGCGGTGAAGTAAAAGGCAAGTTTGCTGGTGCCAAGCTTGGAAAGACATATTTGTCGTTGAAAAATCACCTCTTCTAAAACATGGTTTGAATTAGAATTAAGTAATTTTAAATTTCTATTCTTAAGTCACCTTTACATGTCATTTATACTTTATGGACATGATAGATAAAGCTATGTCAGCATCACTGCATCACCAAGATTTTTATACAAGGTGAGATTATTTAAACCGATTCAAGGAAACAATGGCCTATCCGAAATAGGCCTACTTGATTATCAGCGCGCTGATAGAATGCACAAACGATGCAACTTTTGCCAAAGAAATACCAGTGGAAAAAGAATATTGCTAAATAAACTCACCTGGTAAAGACGTGATGGCATAATTAAGAACATAAGGACACAATTCACAATTATAATGCTAAAAAGAGCTAACGCTTCTGTTTCTTTGAATTTAATACATTAACCAGTAAAGACAAAGACGCCTGACAGCATCTTGCACTTTCTGAAAAAATCAAAATTTTTTTTCTATATTTATGGGATAATTTGCTTCAGGTAACGAGTATTGGGGATAAAATTTGACTGAAATTTAAATGTATAACTAAAGGAGATACTCAGTGTGCTGTTTGATAGAAAGGAAGCTAGGTGAACGCATCGAACATAACAAAGACCTACAACACAATCCAACCAATCTAACCGATCTCGTATTCGTTTCTCGTATCTCGTATGTTTCTCGTATTCGACGAATAGTGCCAAGGAGACGAACGTTTTTGTAATGCTTAAACATGCTCCTTATAACTCAGAAAAGAAACAAATTACATTGACAGAAAGGTTGACTCATCCAGTCAATTTACCCAATCTAACTAATCTAACTAATCTAACTAATCTAACTAATCTAAACAATCTAATAAATCCACAACGACTTATATGACCAACGAGGATTAATTGAACTCTGATGATTGAGCTTCCACCGTGTAACACAGACAAAAACAAGCTACATTGACAGAAAGATTGAATCATCCAGTCAATCTAACCAATCTATCTAATCAACACTGACATATACGACCAATGATGATTGATTTAACTCTGATGATTGAGCTTGCATCGTGTAGCACAGAAAGAATAAAACTACGCTAACAGAAAGATTGAATCATCCAGTCAATATAGCCAATCTATCCAAACTATCCAATCAAAATCGACATATACGATCAATGGTTATTCATTTTTTTCTGATGATTGAAGTTGCACCCAAGAATAGCAGAAACTAACAAACCATGTTAACAGCAAGATTAATTCATCTAGTCAATCTCACAAATCTAACCAATCAGCCTGACGTATCCGATTTATTCTAATGACGGAGGTTGCACCGTAAAAAGCAGAACCTTCCAAGCTTCATTCATCCAGTCAATCTTCCAGTCAATCTAACCAGTTTTACCAATCCAGCCAAGCTACCCAATTCAATCAATTTAGCCAATATATACTTACGTATACGACCAATGACGATTGATGTTACCCTAATGATCGAAGTTACACCGTATAACATAGAACCTTACAAGCTACGGTAATATCAACATTGAATCTTCCAGTCAATCTAACCAATCTTACCAATCCAGCCAAGCTACCTAATTCAATCAATCTAACCAATAAATACTGACGTAAACGACCAATGACGATTGATGTTACCCTAATGATCGAAGTTACACCGTATAACATAGAACCTTACAAGCTACGGTAATATCAACATTGAATCTTCCAGTCAATCTAACCAATCTTACCAATCCAGCCAAGCTACCTAATTCAATCAATCTAACCAATAAATACTGACGTATACGACCAATGACGATTGATGTTACCCTAATGATCGAAGTTACACCGTATAACATAGAACCTTACAAGCTACGGTAATATCAACATTGAATCTTCCAGTCAATCTAACCAATCTTACCAATCCAGCCAAGCTACGTTATTATATTCTCCTTTTGTTTTTTTAATCTTTCTTGCCACTTTCTGATAGCCTTTGTCTCGAAGTTTCAAATGTCGTTACTCCGTGTCAAGCTTGGCCTTAGTCCAGCCCAGCAAAGCGAGCGCGTTAATTATTCAAGGTAGGATACCTATTTATGTTACATTATGTAGACCAAATCATTGAGTGGAACAGACTGCCATATTATCATCCAATCATCTTTGGTCGGGGTATACCGTCAGTGTTGACTGATCAATTCGTTAGATCTGTTTAATGTATGCCTTATTAGGTTCGTGTTTCATGGTGCATATTCCTAATTGCTTACAGAAAAATCAATCATATATGGTCGATATTGCCATCTTTTGATAATATGTTAGAATGCTTCGATGTTAGAGATCGAAGATTTTGGTTAGATTATGACTGGAGATTTCAATGTTTTTACCGTAAGCTTGTAAGTTCTATGTTATTACGGTGTAACTTCGATATTAGGGTAAACATCAATCGTCATTGGTCGTATACGTCAGTATTTTATGGTTAGATTGATTGAATTAGGTAGCTTGGCTGGATTGGTAAGATTGGTTAGATTGACTGGAAGATTCAATGTTGATATTACCGTAGCTTGTAAGGTTCTATGTATATACGGTGTTAACTTCGATCATTGGGTAACATCAATCTGTCATTGGTCGTTTACGTCAGTATTTATTGGTTAGATTGATGAATTAGGTAGCTTGGCTGGATTGGTAATATTGGTTAGATTGACTGGAAGATTCAATGTTGCTTTACCGTAGCTTGTAGGTTCTATGTTATACGGTGTAACTTCGTCATTAGGTAACATCAATCGTCTTTCGTATACGTCAGTATTTATTGGTTAGATTGATTGAATTAGGTAGCTGCTGGATTGGTAAGATTGGTTAGATTGACTGGAAATTTCAATGTTTGATATTACCGTAGCTTGTAAGGTTCTATGTTATACGGTGTAACTTCGATCATTAGGGTAACATCAATCGTCATTGGTCGTAACGTCAGTATTTATTGGTTAGAATTGATTGAATTAGGTAGCTTGGCTGGATTGGTAAGATTGGTTAGATTGACTGGAAGATTCAATGTTGATTTACCGTAGCTTGTAAGGTTCTATTGTTATACGGTGTACTTCGATCATTAGGTAAAATCAATCGTCATTGGTCGTTTACGTCAGTATTTATTGGTTAGATTTGATTGAATTAG